GGTAGCCCAGATAAGCTTGATTCACAAGCCTTCTTCAAATGTTGCACTACACTTTTCTTCACCTACTGAGTAGACCACACATTATTTCTCAGAACTGGGGCAGGATTCTAAATCCCAATGTGAGAACACTCCATCTGACAGCCTGGAGGATCACCTGGTAATGGACCATACCAACCTAGATTCTCAAATCTGGTTCATGCTGCAATCAACTCTCTGACCAAACAAGAGGCTCTCATACTCGACAAAATGGAATCCATTCAAGGCTTATGCTCAAGAACATGAATTTGGCTTGTTCCAAGTGCCAGTTCACAGAATCCTAGCTTTTCTCCATAGCTTCCATGTTAAAGGACTAAAGCCATCATCTGTCAAAGTATTCCTGTCCACCGTCTCATCAGCACGGGGTCCCATCAACAGTTCATCTGTGTTTTCCCATCCTCCCTCCTGCTGATTCCTAAAAGGAATCAGGCATTTCAGGGAGAAAATTGCTCAGATTCGTCATGAGCTGGACTCCACTAATGAATCAGAGGTCTCTGGGGAGACGCCAATGCTACCGTCTGGTCCAAAATTATTGGAAGAATTTCAATTATTGCGGCCCGATGATGTGGACAAGGTGCTTGGATGAGTACGTCCCACCACTTGCCTATTGGATCCTTGCCCGTCTTGGTTAATAAATAACTCCAAGCACGGGATTGGGACCGGGATCTTGGAAGTGGTTAACGCTTCTCTGAGGGAGGGTCGAGTGCCTGCCCCTTTAAAGGAGGCGGTAATACGACCGGTCCTGAAGAAAGTGTCACTGGATCCAGAGATGGCCACGAACTATAGACCAGTGGCCAACATCCCGTTTCTGGGCAAGGTGTTGGAGCAAGTGGTGGCGGGACAACTCCAAGCACTCTTGGATGAAACTGATTATCTGGATCCTTTTCAGTCCGGCTTCAGACCCGGGTACAGTACTGAATCTGCTTTGGTCGCCCTGTACGACGACCTGTGCAGGGAGAAGGACAGGGGGAGTGCATCCCTGTTGGTTCTTCTGGACCTCTCGGCGGCTTTCGATACCATCGACCATGGTATTCTTCTGGATAGGCTAGCAGGATTGGGGGTTGGAGGCACTGCTTTGCAGTGGTTCCGCTCCTATCTCAATGGTCGATTCCAGAAGGTAGTGCTGGGGGACTATGTCTCTGCGCCATGGCAGCTATGCCATGGAGTACCACAGGGCTCCATTCTATCCCCTCTGCTATTTAACATCTATATGAAACCGCTGGGAGAGGTCATCAGGAGGTGTGGGCTGCGGAATCATCAATACGCTGATGATACCCAGCTCTGCCTCTCGTTTTCCACTAATCCAGGTGAGGCAGTGGCTGTGCTGAACCGGTGCTTGGCCGAGGTAATGGAATGGATGAGGGCCAATAAACTGAAACTCAATCCAGACAAGACGGAGGTCCTGTTGGTTGGCAGATCGGGCTTCGGAGAGGGTGGATTTGACCTGGTCCTGAATGGGGTTGCGCTCCCTCTTAGGGACAAAGTCTGCAGCTTAGGAGTACTCCTCGACCCGGAGCTTTCATTGGAAGCTCAGGTGACAGCGGTGGCGAGGAGCGCCTTCCTTCAGCTTAATCAGCTGCGCCCCTACCTGGAGTACGACTGCCTGGCGACAGTGACACATGCACTGGTGACTTCCCGCCTTGACTTCTGTAACGCGCTTTATGTGGGGCTTCCCCTGAAGACCGTCCGAACACTTCAATTGGTGCAAAATAGAGCTGCCAGGTTGCTGACGGGGACGGGGCATTATGCTCACATGACTCCAGTCCTCCGTCAGCTTCACTGGCTTCCCATTGAAGCCCGGGCCCAATTCAAGGTGTTGATTATGACCTATAAAGCCCTAAACGGCTTGGGTCCTGGCTACCTGAACGAGCGCTTACGTCCGTATATGCCTGACCGCCCTTTGAGATCTGCGGGAGAGTCCCTTCTCCGGGAACCCTCCATGAAAGAAATTAGGAGAGTAAGTACTCGGAGGAGGGCTTTCTCTGGGGTGGCACCCAACCTATGGAATTCACTCCCCAAAGAGGTCCGCCTGGCACCGTCGTTACTGGTTTTTCGGCGCCAGGTAAAGACCTTTTTATTTAAACATATGATCTGGCCAGGGCAACTTCTTCTTCCTTCTCTTTTCTCCTTCTACATTATTTATTTACTTATTTTATACTGTTAATTTTCATTTTATATTATTATGTTTGTAACTCAGTGTATTTTTTGTATTTTTGTATTTAGTGGTAATTTATTATGTTCTATTGTATTTCAATGTATTTTATTGTGTTGTAAGCCGCCCCGAGGCTTCGGCAAGGGGCAGCATAGAAATGTAATAATAATAATAATAATAATAATAATAATAATAATAATAATAATAATAGGTTTATACAACCTGAATCCTCCCATCCGGTCCATGGTGCTAAGATGGTGCCCATCCATTGTACTGCAAACTTTAACAAAACCACCTTTGGAACCACTTGCCACTGTAGATCTACAACTCCTCTCTTGGCAGATAGCATTCCTCATATCCATTACTTCAGCCCAGAGGGCGAGCAAATCATGTGCTGTATGCATAGACCCTCCATTCCTCAGTTTCCAGAAGGATAAAGCAGTCCTTCGACTGGATCATACATTTCTCCCAAAAGTCTCTTTACAATTCCATTTAAACCAGGACATAGTTCTACCAGCCTTCTTTCCAGCCCTGTCTACTCTTCTTGAGGTGACACTGTGCATGCTCAATGTGTGGAGGGCACTAGCCTTTTACAGATCACAGACCTGTAAAACACAATTAGTGTGCTGTTCCAAGAGACTATTGTAGCCTATGCCAAACGATCCAAGGGTGAACCAATCAATCCTCCAGCTTGTCCACTGGATTGCAGAGGTGAATAAACTGGCATATCAGTTAGCTCAACTACAGCTCCCAGACCAACCCAAAGCACACTCAACAAGGCCTATGGCAACATCCACAGTACTACATGCAGGTAACCCTTTGCATGACCTTTGCAAGGCAGCAACTTGGTCAACATTGTCAGCATTTGTGCAACACTACCAGCTTGATGTTCATGCAGGACAGGACTGCTCCTTTGGCTATGCAGTGCTTTCCTCAATTTGCTGATGATGACATCTTCCACCACCACACTTGGTAAGCTTGCTGATCACCCATATGTGTGATGCACAGAGACCATGAAGAAGAAAGTAAGGTGGCTTATCTATAACTGACATTCTTTGAGTGGTTATCTGTGCAATCACACAACCTACCTACTGGCCCCAAATCAGTGCCAATGACTTACACACGATTGCAGTATAGGTTCCCTGCTTTTTCTCCCATCAACTTTCACAGATCTATAAGGTGTCCTTCCAGGTTCCAAGGCCAAAATGTCAGTCTCCAAATGGCTGAAGCCAAAAACTTCACTGGAAGATTGGATTTTTAGGAGGCATTTGAAAGGGAAGTGGAATCCTATAGGTGTTACAGGCAGAAGAAAGGCTAGAATTTTATATGGTCTCAGTGGTAGAGTGATTGTTGTTCTGAACCACCTATCCCTACCCAGCTAAAAACTATTACTTTGTCTAACAGGTGAATTTCATCTGTTTCATTACAAATTAATTCATTACAAACTCAATGATATTCTCCACCTTCTTTCTCAATGTTCATTTTTACTTGAGTCCACATCAGATTACAGGCTTTTTCTTTTGTTTTTCTATGAGAATACAGTATGTGTCTATTGCCGGTTATTCCAGATGTGTACAACTGATGTGTATATCTTTGAAATATGCAAACTCTTCTCCCTTGATTAAAACATTTCTATATATTTTTGGTCCACAAATTACATTGAATACTCAGAAATGTTTGGAATTAAACCACTGATTGCATCTGAGTCCATGTTCAATCCTGAAAATACAAACTGGGTAAATCCTAATCGAACACAAACTAAATGAATTTCTAGATAAGTTGCTGTGGACAGGAATCAGGACTGTTCCCTGAAGCCTCTAACTGCAATGCTAGTAAGGCCACCTGTGTGAACATTTAGCCTTATAGATTAAAAGCATAATCCAGTGTCTGGCTGGGAAATGCAGGGAGTTGTAGGATTTTTTTCTATCTAAACTTATATAAAATTGCACTTTTTAATCTCCAGAACGTATAGGTAGTATTGTAGACAGTGTCTTAATTAAGTTGGGTTTTAATTAGGATATAATGTATTCACTTTTTAGACCAAACATGGACACTGACACAATTTGCAGTTGAAGCCTATACATTTCTGTGCTTAAAATGTATGCATGCATTTCAAAACTGGGCATAAAATGCATATTTTGAAAAAAATGCATACAAATATGCTTTAATTAAAGAGAGAATGTATACATTTCAAAGATGATACCTGGGTAGCTCCAAGCATTGTAGAGTTTTTTCTTTCTGAGCACACATAGGATTATGCCTTAAGATACATAGAATCATAGCTTTTGAGGTCTAAAAATCCTTAGTCGATCAGTTGCTTGATAAAAAAGCATTGCCTAACGCATGTCAATATTAATGAATATGAACTGCACAGAAGTAAAATGATTGTGCTAGTCTCTTTAGGGAAGTAAGGAGTTCTGATGGAGCCCATTTGTCCTGCTTGATCTTTCAAAAATGTAGCATGACTCTTGGGCCTTTCTCTAAAGTGCTTCCACATTGAATAGTACTGGCTCATGGAAGTCACAGGCAGTAGCTAACCATACAGGACGAGATGGTGGTCTTAGTTTTTTTACGTTAGGTTACAAGCGCACTTTTTCCTCAAACAATTTTTTTGCTGGAACAATTATTTGCTGGAAGCCGCCCCAAGGCTTATGCGAATGGGGCGGCATACAAGTTTCCCAAATAAATAAATAAATAAATAAATAAACAAGAGGTTTTAAAGGTCAGGCTTTGGGTCAGTTTCTTTCCACCTCTTGAGACTATGATAGTTACATGGTCAGTACAGCTAAATATTTGCCTTTTGATTTCCCAGGTGACTTCGAGGAGGGATTCATGGCACTTCATTACTGCTCGACTGAATATCCATGGAGCTGGTTATGGAATACAGAACAGCTGCCTCCTAACAATCAAGGGTATGACGCATCTATACTGCATTTTCCTTACTGGACTTTATCTTTGGTACATCTACCCTAAACCATAAACAGGCTTAAAAATTATTTCTTCTGCCTACAGAAAACCCTCGAGTTTTACTCCCAAAGACAGGCAGACAGGGCACAGGTATATGCATAACTAAGGTCACATAGATACCTAAAATCACAATTTACCAAAAAAAAAAAAAAAAAAAAAAAAGCAACAAAACGCAGGTGTAGGTCTATCAACTAACTGCAGAGCTACCTGACTAATTCCTTTGTAGGAAGTTAGGGCAGGTTATTTTTCCCAGCAGTTCCTACTTTTCAAGTAGACTCCAAAGCAGTGGGCACTGACCATATCAGAGTTCACCTGCACTTTGTCCATACAATATCAGGACCTCCTTGTGTTGGTCCAAAACTGGTGCCTAATCAGGGCAGTGCAATCAATGTAACAAATAAAGGACTCTCATTGTCTACCCTAACCCTGAGGAAGAGTTTTAGGGCTCAAACCAGACACAACTCCATAGACTTTTGAAAGGGAAACTGTTTCCATGGCCTGCTAGTCAGTCTTTGCACTCCAGAACTTAATGAAATGACCACCCTCCACAAAGTATACAGTCTGAATCCTGTATACTCTTTGCATTCTATACTCTATATATTCTTTGCATTCACCATTAATTACATCTCTCTTAAGCCCCAAAGAAGGCAATTAGGGTAGTTGTATACAATAATAAACTGCAAACAGTGAACTACAATCCATCATCCCCATTTCCCTTATCAAACTCTACCATAGATAACCCATAGGCATAACAGTGAGGGCAGTCTTGTCTTGAATGAAGTTTGACCACCTAGAGCATTCAGTTTGATCCAGTAGCTGCTCAGTTTTCAGACCTCTGCCACCAGCTGACACTTAGGTTTCAGCTTTTTCCTCTGAAGACTCCTCCTCCAGCATTCTTCTGCTATGTACTTGCAGGCCTTCCCCAAGTTCTGACTTGCATACTTTTAGTTCAGGTTTACTGTCTTGTAGCAGCTCTTCCTCAGGCAAACCCCTGCCAGCTTCTCCATCACTCCCTATATTCACTGCAGATAAAATCCTCCAGGCATTCAGCTTTGGGAGATCCAGTATTCCATCACCCCATCGTTGACCAAATGGCAGCTTTGCAATATTCTCTTATTGCCCAGATCAGATTATTCTAATTTCAGTCTTACTATCCCATGTAAATAGTTGAAACAGCAGTAGTTAATTTGCTAACTTATAATCATCAAAATGTAGTGCTTCTCAGACAGAAGATTCAAGTAAAAAGCATAGACTCCCAGTGGTTGAAATAAAACTTAATAATTAAACTTTACCTCGGTTTTTTCACAATCTGCTTGTGTGACAATGTTTCAGCAATGCCATTTTCAAGAAGAGATGCATGGCATGCAAATAAAGAAAGTACTCAAATGGAAATGCAGCAAGGTGAATACCCTGGGCCAGTTCAATTACCTTAGATGACTTTGAAGTGAGGTTGTTGTAAAAAAATGTACTGTAGTCAGATTATCCTAGCAGGAGGAGACAACACAGTTGGTTGATTGATCTGTCGAAAACAAAGCCACAACTCCTATGGGAAAAACCACAAGGACCACAATTTAATATACTACCTACCTTTGACAACTGTCAAGAGAAATCAAAGTTTTGTGTTTTTTTAAACCCTCTATTTGGAGCCTCTTTGCATAAGTTACAGTTTTTGAGCCAGGCAGCCCAACATACATTGTATTGCAATAATGTAATCTACCAGAGAGTAGACTTGCAACACCAGGTTATCTTAGTCCTGTTAGGACTTGAGATGGGCTGCAAATGGACCTTGGTAGAAGGCATGCTACACCACAGAAACCACCTGAGGTTCCAATGACATTGATGTCATCTGAGCAGAGAACCATCCACCAATAGTGGCTCAGTCCTGTTTGGATTGGATTCAGTTTATTGGCTCTTATCTAGTCCATTATCAGTACAGCTCATGTACTGCTACACTTTCCTGAGATGAAAAGAAGAAATAGAGTTTTGCGACATCAGCATACTGGTGACAGTATTCTAGCTGACCCACACAGCAATTTCATCAAGCCAATGAACAACATGGGGGATAGAACCAACCCCTGCAGAGACCCACACTGGAGAATCCATGAGATTAACCAATATTTTCATACCCCACCTTCTGAATTCCAAATTGAAGCTGAACCAGTTTCCAGAGCCTTCCTCAAAAGCTCAACTGCAAATCCTCTGCACTTTGGCAGGAGTCTAACTCACGAGGAAGACTTTTATTCCTGAGTACACCTGCACACTCTGTCTCCTTGTAGTTACCTGGAACTGGTGCTCACAAGTGCTGAATGGGCACTCAGTTTCCTCCTCTGGCCCTCAGGGATCCCATCTGGGGATTATTCATAGTCCACTGCTATAAAAGAGTCCTGTGCATCTTCTGCATGGATGCCAGGAATGCTTGGACACTTGCTAATGCTAAGGTGGGAGGGCACTGTCATGTAAAGTTCTTTGTCTGGTGAGTGATTCCAGCTCATGTCAGGCCAGTCATAACACCAGTAGAGGAACCCATGAAGAAGGTGAGGTTATAAACTGCCTTGCTGGAGAAGTTTGCTTTAAAAAGTATATAGTGTAGCCAATCCAACTTTCTCAAGGGACTTTCTGGCTGAAGTGCAGCTGTCAAGATTGTAGCACAGCTCTCTGTGTCTCCACTGCTCTTCCATCTTCCTATACCTGCTTTTGTCAATATTATTTTCTCTCCCTGCTATTTCTCCTGATTCTTTTGAGGTTTGCTTTGGAGACTGTACAGCAGATGTTGGAATACACTTCTGACATTTTCTTTATCTTCTTTTAAGCACATATTTTCTTAAAAAGGAGATGCCTTGTAGGGTGCATTTGCTTACCAGTGAATGTCCTTTTTAATTTATATAGCAAGTGGAAACAGAAGTAAATAAAGTTGTGAAAGGACATAGAAAAGCTGTCCTGATGTTGTGGAGTGGGAGGATGACAATTATATACAGTGGTACCTTGGCTCACGAACTTAATCCATTCCAGGACTCTGGTCGTGACCCAAATTGGTCATGAGCCAAGTTAAATTTCCCCATGAGGTTCAATGTAAATAAGGTTAATCCGTTCTGTAACCGTTTTTTAAATCAGAAAAATGTGAAGCAAAGTGACAACAACAAAGATCGTGGCCATCTCCCGCCCGCCACCCCAAGCACCAGCACAGCCATCCCCCCCCGGCCCCCCCACAACTGAGATCACACCTGTCATCCCTGCAGGCGCCTGTCATCCTGGTGCACTGGGGAGTGAGGGGGAGAGACAGGCGTGATTGCGAGCGCACTGGGGGAGGAAGAGACGGGCGCAAATGGCACTCTGGGAGAGGGAGAGATGGGTGCGATCTTGGCCATCTCCCCACTCAGGGGTGGTTTGGGGAGATGGCCGCGATCGTGCTGGTTGTGGGGGGAGATGGCTGAGATTGTGCCTGTCTTTCCTGCAGCAGCGCATCTCTGATCAGGCATGCCTTCCCTGCACGAACGGAACTGTGATCGCGGCCATCTCCCCACTTGGGCAGCGGGCAGGACGGGGATGGCTGCAATCTTGGTCACCACCCAAAGCGGTGTTCGTGACCCAAGTCAAAATTTTTCAGAAATTTTTGTTTGTGACCCAATTTGTTTGTGAACCAAGGTGTTCGTGAGCCGAGGTACCACTGTATCTGGTTCCCAGTATTGGTAACCATGTGCATATTGTCACATCTAGTTCTCACCTGAGACTGCACCCCTAACAACTGCAAGGTCTGACATGACAGCTTTCTTTTTATCTAGGATTTCATCCAAGGTGGTATATTTTTACCTGAAGGATTCCATCGCAACCTGGGAGGTGCTGGCTGTGAGCATTTCAGGCACAAAAGGTAAAAGATTCTGGACAGTTGGCAGGAGTGGTGAGCTGAGGGCTGGGGAGATGATGCCACCACTTGCAATTGAAGCATCAAAGAATAGTCGATGCACCATTGCTTTTGTTTCTCAGCCTGCTTCCTTTCCTATTGACCTTCCTTGCAGGAATTTGTGTGGCTGAACCGTATGAGATAAGAGTAAGGACGGATTTTTTCATTGATCTACAGCTGCCTTACTCAGTTGTGAAAAATGAACAGGTAGAGCTTCGGGCTATTCTCTATAACTATCTGGATCAAGACATCAGGGTAAGCTTTGGGATTTTGATGGTTGTGTGCATTTAGAAGCCAGAATGTGTGTACTACTTATGCTAGAGACCACTGGATGCTGGGGTACAATTCTGCCATAGTGCATAACCCACACGTATTCCAAAAGCTGAGCCACAACATTGCCAGGACTTTTGCAAGAAAATCAGGGCTACACCTCTTGGATCATGTGAGACAGCACAATAGAGCCTTGACTGTGGGATGGCCTGGGGCATGGGGTTGGGACTCAGAGTTGTACTTTGGGGCAAATGGCTTAGTATCCTTGTACATTAGCTCGTTTTTGACTTTTACCAACATTTGAACAGATGTTTTAAATTTAACAGTACACAGCATAGCTCCCAAATTCTTTAAAACCAATTTTTAAAGATATCCTTCAAAATCTTTTTTTTTTTTTTAACTTTTTGGCATTTCTATTCTGGCTATTGCCAGTAGATAATGAACTGAGTCTTGATTAATAGCTTCAGCTTTTGGAGAGTGGGAAAAGTGATAAATAAGTAAAAAAATAAAAACACAAAAATAACCTCTCTGTAACCTAATAAGACTCCACAACATGCAATTTAGAAACATAGAAACAGAGCAAGTCAGAAGGGGTCTCCCAGACCATCTAGTCTGACCCCCGGCTCCAACCAGCTCCACTCACGACATGCCCACCATGTGCATGTCCAATTTCTGCAACATCTGGCATAAGCAGGACTAAGGAAGCAAACATCATCTTTGAATTGCCCGCATTTCATTGCTCCTCCATTTCAAGGTTGTCAGCATGCTTTCAGCTCTCATCTGTTTCCTTACCTTTAGACTTGGACAGGAATAACATCAGATTCATGAATTCCCTCTATAGGTCAAAGGAGATATCAATCAGACCTTGATACTTTCCCTTCTTCATTGTGTTTGCTGTGCATCACACATATGGGTGCTGTGCCTCTGCAGTGCCTCATTTGGGAAGATTCCTCTAGCTAAGCCTAGAATTTTTGGCGGAAGCCTTGCCCCTTTTTTCTGTTACTTGAGTAGACAGGCTCTGGCCATTTTCTCAGTTCACTTTCAACTGACATTTGCAATGCCTTGGGATCGCTAGCTATAAGTTTACCTCTGCCTTTCCTCAAGATCTCTCATGTAATTTCTTACACCTTCTTGATCTCTGCTCTCCCCTCTATTTAATCCTTTGGATAACGTTTTTCTACACATTTTTAATTCACCTCACAAAGATGTTAAGAAAAATTCTCCTATCGTCTTTCCCTCATTTCTTTCTACTTCGCTGTTTTTCTCTTCCCGATGGCTCTCAAACCAGCTTCTCATAAGCAGGCCAGTTGCGATCTCAAGATATCTTCCAGCGAAGACCATTCTTTATGCCTCCTTTATGTGGAAAGGGACACTGTGTGCACAAGCATCCACACTGGCAAGCCTTGTAAAAAAAATGGCTGGTCATCTCAGGATGGAGATGTGGAGCATGCTCAAAGTGCCACAAATCCAGCACCAGTGGCAAGGGTGGAGGCCCCTCAACTTCAAAAGAAGCTACAAAATAGGCACCCACTGACCAGTGCTGTGGGCAAGGCGAACCGTTCCTCTGTGGCTTCAGAACCATGGCTACCTCCAATATGCCTAAAAAGTATAAGGAGAGGACAAAGCACCTCAAGTTCATGGATTTTAAGCAGGCTAGAAAGGCTTGAAAGCCTGAGCAACTTTGCTCTCCTGCCGGTTCCGAGTGTCATGGCTCACTAAGCCACTTAACCACTCCAACCATGTCGTCTGCTTCAGATATGCTACCAACTCAAGCACCACACCACTCCCAGAACTGTTCCAAGCATTGTATCTCAGAAAAGCACCCAACCGCTCCATGCCGACCATGCTAGCACCTCGAGCCTCTCCATCCCGTTCCAGAACTACTGTGCCTTGATTGAATTGTACTGGGGCTCAGGTTGACTAGGCAACACCAACATAGTTCTTTGTCGTGGTCTCTGTACATCGCACATATGGGTGCTGTGCCTGTGCAGTGCCCTTATTTGGGAAGATTTCTCTAGCTTAGCCTAGAACTTTCCATGGGAGGCCACCCCCTCCCTCCTCTATATAAATGGCAGGCTCTCACCATTTTGTCAGTTCACTTTCGACTGCCGTTTGCCAGTGCATCAGGATCTCTAGTGTTCGTTGCCTTTTTCTTCACACCTTGATTGTATCTTTCTGAATTTTCCCTATACTCTTCTATTTAATTCCTACTTATAACTACCTTAAAAACTTACCTAATTATCATTTGATCCTCTATTTATTCCCTTGATAAACCCTTTCTAACCCCTCCCTCCCCTCAAAACCTTAAAAACCTATCACTCCCCCCACCCATACAAAACCTTTTATCGTCATATTTCTTCCCTATATCTACTCTTATTCTTTCTGATGTTGCTCAGTAAACTGGCCTTTAGAAAGTGTGCTAGCTGCAGAGGGCTTATATCAACCTCTATCAGAATGTTCTTATCCACAATCTCCATCAAAATGCAAAACCCTAACCCTATTGCCACCATGTGAACAGAGTGATGGGTTAGATGGACTTTTGGTCCAATCTAGCTTGACTTTTCTTATATACTTATATAATAAATTTATACACATTTTATGGTGTACATTTGCTGTGTACACATTTCAAAACTGTGGTCCATTGTCATCCTCCAGTCTCTCCTGGAGTGCATGCTTGCTGTGATGCACAGTAGCTCTTTGTTAAATGTCATAATTAATTTCATTTGGGTGCACATGTACATGACTCTGTAAACAAGGACAGGTGGTAACCATACATATACATTGCCTTTTCAACACATATTGCAAGTGACTAACATTCAATTTGTAGGTGAATTATGTTTCCTCCACCAGTTATAAAGCTTTGTTCATGCTGTAAATGAGGAACCAATATGCTCACTGAAAAAGAAGTTATGTCTGTAGAATGAAGACAATGAGATGTATTTAAAGGGAAAGCAAAATGGTTGCAAAACTGTCCCACTCTCTTACCACTTGTTTAAAATATATATTGCCCAGACAACAGTATGGCTCACCTTGTCATCTCTTCCCAGGTGCTTGTGGAACTGGTGCACAACAAAGCTTTCTGTAGTGCTTCCTCTGCCAAAAAGAACTACAGGCAGATATTCACTGTTAAAGGCCAGTCCACTAGGTTAATGCCAATTGTAATCATCCCACTGCAATTGGGACTGCATGATATTGCACTTGAAGCAATCACATTGGAACCATTCATGAGTTTTCATGTGTGCAAGAAGCTGAACATTCAGGTATGTAATGAGCTTGGATTTCCTCTGACTCTTGGAGAAAGACTAGAGCCATTTTGATTCTTACCATTGCAGCACTGCCTGTAACTTTGAAGTAGGAGGTTTCTCCATATGCTGTGGCCCCTCCTTAAATAACTCTAGACATTTAAGAGAAATTTATTTCAATTAGTTTGGAGCAGGGGACTCCATATGGACTGAACAAAAGTTCCAGTGTAATTTGTGGTTGAAGTCTGCATGTTTTTGAGCTTGCAGTGTGATTTGTAGATCAACAAATTTATGCTCAACAATATATATACATTTGAAAAAATGTGCATAAAAGTGCTTTGTCTTGAAAAGCATGTGCAAGGTACTTTAGCCATCTCTCTCTCTCTCTCTCTCTCTCTCTCTCTCTCTCTCTCTCTCTCTCTCACACACACACACACACACACACACACACACACACACATATTTATATGCTGCCCCACAGCCAAAGGCTCCCTGGGTCACTCATAGCACAATATCAAATACAGATACAGATGATACAGATACAAAATATAGCAAACCAAAACACATAAACACATAAAGGTGTTGGTGATGACCTATAAAGCCCTAAATGGCTTGGGTCCTGGTTACCTGAAGGAGCGCTTACGTCCATATATGCCCAGCCACCCCTTGAGATCAGCAGGAGAGGCCCTCCTCCGGGAGCCCTCAGTGAAGGAAATTAGGAGGGTGGCTACTCGGAGGAGGGCTTTCTCAGCGGTGGCGCCTAAGTTATGGAATGTGCTCCCCAGAGAGGTCCGCCTGGCGCCGTCGTTATTTGTTTTTCGGCGCCAGGCGAAGACCTTTTTATTTATGCAGCATTTTAAATGTTAATATTATTGAATTTTATTCGGCCAGGGCGGCTTATTTTATTTTACTGTATATATTTTAATTGTCATTGTTTTAATGTATTTTGTATTCGATGTTGTAAGCCGCCCCGAGGCCTTGGCAAGGGGCGGCATAGAAATGTTTTAATAAATAAATAAATAAATAAATAAATAAATAAATAAAATAAACAAATAATATTAACATACAATATAAATGCAACAGATACATGGAACAAGAGGCAATAAACACAATAAACCACTAACAACAAGCAATAAAACAATAAGCCAGCAGCAACCCAAGTCCAATCTAAAAATAAATACTGAATAAAAGAGTCTTGTCGTGGCACCAAAAGCAAGATAAAGTGGGTGCCAGTTGCACCTCCCTTGGAAGGGAATTCCAAAGGTGAGGTGTGACAACGGAGAAGGCCCTTTTCTTTGCCAACTCCCCCATCACCTCATTTGGGGAGGGTTTGCGAAGGAGGGCCTCCATTGATGACCTGAGTGGCTTGGTAGGGATATATGGAGACACGTGTTCCTTTAGGTGTCCCGGTCCCAAGCTGTTTAAGGCTTTGTATGCTAGCATGAGCACTTTGACTTGGGCCCGGGCAAAAACAGGCAGTCAATGCAATTGGCGGAGGACCGATGTAATATGTTCTCTAGGGCTGTCCTTATTAGCAACTGCACTGCTCTGTTTTGAATTAATTGGAGAGCCTGGACTGTCTTCAAAGGCAGCCCTACATAGAGCACATTACAGTAATCCAGGCAAGAGTTTACCAGCTCATGGATAACTGTGGTGAGGTTCTACTCATCCAAGTAGGAATGTGGCTGAAAAATCAGCCTAAGCTGATAAAAAGTGCTCCTGGCCAGGGTCCAGGAGTACCCCTAAGCTACGAACCTTATGCTTTAGGAGGAGTGCAACCCTGTCCAGGTCTGGTTGAAAATTTCTGAGTTGGACAAACAGACTGCCCACCAACAGACCCTCCATCTTCTCTGGGTGGAGCTTCAGTTTATTGGCCCTCATCCAGTCCATTACCGAGCCAAGGCACTGGTTCAGGATAGTCACTGCCTCACTTGGGTTGGATGAGAATGAGAGGTAGAGCTGAGTGTTATCAGCATAGTGATGACACTTCAGTCAATACCTCTGGATGACCCCACCCAGTGGTTTCATGTAGATGTTAAAGAGCATGGGGGACAGAATAGAGCCCTGTGGTACTCCATGGTGCAAATGGCATGGCACAGAGTGACAGTCCCCCAGCTCCACCAATGGCCAGCCAGATAGGGGTGAAACCACCACAAAGTGGTGCCCCCAACACCCAGCCCAGCCAGCCTCTCCAGAAGGATACCATGATTGATGGTATCAAAAGCTGCTGAGAGATCCAGGAGAATCAACAGGGTCACGCTCCCCCTGTCTCTTTCCTGGCATAGGTCATCCCACAGGGCCACCAAAGCAGTTTCTGTTCCAAACCCTGGCCTAAGGCCCAATTGAAATGGATCTAGATAACCCATTTTCTCCAAGAGAGCTTGGAGTTGCCCAGCCACAGCCCACTCGAGCACCTAGCCCAGGAAGGGAATATTGGTTATAGGTCGATAATTATTTATGTCCTCTGGATTCAGAGGTGACTTTTTAAGGAGTGGTGTAACTACTGCATCTTTAAAGGGGCAGGCACCACTCCCTCTCTCAAGGAGGCATTCATCACCTCCTGGATCCAGGGATGAGTCCCCTCCTTTGATCTCTCAATTAGCCAAGATGGGCAAGGGGTCAAGCAAACAAGTTGAGGCTGGACATAACACATCACCTTGTCCACATCCTCAGACCACAATACCTGAAACTCATCCAGTTAAGTTGGACCAGGCGACACACTGGATGCCTCTGTCAATGGCACTGGAATAACTGTGGTGTCCAACTTGAGACAAATCTGAGCAACTTTGCTCTCAAAGTGTTGCACAAACTTGTCACAGCGGGTCTCTGAAGGTTTGATGGTATCACATCTTGGGCCAGAGCGTAAAAGGCTACAAACCACTTGAAAGATTTCTGCAGGACAACAGCTCAAGGATGCAATGGAGACAGCAAAGAAAGACCTCTTTGTTGCCTTCACCTCCATGGAGTAGGCCCAGTAATGGTCACAAAGCTGCATTTGGTCAGATTCATTCCGAGTTTTCCACTACCTGTGCTCTAGCTGTCTTCCCTTCTGCTTCATCGCACTCAGCCCTGGTGTGTACCAGGGAGCCAGGCAGGCTCGGCAAGAGGGGAGAGGATTGTGTGAACCACTCGAGTCATCTCCCTATTCCACAAAGTAACCTGGGCATCAACAGGAGCACCAGTCATGCGAGCAGGAAAATCCCTCCTGAAAACCTTCTGGATCCATTAAACTCTGGGGGTGGACCAACTTAATGGGTCCCCCCACCCTCCAAAGTGGAAACGGGGCCAAAAATCCAAACCTCAGGAGGAAGTGATCTGACCATGACAACTCCCCTACTATCAGAGCACATCAGAGCAAGCTTGCCCAGCTGGTCTAGGGCCTCTGAGATATAAGCAGCCAAGCTCCAGGGGAGTGAGCAACACGAGCGATCAAACAGGGAGAGCAAACAGGAGTTTGGCACAGGAGTTCAGTGGGGGAGGTCGAGGGGGAGGTCCATAACATTTTCCACACCCTTTATTTCTCTTCTTTATTTCACCTCCGCCCCCCCCACACACACACATGGTGGCACAAACAATGCACCAAGAAGACTCCACAATGGTGGCCTGTAACAACTGCAACTGCTGCACAGTGGTACCCCTGTTACACGGCAAAGTGAGAACACTAGAGCAGCAAGTGTCCACCCTCCAGGCAATAAAAGAAAATGAAGAATTTCTAGACAGAGAGGAGAAACTATAACAGGTAAGTGTAGTCCAGAAGCAAGAAGAACTTCAGCAAGCAGAAGATAACCCTGAGGAAGGGGAACATGAGGAAACTCACTGGAACAGGGTGACAGATGCAGATGACCTAGAAAACACTCTGCACTCGTGGAAGCAGTAGAATGCTTGAAGTTACTTGAGGAAGGGAGAAACTCACTGTGAAAGAACTGCATGACACATTGGGTAACTCGGAAAAAGAGACAAAAGGCCAATCAAACAAGGAAAAGGATAGCAAAGTTTGCAACAAAAAGAGAAGAGTGCTAGTTGTGGGAAATTCCCTCTTGCGTGGGATGGAAAAATATGTATGGCATGATGACCCAGAGAATCGCCAAGGATGCTGTCTCCCTAGTGCCAAGGTTAAAGATATAACCAGCAAGCTCACATAACTCGTACAACCCACTGACAAATACCCCTTCCTTTTCTTCCACATGGGAACTAACAACACTGCCATGAGAAATAAAATCAGACTTCGAAGCTCTAGGGAGGAAGATAAAAAAACAATGGGACCCAGATAGCCTTCTCCTCAAGCCTACCACTATGTGGAAGAGGAACTGTTAGGGAAAGAAAAATCCTTCAAGTGAATGACTGGCTACAATGGTGGTACCATAAAGAGCAATTTGGATTCTGGGACCACAAGCTAAGCTTCATGGAAGATGGACTATTGGCAAATGGTGGGCTGCACCTCACAAAGAATGGGAAGCAGATGTTTGGCCACTCTATGAAAAACTTCATCAGGAGAGCTTTAAACTAAAACCTATAGGAGATGGAGATGTGCAGTATGGCTTTCCATCACCGGACAAGGACTTATATATTTCAACAGAGAAAAAACCTCAGAGAAAGGCCCAACACTAGTCTCCCAAAAAACGTAGGAAGAAAACTAGGGCACAGTGAGAATGAACTTGGATGTCTCTACACCAATGCCCAGAGTATGGGAAACAAACAACATGAACTCGAGCTCATAGCACATAGCATATATGGGCAATTATGATCTTGTAGGAATAACGGAAATTAGGTGGGATGACTCACATGACTGGAACTCTACAACTGTTGGATACAACCTGTTTAAGAAGAATAGAAAGGACAAAAAGGGAGGTGGAATTGCACTATACAGAGGCACATATATTTGTCCAGAGGAACTTAGTAACCCCATTGAAAGCATCTGGCTAAATTCAAAGGGAGCAAAAAATAATAAAAACATAGTTATTGGCATCTATTATTGACCACTCAGTCAAAAAGAGGACAAGGATGCAACCTTCAAAAAGCAACTTGCCAGCATTTCCAAAAAGAATGATGAAGTCATCGTGGGGGACTTCAATTTCCCTGATATATGCTGGGAGACAAGTTCTGCCAAGCATGGCTCCTCCAAGAGATTTCAGATGTGTGCTGCCAACAACTTTCTCCAGCAGAAAGTAGAGAAAGGTACGAAAGGATCAGCTATCCTTGATTTAATACTAACAGGGATGGCCTGGTGAACAAAATAACAACAATGGGAACTCTCGGGGAAAGGGACCATGTGATACTTGAATTCTCAATTATAAAGGAGACAAAGGGTAACTGGAACCAAACAAGCATCCTGGACTTCAAGAAAGCCAATTTTAATGAACTCAGAAAAACAATAAGCAAAGTGCCATGGCAACACACCCTTAAGGGGAAAGGCATCCAAGGGGGTGGGAATCTGGAAAAAAAAAGATTCTCTAAGCACAACTACAAACAATTCTATCAAGAAAAAAGTGTTGAAGAGGGCAGAGGAAGCCCACATGGCTCCGCAAAAAGTTAAGTGGCAGCCTGAAAGGAAAAAAAAGAACATGTACAGGAAGTGGAAGCAGGCCCAAGCCATGAAGGAAGAATATAAACAAATAGCAAGGGATTACAGGAATAGCATCAGGAAAACTAAAGCAGGAAATGAACTGAGAATAGAAAGGGATGCTAAGAACAACAAGAAAGCCTTCTTCAGATATGTCCAGAACAAAAGACATGAGGAATAGAAGGGTGTCCAGCTACTTAAAGGGGATGGCAGAGTGATAACAGATGACAAGGAAAAGGCAGAGGTGCTCAATTCCTACTTTGCCTCTGTCTGGGGTTATTCTCACATAACCCCAGTCCTCTACCAGCTTCACTGGCTTCCCATCGAAGTCCGGGCTCAATTCAAGGTGCTGGTTATTACCTAGAAAGCCCTTAACGGCTTGGGACCTGGATACCTAAAGGAACGCCTTCTTCCATATTTGCCCTCCCACCCCTTGAGATTGGCAGCAGAGGCCCTCCTCCGAGAACCCTCCGTGAAAGACATTAGGAGGCAAAGTACCCGGAGGAGGGCCTTCTCTGCGGTGACGCCCCGTCTGTGGAATGCGCTCCCCAGAGAGGTCCACCTGGCGCTGTTGTTATATGTTTTTCGGCGCCCGGTTAAGACCTTTTTATTTCAGCAATATTTTAATAAGTTTTAATATCATGAATAACCAAAAGGGAATAATTGGGAGAGCCCTCCCCCCACCTGGGCTCCCACCCAGGTCTCAGGAATACAAGTCAGGTTGGCACACTCATCCACATTTAAATCATGGATGAGAGAGCATTTTTTATGTACCGACCTGGTGTTGAGCAACAGTACCACAAGGCCGGGGGGCAAGTTGGCATGGTTGCTGGGAATTGTCTGGTTAGATCAGAAGAAAGAACAGCAATAAGACATCTGTTCCCTCTTCTCCTTCACTGGGAGATCAGTCCCTCAATGCCATATCTCACCCTACCAGTAACCAAAACAACAGGGACACCCATATCCACAGGACACGCCAAGCAAGACCATAAATGGCCCAAAGGCTAAAACAGAACTAGCTGCTGGGGGAGGGGAGAAAAGGAGGGTAACAAACAAAAACTGAATGAATAAATAAATAAATGGTGGGAGCAATAAAATCAATACTGATGAGCACAACCCCGTGTCAAACTTACCCTTCCTTCATACTCCATGACTTGCTAGCCTTCTTATTTACCTTATTGTTCTCAACAAGAAAAATACCTTTCCACATTCTCAATGATCCTACTATGAACAAGCAAGCATAATCACAATCTGGAAACATCCCATTAATATTCCAGCCTCCAGCAGCTCACAACTTCTTACACAGACCCTCAATAGGTATAACTCTCAAGAACTCATCAGTATTAAAAATGTAAACAACAACAACAGTAAAATCCTCCTCTTTCGCAAGTGACAACCAATGGAGGCATAAACAGAAAGGCGGCTGGCTAAAAGCCTGCAATGAGAGTCTTCCTGCCCTGAAGCCCCACCTCTCAGTCTCCACACCACACCTGCAAAGCGCCATGTCTTGTCTATGCCTGTCTGATTTCTGCCACAAACAGAGTTGGTCCAGATGGAGAAGGAAGGCAGTGTGCAGCCTGCAGCAGCAGCTCAGCAGGGCGAGCAGATAGGATCCCGCAGTGACAGCAGCAGATAGAGTAGCCAGATGGAATGAGTGTGCAGAAAGGCGCAGGAGAAGAACACTTACATTTCAGAGATGCACACAGCTGATGTATACATTTAGAAAATAACGCAAAAATACAATTTTCATGAAGAAAAAAACAAAGGTTGTAATTTTATATGGCCATGAAATGGAAAGGGCTTGCAGGTGGGATTTAATTAATGTCAAGAAACACAAGTTGTGCCTATATGCACATTCCTAAGTGAGATCTGAGAGAACCAGCACCAGTTAGAATAGATGGTATTGTGCTAGATGAACGAATGATCTGTCCTTGCATAAGTAATTTTGGGAAAAGGTTATACTACACATATGCAGAGCCTGTGCTTTGCATAAGAAAGGTCTGAGAATCTGAATTCCTGGTATGCCTGGGAAAACTCTCTGCCCATGACCTTTGGGAACTGCTGCAAATCAGCACAAATAATAAATAACTTATGTATGTTATTTCCTTTTAAAAGAGCCAGCTGCAGGGGTGAGGGGAGTAAATTTATGGTGGCCCATCTCCAGTCACAGAGGGTCCTGGAAAGCATACCTAGCTGTGGTGGCAGTGCTGAAAGTAGCACTGGACAGCTGGCTTTAGACTAAAGAAAACTCTGAATGATACAAAATGAGGTGCATTGTGGGAAATTAAAAGGAAGTCTAGATTGCTGCTGGGAATTCTGGGGTAGGGAAAAAAATGAAGAGAGAAACAGGGCAGACATAAGCAGTGGGTTCTGCCAGGATGTAAGGCCCTAGAAGCTGCCTAATAATGCTAAGTACTTTCCACATAAACTTTCATAGGACTTTCTTCTCTTGGTGGATTCCACAGACGTGTTGGGACATGGTCTTGTCACATGAATTGCATCCAACAGCAAAGAATCACTGAAGATATATAGGCTGCTACCTATGAATAAGTCCTCATTGATTCCTAATTATGAAACTTTGTGTCTCAACCCTATGTATGTTTAAGTTCCACTATGTCCAAAAACAGGAACATCAGATTTCAGTCTTTACTATTCGGAATCCATGAGACTATCATGAAACTCTTTCTGTATTGCAGTCAATCACTAATGTGTGCACGCTGCATTTGTAGCAGCAACTGAATCTGATACGCATCTTTTATGTGCCTATGTTGCTGCTTTAATTTGTTGTTAAGTCTTGTTTGCAGTAAAACTCTGGTCAAGACAGTTCCTGTTCTTTTTCCCTTATCAGCCAGAAGGAAAGCAGAGAAAACTTGTAAACACATTTGAATTGGATCCCATTAAGTATGGTACCGGTGAGTAACAGTTTATTGCTCCTCAAAGCTCTCTTTCTACTCTGCATTGAACCCTGTGAAGGCCTGTCTCTGGTTTTGAGACTTTACATTTACTTTGCTCTGCTCTGTCCAAGCAACCCAGATAGCATTTTGCCTGGGAAATCTCAGAGGAAGTTTCTTTTATTGTAGCAAGGGTGTCATGTGAACTTGGAAACCCAGCTGCATGTAAAGCTTCTGCTACTGCCAGTTCTGTGAGGTCCTGAACTTCTGTAAAATGTATCTACCTTGGATTAAACTTTACAAAGTACTTCAATTCTACCTGCCCAAGGCTTATTAGGGGGTTAGTTTCCCTACAGTCAGGCTTACATTTGTGAACAGTTAACAATTCCTAAGTAGTATACAATGATATCCTCATGGTCCTCTTTTTCTGTTTGTGTGTAGGCAGAGAGATATAAACCCCAGAGAAAGAGAACAAATGGAGATAAGGGAAGAATAGTAGCCTAATTGGCACGTGTTAGACCATGGGTCCTCAAACTATGGCCTGCAGGCTGGATCCGGCCCACCATGCCCATTTATCTGGCCCACCTCAGAGATTTTGGAGTTGCTCGGAGAAAACGATCTCCAAACAAGTCCAAAAACTCTGAGCCAGCACATGAGTTCTCTGACAGAGAGCCAGCACATGCACCTAATTGTAGAAGCTCAATTGCGCATGTGCCAGCTCTCCCCCTCCCCCACCCCATTGCATGCATATACAGAGTGGGAATATGAAGCGGGAAACAGAAGAGAGGAGGGTGGAAGAGAGAGAGAGAGAAAGAAAGACGCTAAAAAAGGACTGAAGATAAGAAAACTTTCTTTATAACTTTTAAAATCCATTTTTAAGTATGTGAGCCACATCCCCAGACCGCCACCATTGAGCGGCTGCCCCCGGGCTTGGCGAGGTGGCCATGGCTTACCCAGAAAAGGCTCTTCCCCATCTCATCTTGGGCTTCTGCTGTAGCCCAAGGGAGCAGAGCAGACATTTTTTAATTTTTTAATTAATTTTTTTAATTTTAATTAATTTTTAATGTGCAATGTGCATAGGAATTGGTTAATATTTTTTTTTCAAACTGTAGTCCACCGTCTGCCCCCCAACAATCTGAGGGACAGGGAACTGGCCTCCTGTTTAAAAAGTTTGAGGACCCCCATGTTAGACCAAACCTGCACAGTGTGTGACCCACTGAGCAAACAAGTTCCACCAGGCATGTATTTTTTCTTCCTCTTTGAGATTGAAAATCAGAGCAGGGTGGGGTATTCTTAGGCAGACCAAAACACAAGGCTGGTATCACACATCCAGGCTGATGAGTTGCCAGATTATGCATATCTGTTTTATAATGTTGTTGTTCTTTGTGGTCTCACATGGGGGCCCTGTGCTGCACAGAGCCCCATTTTGGGAAACTTCTATGAGTGAGGAATTTAGGCAGGTACCCTTCTCTCACTGCATGTCTCCAATAGAATCCTTCCTCAGTGCTCGGTTCTTTTACAGTCACCATTTCTGTAACCTAACCAGAAGTGTCAGCTCCGGGACATAAGTGGCAGGCATCCTCCACTGGAAAACCAGAACCGGTGTGATAGAGGGCTTGGCCACACACAGAAAGGCCAGAGACAAACGTGACATCAGGAGTAAGCAGGTCTCAAATACCAACAAGGCAGGGCAGAACCAAAGTCAGAAACACACAAGGATCAGGCAATTGGCAAAGACAGAGTTAGGAACTGGCAGGCGTCAAGGCACAGATGCAGACCTTGAGGAAGGGCAGCAGAGGCTGGGCCAGGCACACAAAGCACCACAGCTGTGCTGCTGTGGTGAAGCTGGGCAGGGCAGAGGAGCCTTTTATAGCACATCCTGTGACTTCCAGCTGTTCTTCATGATTGCACATGTCCTCAGCCTTGTAAACAACTACAGGTGTATGTGCAAATACTTGCAAGGTGCACTAGGCTGCCCACTTTATGGAGCCACTAGAGGGAGTTGTGTTGTTTTGCAGAGAGCATTCTCGATCCATTGGACTGTGTTTTTGTGTGTGATTGCTCTTTTTCCATCGTCATATTGTTATTGGAACTTGCTAGTTTTCTTTTCTTTTCTTTTCTTTTCTTTTCTTTTCTTTTCTTTTCTTTTCTTTTTACTACTCGATTTCCTTCAGCTGTATGCCCCTGAAGGCCTCATTCAGAAAATGTGTGAAATATGGGAGTAAGTTCTACAGATGGGATTCCTGGGCAGTTGTGGTGCTCCAGATGTTTTGCCTTGCAAGTTTCCCACCCCTGCCATAAAATATCCTTCTTCTGTCATAGTAAATATATCTCCATCTTCCCTCTCTGTAAACTATCTGTATGCTGTCTCACTTCTTCACATGATTGAGAAACAGCTCTGTAAGCAGACATGTGTCCTGAATGCTAATTTGAGAAGTCAGTATTTCTGCCTCCTTGTAATATCCCACCCTTTCCTCCTTTTTTCAGATGGAATACAAGAACTGAGGATCAGTGCCACTGATTTAAAAAATATTGTTCCTGACACAGAGCACATGACTCAAATTTTCATTACAGGCAAGTAACCCTAAAGGATGGACATAAAAGATTGTGGAAATGGTGGTTGGGGGGGGGGGATTCCCTTTCCTCTGCTTCTGCTGCACCCACCATAGAAAATACATGGCTAGAAGTAACCATTCAATTTCAACTGGGTAGACCATGGGGCTGAGACTCCCCAGCTGATTTCATTAATCATATGTATGAACAAAAGCATTTCCACAGATACAATTGCTCCTTATAGCTTACAGCATTGCTTCTCAGCTTTTTGGCTAATCCCAAGAATGGTGCATGCTTTAAAGCAGGGGTCCTCAAACTTTTAAACAGGGGACCAGTTCACTGTCCCTCATACTGTCGGGGGACCGGACTATAGTTTGGAAAAAATATGAATGAATTCCTATGCACACTGCACATTAAAATTAATTAAAATTAAAAAAATAAAAGATTAATTAATTTTTTAAAAAAATTAAAAAATGTTTGTTCTGCTCCCTCGGGCTGCAGCAGTAGCCCAAGATGAGGTGGCGAAGAGAGGGGGAGAGGGCCAGGAGAGGGCTGCGAGGAGGAAGGTAAGGGCTGCTTTCTGAGGCAAGGGGAGGCAAGGGACAGGGCCGTGGCTGGCCAAGTGGGGTGCCTCCCACCTCTCCCTGCTGCAGAGGGGGGGAGCATGGCAGCCACTCGATGGGGATGGCTTGCTCAGAGAAGGCCACGGTGGAGGTGCAGGAGCCGTGGCCCCACTCCACCTCAACCTGTCTGCCCCCAGGCTCGGCAAAGCAGCCGTGGCTTGGCCTACAGCCCGGGGACGTGGCTCACATAATTAAAAATAGATTTTAAAAGTTATATTTTTCTTACCTTCAATCCTTTTTTAGCATCTTTCTCTCTCTCTCTCTCTCTTCCGCCCTCTTCTCTTCTGTTTCCTGCTCTGTATTCAGAGCCAACGCATGCGTGCAATGCGGTGGGGGGGGGGGGGGAGAAAGCTGGCACACGTGCAGTTGAAGGGAGCTGTTACAATTTGGCGCATACGCTGGCTCTCTGCTCAGTTTCAGAGAATGCCTGCTCCAGCTCAGAGCTTTCGGACTCGCTCGGAGATCATTTTCTCCGAACGAGTCCAAAGGCTCTGAGGCAGGCTGGGTAAATGACCATGGTGGGCCGTATCTGGCCCACTGGCCATAGTTTGAGGACCCCTGCTTTAAAGCTTTAATAGGAGTAGCCAACATCTTCAATTATACTGAACAGCTAATATTCACAGCTTCTGATTCAAGATCACAATTCTGAATGTACAGTTCTAAACATGGGAATGTTGTCAAGACATGCATTTGATTTAAAAGATTTTTTCACCTTTGGCAAAAAACCATTTTTGGCAAGAGGAGAAACCCAAATAATCCATAATATAATATAATAATATACCCAGCATCTTCTTCAAACAATATGGAATTTATTAAGCTATATTTAAGACTTTAAATTTAAATATACGCTCATGGATTTGGGAAATCAATTTGGTTGAGTGATCATAATGCAATTCAAATGTAAGTATTCAATAAAGTATGAAAATTAGCTTCATTCTCCCAGAGGCTGGATTTATAAGTTTCTTCACTTAAAACTAGGTCCATGGACCTGTGCTAGCAGTCAATGCCTGTCTAGCATGGAGTTCTGAATGTGGGGGGTCAAAAAGGGCAAGATTAGATAAATCATAGTCCCAACTGCTCTTGAGAAAGAAAAAAGAGATAGTTGCCATGAGCAACAGAAAGTGGCAACTGGGGGATATAAATTGATCAGTCCAACTGTGGGGTTGTGCAGTCAAGCTGCCCTGATGCCCAGTCACACTAAAGAAACTACCCAATGTTCACAGCTCTTTCACCCCTCTTTAGGGTGATTTGTGCACTTCCTGCTTGATCTTGTTCCTCTTCTTGGTTGTCTGAAGACCTCTTTACCACTGGTTCTTTGTCCAAGTTTTTTGGAGAATCTAGGCTAATACCAGAGGGAGAAAAGGAAACAGGAGCCCTGGCCATGATCCTTACCATTGGAACATCGGGACAAATGGCATATGTTGGGCTAGGGCACCAACTATGTAAAATGAGATCAAATTTAACACATGCATATACAATAGAAAAGGGTGTGAAGGCTGGAGATTACCCTTTGTAAAAAGACTTTTGGGGAAAGACCTTGAAAGACAGACTAAGGATTCAAAGATGCCTTTCCCTGGGTTGGTTGACTCATGCCTGAAGCTGATGTGCATTAAATCTCATATGTTGCAGCAGTAAAGGAAAACTGTGTCCTTTTAAAGTGAGATTTTTGCACACCATTGCTTAGTGCCAGGTGGGGACCTAAGTGGCCTGATTAAGCTTAGCCTAGGAAAAATAAGCAGTAGATGAGAAATGGGACTAAGACACCCCTCACCCTTTTGACTGTTTTCTCTGGAGTTGTCTGAGGTGCTCCCACAAAAGTGTAGTCAGGAAATCCTGGATTAGCAGCCTGGGAGAATGTATGCTCAGATCCACAGGGAGATGCCATTGCCTTGAAACTCAGCAGCTTTATTGGTGAGAACAACCCAGGTAAATCCCTTTGCAGAGACCATACCTACAACAGCACTGCCAGGTAGAGATATGCCCACCAACTACAAATTCCCTGAGCACATACAAAATGTTTTATAGGTTTCAAGTTTCAAGGGACTGATGCGATTCTGAATGGGTGAAAAGGTGAGGACAATGCGAAATAATGCAGAAACATTGAAAAATCATTATAGGCATCAGGAAAAACATCATGACCCATCGAAGGCTTGGATAGCGGATAACAAATTAAAACAATCAGGAGTTACAGAAATCTAGTTTAAAATCAAGTTTAAAATGTTGTGGTTTTTGTAATCAGAGATCTAAGTAATTTTACATTGCAAAGGAAGCACAGCTTCCCAGATGGCTCATCTGATTCTGCAAGAAAATGCATGGAGCCCCAGGGCTGCCTGCTTTTCCCAGGCATGTGGAGCTTGGCCAAAAGTTCTAGTTCTTTCTGGGCAAGAGGAGCAGGGACACTGCAGTTTGATTTTATATCAACAAGGCACACACAAGTAACTTTTCTCTATAAAAATTTATTTGGATTTTCCCACATCTGCATTGTGTAGATGAAGAATGCAGAGAATCCAGTGGCAAAGGCCCAGATGATATAAGTTCATCACTAAATGTACAATTAAGCTGGACAAAGAAGTTTTAAATTTTATTATGAATTTCAGCAAGTTTTAACAAAGCTAAAATGATAAAAATTGGAAAAAACCCATTTGCATTGCATAAAGTTTAGCTATATTAAGTTGCAACAAATAAATGGAATGTATAAGCCACTGTTTTACATGTATGTAAGGAAATATACTACTGTTGGTAGTAGTTATGGATAAATTTAATCAAAGGCAGGCCAAATATCTCCACATTTCTCCATGGATAAATAGCAATGTCTAAATACCAAATTTTCAAAGTGTGTAAGAGTTAGTAGGTTCTCAATAGACTGTATTATTAGAGGAAGCCATTTATCCTTCCAGAGCGGTATTTAGCCATAATAGTAGATAGAAAATCTATTTACATAGTTTGTGTGTTAAATTCCAGGAAGCAGATAAATAGTTAAGTATAAATATTAAAGTGTTTTTCAACACAAAATTCACCCCTATTATGACCTCCCCAAAGGAGGTAGCTGTTGGGCATTGCCAAAACATATGGGTGAAGGAAGCATTTGGTGCATTGTACCAACAGTTAGCCAACTTAGTTGGCACTTCATTGAAGAGATGTGGTGGCATCTAATAGATATGAAACCAAAACTTTTGCTTTAAGATATATCTTAAAATCCATGGACACTTACAAAATAGATGCTAACACAGCATTGCATTGCTTAGGCAAAAAAGCACAGTCAAATTCACTATTCCATTCTTGCTCAAGACCTGGTATATCATATTTATTCACTGACAATAAGTATTTATATAACTATATTGTAGGTTGATATAGCTGATCAGTCTTAACAAGTAGTTCTAAATAACCAACCATTAGGCACTTTACCCACAGTGGATTGCTGTGCTGTCCAAACCAGGACACTGACTTTCTATGTGCTTGGATTCATATATAAACACTTTCTTTACATGGTCAGGAAATCCTGTTATTCAGCCTACTGAAGACTACATTGATGGTACCAAACTGGACAAACTCATCATAACCCCTAACGGCAATGTAGAGCAGAACATAATCACCATGACACCATTGGTTTCTGCCACTTACTTCCTTGACAAAACTGAGCTGTGGGAGAAGATTGGTGTGGACCGAAGGCCTTATGCAATTGAGCAGATCAACAAGGGTAAGGCAAACAGATGTGTGCTCCAGACTTGCACTTCCTTTATGTTAATGTAGAAATGTGTTAATTTTTATGTAACTCTGGATAATCCAAGCAGAAAACAGGTGGGGAACCTAAAGCTTGGGAGCCAGATCTGGTCCTCCTAAGATCCTAGTCTCTGACATATCAGTTGTGGTATTTCACCGTGGTACATTTAGCTTTTAAAAACCATGATGTAGAACAACAGTTTATTCTATGATTTCCCTTTATTGTAATGACTTGTTGCATTGTCTGAACCCAGGTCTGTGGTTTCCATTGTCTTGGCATTCAGCTATCACAGAGTACCCTGGAAAGTGCAGCCACTCAAGGAGCATCTTCAGCCATCCAGCCTCTACTACTCATCTCTGACTAGTAATAGACATGTAGTGGCTTACCTCACTCCTAAACCACTGTTCTCTGTTTCCATCCTCCTCCATCTTCTCTGTGTTGCAGTCCAAATGTCCACCTGCCATTTTCTAATTGCAGAGCAGAACATAGTGCTGCCTGAAAGAGCAGTCTTGGAGACAGCCAGTCTCTCTACTGCTATTTTCTTGCTGTGATGTCCACTGATGCTAGCCTGAGTTGGATGCATGCTAGCATGGGAGAGACAACTTCCCCTTCCCCTTCCTGATTGTCTCTCCATCTCTTTAATATTTCCTAGCTAATTGAACCTGAAGGTTTTACATCAAAATAAACACTTTGGCTGTGATTCTCTTTTTCTTCTCTGGGCATTTACAATTATTTCTCCCTATTTCAGAAAGTAAACAGGGTGACATTCACAGTATTCAACCAACAGGAACAAAGCAAGGGATGAAGTGTGTTGCCAAGATGCTGTGGGTAGTAGGGATTGGATGCCTGGAATAGCCTCTCCTGTTGCTACTTGTTCCACAGTATTCTATGGTGCTTTTCATCATGAATGGAAAATGGACATCACAACAGACAACTGCAGTAAACAGAAACTATACATCAGACTGTTGTTTCTTGTCATGTTTTCCAGGCTCAAAGTAAGCTGTAGTGATACAACTCCTGCAACAGCAGGGGGTTGGACTCAATGGCCTTCATGACCCCTTCCAACTCTTCTATTCTATGATTCTATGACAAGCCCACAACAGTAAAACAAAGAAAACACACACACACACACACACACACACACACACACACAGTGATAGCAGAGTTGGAAGAGGCCCATAAGGCCATCAAGGCTAACCCCCTGCTCTGCTTCCACATGTGGTCACCCATCTGGCTGCAGGTTCAGCTTAGCAAAGGTGACTCAGCATACTAGCTCAATGTATAGCTATGCTGGCAGTCACTGTTTACTATAGAAGAGTGTTTCTTATTGGCGGGTTTGTTTTAGTGTTGGGAAGTTTTATCTATGTTAGAATAAAAACTGCAGTATATGTCAATGGGTATTGTGAGGAACATTCCCATAAATGTTGGGGAGAAGTTTGAGCAGGTGCTCAAACATGTGGGTATTTGGGAAGACATGATGCATTTTTCTGGCACTGGAGGAGGAAGGAAGACTGGCCTTCATGTTCATCCAAAGGGAAGGGAGGACACATGAGCAGGAGAGTAAGAGGAGCTTGTGTGTATGATTGAGGTTGGTGAAGGAGGCAAGAAATGAAGTCGATGGAGAAGAGTGGCACAGAGGAGAAGACAGCCGGTGCAGTGTGGTCATTACAGAGCTGGACTGGGCATCTGGGTAGTAGCTCCCACTCGGCCATGAAGCTCACTGACGAGTCGCTCACCCTCAGGCTAACCTACTTCCCAGGGTTGCTATTGTGAGGATTTCAAATGGAGTGGAGAAATGTGCAAGCTGCCTTGGGTTCCTTGGAAGAGGAAAAAAGGCAGGATAGAAATGCAATGTAATCTGGGAAATATAATATTGACAAGACAAGAAAGGAATGAGAAAGGGATATTGGGAAGTCAGAGCATTTTGGTGCATGAAACCAAGCTGAGAAAAGGAAAACTGGGGAGGTGGATGCAAACGAGCACGGATGGATTCCAGAGAATACTGTCTCTGGGAATGAGTACTTTCTGGAGCATCCTGGACCAGGGGAATAATAGGGGGGTGGGGGGATTATTAAATGCAAAGGATATAGGAGAGGGGTACAGAGAAGGGGCTATCAGGTAGAATGACAACAAGGGAAATATAAAGAAAAGAGAGTGTGTGACAAAAAATGCATCCAGGGAACTGTGGAGACCAAGGAAAAAGAGGCAGGTGATGTAGGCGGGGAGCCATGTACCTTGAATTTCAGGCATAGTGACTGATGGGATATATGTCAACAGTGGGAGAGCTCGGCAGAGAGGTTGGGAACCACAATAACATGAACACCACTGATTGTCTGTCGGGTAGTTCATTCACGGTGTTATGCCCACCTGAACTGTTATTCATTGTAAAATTTTCCCTGCTGAGAGACCAGAAGTGAAAGGGTGGAAAGAATGTGATGTGCAGTGCACGTGCAAAAAGAAGAGATACCCAACTGACTTGAGACAGTGCTGCAAGAAGGAACGGAAGCAAGCCTTTTTTCTCTGCAGGACAAATGCTGTGTTGATTCTGCCTTACTGGATGTTTGTGTTTAATCAACTGTGCTAGAATTTCATATCATTCCTTCCTTTTTTCAGGTTACAATAAGCAGCTGAGTTTCAGGCAAGCAGACCACTCCTATCGTCCTGTTGGCGGTAGCAGGTCTAGCACTTGGTAAGTGCAGTACTTCTTTGGCCATGCCCTTCCCTCTTGGATGGGCTTTTCAAGTTCCTTTACTCCATAGTCTGTTTAAACTTCTACTGATTTCCAAATGTCTTCTGCTGATCCCCACTCACTTAGCTGCTTTTCCTCTCTATCTATCTCTTGATTTTGTCCTTTCCCCTTCTCTCATAAACCCATATTTTACATAGAATGTTCCTCACTTGCAATCTTTTCTCCCTTTTAGTTTCCTCTCATTGGAACTCATTGGCACCTTTGTTTATTGTTACTGCTTTTTCTAAAACTCTTCAATTCTCCTTGGCGTATTTACATTGATCTCCTCCCAATCTCTTCTGTCTAGTATTTTTGATGGCTTCCCAGACTAACATATGGCTTATGATAGTCTTTCTGTAATTTTAATTTTATATACAGTGCATAATTGCAGCAAGTCCTTCTGTAACAATAAGCAGAAGCGTATTTCTTTCTCTGTTAATAACCCATTAACCAAGTGCCAAGGATATGCAACCTAGATATCTTGGGTGTGAGGAATTTGCTTTGGGGGTGGGTATCCATTGTATTCCCTGGGCTTAGAACCCTGGACTCGGGTCATCTTTGTCATGGCTGCAAGTTTTAGTTCCTGGCGAGTATGCCAAGCATTCATACAGCAATTGCCAGGAATCAACCCCAGGTGACCACTGCACAAGTGATGTCTCTATTCCTCATTACATGCAGTAGCCTTTCTTTGTGCTGCTACATGTAATGCAGAAGAAGGTTGCCAGTTGCACAACTGGACTTCTGCAAGTGTCCATGGATTTCCTCTCAGCTTGGCTCTCTTTCTACAGTAGGGCCAAGCATAAGAGGAAATTTGCAAATACTAGGGGGATGGATTCTGCAGACCATTGTCACAACACTAACCTTAGGTTCTTCTTCATGATCTTTGTGCATCACACATATTGTCTCTGCTCCAACAGTGAGCCTTGATTCTGGAAGTTTCTATAGCTGAGGAAACTTGGAGTCAGGAAACCTCTCCTGCTAGCAGATTTCCACCAATTCCCTCAGTGCCTCTTCAGTTTTTCAGTCACTGTAGGCAGACTTCCCTATCCAGAGCTTCCACAGCCAAGACACAACATCCCAGTCAGTACAGTTTATGCCACAGGGAATGAATTAGCTGAGGGGCAGGGTTCTATGCCTGCTTCTCCACATGGCTGTAGACCAACCCCTTCCTCAGAGGGCTGTAGGCATGCCTCATAGCAAGGGATATTCCTAAGGTGCGAAAGCAGGCGTAGCTTTACTCAGATGAGAAGGGCACAGTACACCTCTGACACCTGTGTAAGTCTGCTTAAAGTCTTCATTTTGCCAATATTTAGATTCCAAGCTGTACAAAGCTGGGTCCGGTCAATCATTAGAGATAAAATAATCACAGGTGGGACCTACAACAATACATTATAGTTCATCTTCACTTCATAATAGGACTGTTTTTCTTCATGGCTCGAGGTAGCCAACCATGCTCAAGGATAGCATATAAATTCCTCTTTGTGTTCTCTGTATATCACACATACAGGTGTTGTGCCTATGTTTGAGAAGATTCCTCTAGCTAAGCCTAGAAATGTTGGGGGGAGCCTGCCCTCCTTCCCCATTATATAAATAGGCAGGCTCCTGCCATTTTCTCAGTTTGCTTTCAACCACATTTTTCAGTGCCTTGAGATCTCTAGCCCTTATCTTAGCCATTTAGCTCAGACCTGTTTCCTCATTTCTACAACTTTAGTTCTTTATTTCTTGCCTCTTCTCGATCTTCTAAGACCCTTTCAGCTTTCTTGTTCACTTATTTCCCATTTTCATGACCCCCCTCCCCACCTTATTACTTCACAATTTTTGTTTAAATAAGCCCTTCTATTGTCTCTCCCCTCAATATTCTTAGTCTCTCCACTTCTCTCTTTTTTCTCTCTCGGTGGCACTGAAAGCTGTTTTGCAAGTGTGCAGAGTGTGGAGTGAAAATGCCATCAACTGACGGCCGTTCCTTGAGCCTCTTCTGCTTGGGGGAAGAACCATTATGAGGACTATTGCCAAGATGAGGACCAAGCACACGGGTGGCATCCTAGTAATGCCATGGTGGCCCAGGCAGCCTTGGTTTCCTTCCTTACTCCGAGTCTCCAATTGCAACTTCCTACACCTACCCACCATTCCAAACAGGGACATCGATGGCTCTCCATGTGGGCTTTCCATTAGATGCACCATGCAGAACAGCTACATGGTCGACACCATCCAGATGTGTCCACCACTATTAGCTCAATGTAAAGGCCAGACAAGACGGTTCCTTTGGCCGTGCCGGTCTGTCATCTATCCTTCACTGATGACACCTCCCACCTCCTTCATTGGTATGCTTGCTAGTCACTCATATGTGTGATACAAAGTGACCATGAAGAAGACAGTAAGGTTGCCTACCTGTAACTGTCATTCTTTGAGTGGCCATCTGTGCATTCATACAACCCACTCGCTGGCCCTGCATTGATGATGGTGGATGCCTTCTCTTTTCCTGCTATTTACCTAGTGATAGGATAGTTAGGGTCCAAAGAAAGGGCAGAGGTCAGTCTCCAGTCGAACTGAAAAAATGGTGGGAGCTCAGCTATTTATATAATTTCTAGGCTTAGCTAGGGGAATCTTCCTGAGCATAAGCACTGGATAGGCACAGCACCATATGCTTGAATGCACAGATGACCACTTAAAGAAAAAAGTTACAGGTAGGCAACCTGACTTTGCAAGGGGCTCAGATTGACCATTCTCTTCCCCTCTTGTTTTCTTTTCTGCTCTGTAACCTAAGTTAGTTTCCTCTAACCTCATGCCCTTCAGATACCTGTATGACAATTCCTATAATCCTTGACCATTGGCCATGCTGGCCAGTTTTGATAGGAGTTGTAGTACAAACAACTGAAGGGCACCATTTTGGTGAAGGATAATCTAGGTTTTCTGGGCAGCTACATTCTTCTACAGGGATTAAAAATAGAAGAATTATAATAAAAGAAAATGCAACATTACAGGGAAATCCACAAATCAATTTAAAACAGATAGCAAAGGAAAAGCAACTTGGTACCAACAAGACAATTTGAAATAGAGGGCATGGGAGATAAAGTCCAAAGAGTTAAAACAGTATAAAAGTCTGGGGAAATACAAACAACATCACAGATCCAGATAAAAATTAAAAGTTCTTTGACTAGTGCCAGAGAAATATTAAAGAAAGCACCAAGCAGGCATCTCTGAAGAGGACACTTCAGAACTGAGGGGAAACTTCTTTCTCTTACAACCATAGCTGTACTTCAGATAGAACATGGCCTTAGATTCTGAACTTGCGGTTCCGATAAGTACATGTGAAAAGAATGGGGGAAGGAGGAGGAGATAAGGGGAAAGTTAGGGCCAGGGAAAGGGGGAAGGGAAAGATAGTTGTTTCTATTCATTTTTTACTCACCCCTCTCTGTCCCCCTTCCCTGTGTGTGCTTTCTCTCTTTCTCTCATACACACACACATGCACACAGACCTAGTTTGCATGACACAACAACCCACGGCTGGTCATTGTCCTTGTCTGTTTCAGAGTGGCTTGTTGAGATACCCAGCACTGTTTCTTCATTATGGTTTGATAAACACAAAGAAGCCACTCTGAAAATTCATTCAGTGTGGTTTGTCATTGTGATATTCAAACCCAGCAGCATTAAGCTCTAGACAGCTTGTTTGGATGGGTCACAGAGGTATCTGGCAAGAGTAGCAAAAAACTTGACTACTGCTTGAACTGCCTTTCACAATTCCTCTTCCAGCTTGGCACTTCATTTGATAGTGATGGGCTTTATCTCATTGTGAGTCAAATCAACACAACCATGTATATACCCATGAGTGGAGGGAGGCTGAAACAAGAAAAAAATCTCAACTTTTAACAATTTCTTGCTCATAGTATGAAAACAGGAGGGGGAGAGCCTAAATACTGCCTCCCAAATCACCATGGCCTTGAACTGGGGACATGCATGCGCAATCATGTATGCGAACAGAGCTGTGTTAGGAAGAGGAAGATTATTTGTCTCTGACTGGAAGGATCAGCCATGGAAGATTTTTTTTTAAATCATTAAAGAAAATAAACTCTTTATCCAACTTGTCCTAAAAAGTAAGAAAAGCACCCCCCTACACACACACACACACACACGTGTCAACACAGGTGTTTCTGAATGGGATGGATAGAGGAGAATATCGCTACAGCAGAAATATAGAAAATTTGTGCCATATGCATGTGGCTTATCACAGCATGCAAACCAGCCTACTGTCTCTCACAATTGCTCCTTCCTACAAGGAGTCAAATTATATTCCTGCCTACATATGTCCTTTTGAATAAACAAGGGGAACCCTGTTTAAAAAAACAAAAACCTCCTCCTAAAAGGAGATGGAAATTTGACAGCTAGCCAAGAGTTCCTGTGAAAGAGGGATCATACTTTTCAACGTTCCTGAGTAGCTAAAGCCTTGGGAAAGCATGGAAAAGTGAAGGGACACTCAGAGGAATCAGATCAAAACAAACAGACATACATAAAATGCTTGAACAGTTTGCTGTGAAGGGGTGACTGACTGACTGACTGACTGAGAGCTCTCTTTTTGTGAGCATAAATCACTTGCAGCTTTGGTATCTCTTAACAGTTCTCCTTTTGACAGCTGTCAAAACAAATCAAACTCAGAGCTCTTCACAGCCTCTCTGGCTCAATACCTATGAGCAGTTCCTGCTAAACTTTGACAGTAGATAACCCCTGGACATTGCCCAAGTGAGACAGATCATTTTGGACCCTCACAGCCATGTACTTATTCAATCCTGGATTCATTTTTTAAAAAATGAGACAAGAATCTGTGCACATTTGGGATCCATTTTTTAATTTTTAAAAAAGAGTGACAAAACAGTGATAATCCCACCAATCACCTCTTGGGCACTTTGAAGGAACTGTTGCTAGCTATTAAATTGGAGATTTTTTTGTGATCTCCAAAAAGGGGAGCGAGTAAAAGGGACAGAAAAGCCACAGAAAGCAGAAAATGTCTTGCAATTGCAGTAGAAGACATGGAGCCACTTGGGAACCTGTTGCATGGCTGACACTAGTTGTGATCCAGGTGAGCCTGGCAAGAGTAGCAAGCATTTTTTGCTGCTCTTGCCAAGCCAGCCACTTCCTAGTACCCATAATAGGGTTGGTCACCAAGGGTTCAGATTGCACAGTAACCCATTTTGGGTACAACTCCCCACCCTAAAACAATCCACTGATTGTCAGAGTAGCTTGTTGCCCTGAAATAAGCCCCCAGCAACAAAAGGTTCAAGTTTGTGCAACTCAACAACCTATTTGTCACCCATGATGTTGTTGCAATATGTAGCCAGTCATTGCTTGCCCTGTCATGCTTAGCCTCACATAATAGGACAAGTAACTAACCTCAGCAAGAACTATATGTTGAGCTGACATGCCATGTTTTTCACAGGCTCACAGCATACACTGTAAAGGTCTATACTATGGCTTCCATGCTATTACGAACTGGTAATATTGATGACCACTGTGGACCTGTGAAATGGCTTATTCTGGAAAGGCAAAAACCAGATGGAACATTCTATGAAGAAGCTACTGTGCAGGCCACATCAATGCTGGTATGCTTTCTCTTCTTATTAATTAACTTGAACAAGCTGAATGATTCCCTAGTTCCTAATCCAGGTGAACACAACACAGGAATTGGGTAGGAGTTTAGACCGTCAATGCTTGTCTAATAACTGATAACAATTGCAAGTGGAAAGCTCAGAGAGGTTTTAAGCAGGATGCAATGATGATGTGCATCCTCTGTTGGGGTTGCTAGGTAAAACTTTTCTCAAAGTACCATGGTTGTTTCCAAGAGCTCATACAATCTGGAATGGATGAATCAGGAGGACAGATGGTTGGTGAGGTCTTGAAATGTAACTGATAACTGAAAGTAAAGGTATACATTGTTTGATAGAAATAGACAGACGTGAATTAAGTAAGACTGCTAGAACAAATGAAAAATTTAATCATGGGGAGAGATGTGGAAAAGTTGTGGTATGATAAATAGAGTGTGGAGGATAGAGATGTGTGAATCTGCGTATTTTGTTTCATTTCAGCCCAATTGAATTCTGCAGCATCTCCATTCTAGCAAATGGTAGCACATTGCAGTCAGGGGTTTCTTCCAAATTCAAGGATCATTTTACAAATTCCCCCTCTAGGTTCAACCATTTGCACAAATTGTTATTTGTGCATTTTCCCCCTACTGTTACTATTTTTAAGATTTTGCAAAGTAACACCTTCAATTTTATGGTTTTTTGTTTAGTTGCAAAGTTGTGCCCAACCCATCATGACCCCCATGGACAACATTACTTCAGGCTCTCCTATCCTCTCCTGTCCTCCACCATCCCTGAGAGTTTACCCAAGCCCACTCCATCTAGCCACCTCATCCTCTGTCATCCCCTTCTCCTTTTGCTGTTGATTGTTCCCAGCATTAGGCTCTTCTCCAGGGAGTCCTTCCTTCTCATTAGGTGGCCAAAGTATTTGAGTTTCATCTTCAGTATCTGGCCTTCTAAAGAGCAGTCAGTGTTGATTTCCTTTGGGACTGACTGGTTTGATCTCTTTGTGGTCCATGGGACTCTCAGGAATCTTCTCCAGAATCACAATTCAATGGCCTCAATTCTTTGGCTCTCAGTCTTCCTTATGGTCCAGCTTTCACAGCCATACATTGCAACTGGGAAAACCATAGCCTTGACTATACACACTTTTGTCAGCAGGGTGATGTCTCTGCTTTTTAGTATGCTGTCTAAATTTGCCATAGCTTTCCTCCCAAGGAGCAAGCGTCTTTTAATTTCTTGGCTGCAGTCACCATCTGCAGTGATCTTGGAGCCCAAGGAAAATGAAATCTGTCACTAGCTCCATTTCTTCCCCATCTATTTGCCAGGAAGTGAGAGGACCGGATGCCATGATCTTAGTTTTCCTAATGTTGAGTTTCAAACCAACTTTTGTGCTCTCCTCCTTCACCCACATCAACAGGCTCTTTAGTTCCTCTTCACTTTAGATATACTAAACTATACAAAATGATAAATAGGACAGATCTGAAAGATGTCTGGAGAGAGCTAAAGGGGAATGAAAGAAAGTACTCTTTATTCAGAAGCTCATAAATCCTATTCAAGAATAGATTACATATTTATATCTAATGATGCAACAACTAAAGTTAAGAACATAGAAATGGGGGTAATTCAGATTTCAGATCATGCTAGAGTGCAAATGGAATTGGATTTTAAAGCAGATTATACAAAAACCAAAAGATGGAGATTAGATACTAATATTTTCAGATATGAAAAGGTTATAAATAAGATGCAGAGACATAGAAGAGATCTGGAAAGTAAATGAACAGGCGAGGGAAAATTTAGTATGATATGGGACGCTATGAAGGCGGTATCAAGGGGCCTAGCAATTAAAGCTGTTTGAGTTAAGGATGAAACAATCTAAGAGGATAAATGAATTAGAAAAAGAATTTATTGCAACTGGAGATGATTTAATTAGAAAAGAAATCCAGCCCCCCCCCAAAAAAAAATTTAGAAGGAATACATATGGAAAAGGTGCAGAGAAACTTAATATATTTGAAAAGGCAATTTTTTGAGTATGGAAATAAGCATTCTAAATTATTAGCATGAACCTAACAGATAAAGAAAAGGAAGGGTAATATTGGAGTGATAGAGAATGGAGAAGGAATAAGATGTAGTGAGATGAAGGAGAAATTAAAAGCATTTCAAGAATTTTATAAAAAATTGTATACAGCCACAGCGGTGGATACAAATAAGGTTATAGAATATGTGAAAAATAACTTGAAAAAGAAGCTTGATATACAAGACAAAGAAGAAATGGAAAGGGAAATTACTGATGGTGAAAATGAAGCAGTATTAAATAATTTGAAAACTGGTAAAACCCTTGGGGTAGATGGTCTAGGCCCTGAATTTTATAAGTTTTTCACAAATTAATGATACCCAGATTGAAAATTTTGATGAATAAAATTTTAGAAGATGAGGAGATTCCCCCATCATGGAAGGAATCTCTGACTGTTTTAATATTGAAGCCTGGAAAAGATGCGGTAAATATGTACTCTTATAGGGCAATCTCCCTGATAAATCAAGATGCAAAAATTTCTGCAATCCTATCTAATAGATTGTACAGCTTTATTGGAAAATATATTAATAAAGATCAAAATAGCTTCCTGAAAGATAGACAGATGGCAGATGTCTCCTCTCTTGAGGAGAGTTCTGAATATTATACCTCTAGCAAAGAAAAATAGTTTAAAAGCTGGAAATTTAGCATTAGATATTTTTAAGGCATTTGATTCAGTGGAATGGGATACATTAAAAATTGTGATAGATAATATGGGATTTGAAGTCAAGTTTAAACTTTGTATAAATCAATTATGTAAAGATAACACCACAAGAATCTTGGTAAATGATGGAATCACAGATATAATATCTCTTGGCTGGGGAACATGTCAAGGATGCCCCTTGTCTCCCATTTTATTTGTGATGGTAATGGAATTATTAGCTATTGTAATCAGGAAGGATGCGGAGTTGAAAGGGATTTAAAGAGGAAGCTAAGGTAAACCTATTTGCGGATGATACCCTATTGTCATTAGAAGACCGTATAAAAGTTATAGATAGAATTAAGCTGCATTGGCAAGAATTTGAGGAGGTAACTGGATAAAAAGTTAATTGGGACAAATCTGAAAGTATGTTAATTAATTATAGCAAAGAAAATAAGGCCAAACTGAAAGACTTATTTGAAGGGAAAAGGAGGGATACAATAAAATATTTGGGAATTTATATTCCATGGGATATACACAAAATGGCGAAATTGAATATGGATTGTCTTTAAAAAACAAATAGAGGAATATATTAAGGAGTTTGATAAGGTCAAACTATCTTGGTTTGGTAGAATTGCAGTATGCAAAATGAAGAGTATTCCTAAAATTAATTTCTTTTTTCAGATGCTACCCATTAAGATTGCAGATTCTGATTTTAAAAGTTGGCAGAATATGATTAATTCCTTTTGTAACAGGAAAAAAAGCTAGAATTAGTAAAAATTTATGGTATAAACCCCAACAGGAAAGAGGATTAACCTTACCAAATATTAAAACATATTATTTAGCAAATCAAATAAGATATATTTTAGATATAATCTATAAAGAGTTGCTTTGGGGTGATGTTGAATTCAAAAAGGATAGAAATCATATTGAAAACATTTTACTTAGGGAGGATAATATTCTAGATTTAAAGAAAATAGAAAATCCATTTCTAAAGAATATGTTGGAATTGTGGAGATACAGTAGGAAGATTTTAAGCCCGGTAATTTCCCCTTTAACTCCAGTAATTGCAATGAAGAATTTTCCTGGGAATTTGAAAGAGAACAGAACATATTTCAACTGAAGAGAAAATAGGTCAAATATGTGCAGAATTGAAGGGTTCGGGTCAGAAGATGATTCGGTTACAAAATTGGGTGGTGGAAACTAGGAAAACACTTGGTGAAATAAGAAAATTAGCTAAATTTGAAGAACTGGTAGAGAGCACAGAGAAGGAAGATAGTAGTAATAGGAAAGGAATTACAAGTCTAATATATAAAATGCTAATAGAAGGGCAGTATGAGCGATGTAGACATTTGGAAAGTTGGCAAGATGATATGAGTAAAGATATTAGTCAAGTAAGTTGGTTGAAACTATGGAATAACAGAATTACAAAAAGTATGACTATCAGAGTAAAGCAGAATTATTTTAAAGTAATTTGAAAGTGGTATAATACACTGGTAAGGTTAAACAGAATTGACACTGAAATAACACCTCTTTGTTGGAGATGCAAAAAAGAACAAGGGACTTATTATTGTGTATAGTGGTTGTACAAAATTAAACTAAAAGAATGGGCAATGATATTTAAGGTATTTATTTTCAACTTTTATATGCCATCCCTTATGCATGGCATCTCAGGATGGCTCACAATCTCAGAAATTAGTGATATTATGGATAGAAAGATTTTGATGTGCCTGATTATTGCACTTTTGAATACTTTTTTGGATTTGCAATTACAGCAACCTTAGCCATTAATGGTAATTTAACATGTGATTTGAAAATTAGAAGATGGGAAAGGAAAATAAATTATTTTACAAGTATATGGAATGTTTTTTTACGATATGTATTAGAGAAACATAAAGGGAAATACCAGCAAAAGATTCACTGCATTTTTGGAGAGGCACAGGGTATATCCTTGATCTTTTGTAAGCTTTACTCCCGCGGATGATGGGAGCACAATGTTTTTATGTATAGTTTTAGTTTATGATACGTATATTTTTAGCCTATGCTGTTATGTGTAATTTTTAGTCTGTGTATTATGTAATTTATGTTATTGGTATAATTTTGTTATGTAGTTTTTGTAAATAAAATAAAATAAAATAGATTGGTTTATCATGGTTTGGTAGAATAGCGGCATTTAAAATGAAGATATTACCTAAGATTAATTACTTGTTTATTATGTTGCCAATTAATTTAACAGAAAAAGATTTGAAAGAATAGCAAGGTATAATTAATAAATTTTGTAATGGGGATAAAAAATGAACCAAGGATTAACAAGAAAAGATGGGATATGCCCCAGAAAACAGGAGTGTTAGGTATTCCCAATGTGAAATTTCATTATATAGCAAATCAAATGAGGCATATACTAGATATTATACTACAGCCAGATAGGATAATACGGGGTAAATTGGAATATCAGGATGCAGAGGGATACTTATGAAATATTTTTCTTCAACAGGGTAATAAAAACATTATTAAAAAGATATGAAACCCCTTTTTAAAGAAAATGGTCAGAGTTTGGAATAAATATAGGGACATATTTATCCCACCAATTTCACCATTACAGAATTAGAAAGTTTCCCAGAGAATCTGAGGAGCAGTTTGAGGGAAGTACTGAAGAGTAAACATGTTATTAGGTTGAAACATTGGTTAGAGCAAATGGAGAGTAAAGAAATATTGGGACCGGATAAAGTGACTTGGTATAATATACTTCAGTTAGATTACTGGACTAAAGATTGAAGAATAATGGTAAATGTAAAGAATATACTAATTTGAAGATATCATTTTACACAAAGAAAAACAAGATAACATGTGGATGAGAGGAATGACAAGTAAAATTTACAAACATATTACTAGAAGGGGAGGATCAATATGATTCTCTTAAAGAGTCTTGGGAATAGATTTTAAAATAAATATTAGTACTGGAGAATGGAATAATGTGTGGGATAAGAGAATTTTAAAATTTATGTCAATAAGATTTAAAGTTAATTTTATAAATTAGTTTGGAAATGGTACTTAACTCTGTTTAAATAGAATTATATGAACAATGAATAGTCCAACATATGTTGGAGATGCAACTGGGGAGTCGGTACATATTTCCATATGTGGTGGGAGTGTAAATATATAAATGAGTTTTAGGAAGTGGTTTTCAAAGAAATTAATAAAATGCTGAATTGAAATATTGAAGCAGACCCTGGACTAGAATTAATGTCATTATATATAGAACAAATTGGACAACAAGAATTGATGACAAGTTTATTAACAGTAGTAAGATTAATATAGCAAGGAACTGGGAAATAAAAGGTGTTTATTGAATAGTTGACTGCTATAAAGAAGTCTGAAATACAGCTATTAAGGATAAGTTAACTTATGATATTGAATGGAAAAAGGGTTTGATAAACAAAAATAATTTTGAAAATATTTGGAGACTGTTTATTGAATATGTCTTAATAAAAGGAAAGGGATGTGAACCATCACAAGAATCAATGCAGTTCTGGAAGGGGAGTGGGGCAACCTGAATGAATAAATGATCTTACATTAAATGACATGATTTGTTGGACCTGATGGTGGGAGCACTATTATTAATATATTGTTTTATTATGTTTATTAATTATGTTCATTATTGTTAACACACTTTTTTAATGGAAATCTCTTGGACAAAGACATAGCAACTTTCTGTTCCTGAAGATCAAGTTGGTGTATCTGGACACCTACCTCTGGTTCTGTCCTTGCATTGAACAACAGTGGATCAATTCTGAAATTATTTTGTTTTAAAAGCAGTATTTTAAAAGCTGTGTTTCCAAAGTTTTCTTACATATTAGTGTCTCTTCTGTAGCAATCTGAACGATGACTGATGAAATTTTAGGGAAAATACTGTTTGTATGAACCCATCTAGTCTCTGATAGTGGTGCACAATCCTTTTGCTTTCTTCTAGGGCGGCAATCAGTATGGTGAGCCAAAAGTTTCATTAACAGCTTTTGTTGTGGTTACACTGCTGGAGTCCAGAGAGATTTGCAAGAATCTGCTCAATGTAAGTATCTCTGTGTGATTTAACATTTCCTATAATACAGTGTAAAATATCTCAAAAGCAGCTATTGGGTCCAGGTTGGACCCATATGATAGCAATGATCTTCCACAAAGCAAATAGATAATGGATAAGGGCTAATTGGGGTTAAGCAAGGTTGAAAGGTTTAACCTCCCATTGTGATTAACCTCTTTAAGAATCACAGGATCTCCCACACCACATCTAACTTGTGCCTAACAGATAATCTTGGCTTATATTCAGGTTTTGGAGGATAAGTGTGAGACTAAGGTGAAGCCTAAGTATATACAGCTGAATTTGTACCTGGGTTCAGGAAGTAGTTAATGCCTCTCTAAGGGTTGGGTACCCGCACCCTTGAAGGTGGTGGTGATTAGATCCATCCTGAAGAGGGCAAACCTGGACCCAGAGATTGCCTCCAGTTATAGACCGGTGGCTAACTTCCTGTTCTTGGGCAAGGTGCTTGAGTGGGTGGTGGCCAGGCAACTCCAAGCTCTCTTGGAGGAAACTGATCATCTGGACCCATTTCAGTCTGGATTCAGACCTGGCTATGGGATGGAAACTGCCTTGGTCACCCTGTATGATGACCTGTGCAGGGAGAGGGACAGGGGGAGTGCGTCCCTGTTGGTTCTCCTGGACCTCTCAGCTGCTTTTGATACCATCAACCATGATATCCTTCTGGATAGGCTGGCCGGGTTGGGGATTAGAGGCACTGCTCTGCAGTGGTTCTGCTCCTACTTGGTGGGCCAATTCCAGAAGTTGGTGCTGGGGGATGATGGCTCTGTGCCATGGCATTTATGCCATGGAGTTCTGCAGGGTTCCATTTTATACCCCATGCTGTTTAACATCTACATGAAACCACTGGGAGAGTTCATCTGGGGGTTTGGGCTGACAGTTCCAGGTGACTTCTGTGGTGGAGAGTGCTTTCCTTCAGCTTCAGCTGATCCATGAATTACACCCTTACTTGGATGAGCAGAGCCTTGCAATGGTGACCCATGCTCTGGTAACCTCATGATTAGACTACGGTAACGTACTCTATGTGGGACTGCCCTTGAAGATGGTCCAGATACTTCAATTGCTTCAGATCAGGGCAGCCAAGCAGATATACATACAACGCCTGTACTGTATCATCTGCACTGGCTTCCAATTGAAGTCTGGGCCCAATTTAAGGTGCTAATGATGACGTACAGCTTAGGACTTGAATATTTGAAGGAGCACCTCCTTTCATATATACCTGCCTGGCTCCTAAGATCTGGAGCAGAGGTTTTTCTTTGAGAACCCTCTTTGAAGGAAATCAGAAGAGTGGCTACCTGGAGAAGGGCCTTCTCTGTGGTGGTACCCCAGCTATGGAATGGGCTTCCCAGAGAGCTGTGCGTGCCTGGTGCTGATGCTTTTTTCCATTTGATGCCAGGCCAAAACCTTTTTATTTTCTCAGCATTTTAAAAATTAGGGTTTTAATTTTATATATTTTTGTGATGCTGTGTCTTATTTATTTATGTTATCGCCACTCTGAGATATTGTAAAGGGCAGGATACAAAAATTTTAAGTAAATAAATAGATAAATAAATTTATTTCACATTCCTCCCCTCTATGTCTTTCCCTTTCTCTCCCTATCTTTTATTTCTGCACACACCCCTGACACAACCAAGCCAGGGTCTACCAAGGCATGGAAGCAGGATTCTGGGGACTTATATCTTGCTTGATGGTTTGACAACTTGCTGGGTTAGAGTTTGCTTTATCACCAGACTACTTTCAGGCTTGACAATACCACATATTTGCATGTGGGTACATTATTTATGTTTCCAAGTGTGGCAATCTCCAATTCTCCAACTAATATCCTTGCAATTTCACTAGAGATTCCCAAAGTTGAGTAGACCCTTTCATTCCCTCTTATTCCTGTTTGAGGTGTGGAACATTTCCAAGTTAGTGCAAAGTGAAAGAAGCAGCAGCTTGTACTTTTGGTGTCCCTTCTTTTCCTCTAACTACTATAAGAGACTCCAGTGTCAAACTGGCTGTATATTTCATACTGGAATTATTTTTAGCATAATATTTGTAAACTGCTGTCCTAAGCATTCCTAACATATATATGCTTTGCTTTTATTTTCCAGAATTTAGAGACCAGCATTAGCAAAGCCAGTGACTATTTATTAAGAAACTATGAATCTTTGGATTCCCCTCACACCATCGTCCTCACATCCTATGCTTTGGCCTTAGCCGGGAGGCTAGACAACGAAGGAGTACTCATGAGAGCATCCACAGGTAAATTTGTTTGATTCAGTTTACTGAATGCAAGAAAAATATAACCATATTTCATGTTAAGAACAGAATCAGAAAATAATACAACAAATTTGAATGAAGAAACTAGAGTTGTACATACAAAATGCTTACATTAGAGAATTGAACACAAAAATATCTTTTTGTCTCTATTTTCATACAGACTTTTAAAAAATTATAAACTCATGCAGAACTGGGGAAATAATTAACATCAGAGAAATAAGAAAATTAATTACATTAAGCTTGATAACTTCATTGTCTAGTGACAAGCTAAATTTAGGGATGTATGATGGACAAGAATTCCAAGAGGGGCAATTGATCCCCTCATCCACTTCATTTTATCCTGGTCTTGGATATTTGCCCACTCCATTTCCTGAAAAACTTCTTCAATGCTAAATCATTCTTTCTCCCCTACTTTAAGTGGGTGAGGAGAAAAATAAAGCAGACTTCTAAGATTGGAGCAGACTTCTAAGATTGCAGGCCCATCTCCATTTCTGGGATCTTCAGAGGTTGCCCATGGATGTATAAACTCCAGATTTTAAAAAGGTGGAAAAGGTTCCCACTCCCTTTAACCATGCAAACCTCTGGCTCACAGCTGCCCTCTTAGTTAAATTCCTTTTCTTGATAAAAGGATGCCTGTGTGGTTCCAGAAACATTAGGAAATGGTGGGCAAATGTGGACCATTCCTTTTGTAGCTTGCCAGCCCCCTGCTAATATTTCTTGAAAAGAAAGGAGAAGAAAAGGGTGTGGAGTTCTTTGTCATTTGCAGCATAATTTATGGTTCTTTTAGGTAATTTGGGGTGATCTTACTAATTTCAAGAAATGAATCATGTGGAATAAATTGTCTTTAGAAGAGATTTGGGAAAATGATTAACTTGTATATACGTGAAATGGGTGATCTGTTAGAGTAGAAAACTATAAATTCAAATGAGTGGCTTTGGTTGTGGGGCTCAAACCCCAGAGATTTGTACTTAAATCTTGCTGTGGTGAGTCCCATATTGTGTCCTCTGATATAATGAGAAAAGGACCCAAGTGTCACAGTATAATGTATTTCAGTGACTTATTGGAATGTGGAAAATCTAGAAAGTCACTCAGTTATAAAATGTATAGGGAAATATTATACCAAAAATACTACGAACATATATGGTATTTAACTATGATTTGGATGGAAGAGTAAATATATACTATTTTTAATGCATGAAATGGCAGCTTTGGTTGCTAAGGTTGGCTCCCCCATGAGGCCATTGCTGAGAGGACTGTGCCCTCCCTTGTCACTATGAGTAAAGATACGTACCCTGGGACATGATGCATACCTCTGCCACTGCCAGAAGGCCATGCAACCTCTTCTTCCAGTGTATCTGAGTCCAAGTAAGACTAGACTAGCAACAGCCAGTTTAATAGAAACTGACAAAAATGAGATGGAAAGTGTGGCTAGTTATAATAAAGGGTTTATATTCCTAAAGATGTGGTTTTCTGCTGGTTTTTAGATAGAAATCGATGGGAAGATCGCAACAGTTATGCCAATAGCATTGAAGCTACCTCCTATGCCATGCTGGCTTTATTGGCCATGAAGAAGTTTGATCATGTTGATGCTGTAGCCAAATGGCTGAAAGCACAAAATTATTATGGAGGTACATTTAGAAAGATCCAGGTGAGAATTTGCTTTACTTTCTTAGACTGCAGACTTTATATAATGGTTTTGGAAGAGCAAGTTCCCTAAGTTGAATGGCTTAACTTGAAATGTTCTATAGAAATTGATTGAGAAACTCTTCTCTGTCATGAGACAGAGGCCTACCCAGATATGCAGCTGAATTGTCTGACTAAAAAGATGCTTCTGGGACCAGCAAAATCAATTACATTGCACCAAGGTATGCTGCCTGATCCTTTGAAGTTCATGGGCTTTCTTTCCCTATTTGCAGCATTATCCTGACATTACTTTATCATTTTCAAAGTGTCTAAAATGTCTAGGTCATGGGTGGCCAACATATGGGCCTCCCTCAGAGGGCCTCCAAGGTGAACGACTGGCTTTGGGTGTGGTGCCAAAAGGAACGCTTCAGGTTCCTCGACCACGGCACTCGGTTTCTTGCCAATGGACTTCTGGCAAGGGACGGGTTACACCTCACCCAAGGTCCTTTGGAGATGCTCTAGCGAGCTTCATCCGGAAGACTTTAAACTGAGCTGGGGGGGGCGTGTTCAGGCCCCCCAGTAACGTGTCTGCACTGGACAAGGGTGGGGGGAGGATCAGGGCTCTGGGAGCAGGGTTTTAGAGGTACTGCAGGGATTGGCAGGACTCCTACAGAGAGGGGCCAGGTATCAGGGAGGATGGGAGGAAGAAGGAGGCTGGGAACTCCAAGGAAAGGAAGTGGTGAGAAGGAGTTGAGGTGCATGTACACCAATGCTAGGAGCATGGGTAATAAGCAGGAAGAGATGAAGCTCTCCTGGGAATAGGAGGGTATGACCTGGTGGGAATCACAGAAACTTGGTGGGATGAAAGGCAAGTCTGGAATGTGAACCTAGAAGGGTATCACCTTTTTAGAAAGGACAGGAAGGGAAAGAGGGGTGGGGGCGTGGCTTTATACGTCAGGGAAGGGATAGGATGCAGTGAGATAGAATGCAGCACAGATGGGGATTTGGTAGAGGCAGTCTGGGTAAAACTTAGGGGTTTTGACAGGGAAAGAGACCTGACAGTGGGGGTATGTTATCGCCCTCCAGGTCACCTTGAGACCCTGGATGATGTCCTGACAGGCCAGATTCTAAGGATATCTAGTGGGAGAGACACAGTAACTATGGGAGATTTCAATCTCCTGGATATTAGTTGGGAGACTCACTTGGCGGTGACAGCTATAGAGGGAGAGTTTTTCACACAGAGGGTCCGAGAGGCGATGAGGGGGGAAAACATCCTTGACTTGGTCTTGACCAATAGGGAGGAACTGGTAGATGAAATACAGATTGGGGGAGCTCTGGATGCGAGTGATCACTCCATCCTTTGCTTTGAGATCAGGGGAATGGGGACATGCAGCAGGTCAAGCACTAGAAGCTGGGACTTCAAGAGGGCTAACTTTGGCCAACTGAAGGCCAGACTGGGGAAAGTCTCCTGGGATAGGTTACTGGAAGGTAAGCGAGCTGAGGAGGGGTGGATGGAACTCAAAAGGGAGGTTTTGGAGGCACAAGCCTTGATGGTACCTCTAGTCAGTAAGGTGGGGAGGCGAAGGAGAGTGCCACCATGGATGCGAAAGGAGGTGGTTCGAAGGATTAGACGAAAGAGGAACCTCCGTAGGAAATGGGTACTGGGGCAAATAGACAAAAGGGTATACCGGGAGGAGCAGGCCCGTTGCAGAAGGATTCTTCACAAGGCTAAGGCTGAATACGAGCTGAGACTTGCCAAGTATATCAAGAGCAACAAAAAGGGCTTCTTTCAGCATGTAAATAGCAAGAGAAAGGGGAGACAAGTGGTGGGACCACTAAATAAGGAGGAAGGAGATCCAGTGACTGATATGAGGGCACAGGCACAGATGCTAAATGACTATTTTGCCTCTGTGTTCTCCCCAGAGCAGGACAGGGGATATCCGCATAGGATATTAGATGAGGCTGGGGATTTAGGGGCCCAGATTAGAGTCACCCCCCTAGGTAGGGAAGGGAGGCTGACAGCCACACAACACGGCTTCTGCAAAAACAGGTCCTGCCAGACAAACCTTGTGGAATTCTATGACAAGGTTTTGAGATGGCTAGATGGAGGGGATGCAGTGGTTGTGGTATACCTGGATTTCAGCAAGGCCTTTGACAAAGTGCCCCATGATATCCTGGTGGAGAAACTGAGGAGTTTTGGGATACACCAAAGCACTGTCTGGTGGATTAGGGCATGGTTGACTGACCGAAAGCAGAAGGTAACCATTAGCGGGGAATCATCGGGATGGTGGCCAGTGACAAGCGGGGTCCCCCAGGGCTCTGTCCTGGGGCCAATCCTGTTTAATCTTTTCATTAACAACATAGAAGAAGGGGTGAATGGTATGCTGATCAAATTCGCAGACGACACTAAAACTGGAGCAGTGGCTACAACGGAGGAGCAGGTACTCCTGATCCAAAAGGATCTGGACGGACTATGGACGTGGGCAGGAGACAACAGGATGGCGTTCAATGTGGATAAGTGCAAGGTCTTGCACTTGGGGCATAGGAATAGCTGTCATAAGTACAGTTCCATCACTAGCCCTGGAGTCAAAAGTAGATTCTCTCCTTAAAATGCAGCAGTTTACATCCCAAATAATTTACTGTTCGACAACTTCTACTCCAGGTACTTTGTGATGTTCAAAAAGGATGGAGGATTTTGACCAGTCTGGGACCTTAGGGAGATCAATTCCAACATTACCCTAAAGCATTTAGAACAGGGTCCCCAAACTTTTTCACCAGGGGGCCAGTTGAAAGGTGCCAGTGCTGGGCGTGAGCTGGAAAGGTGGTGCTGATGGGGCGAGGGGGCAGGGCTCCAAGTGAGTCCAAAATGATCTCTGCGCGAGCAAGCCGCTGCCTTCCTGTGTGCCAGGTGAGGCGGGCGCCTGTGCAGGCATGGGTACACATGGCGAATCTAAAACTTCTGAGGCGGGCCGGATAATGGGCATGGCGGGCCAGATCCAGTCCACAGGCCATAGTTTGAGGACCCATGATTTAGAATGACAACAGTAACTTTGATTCTCCCCTTTCTCCATAAGGGAGAAAATCAGGACTGTTAAAATCCTGATGTTAACATCAGGATTAAGAATACCAGCTAACTCTACCTGCAATTCAGCATCAGATCTGATGTGCACCAGTCTTGGGTTGTCCCCTTTGGCCCGTCAATGACTTGTTGCTCCAGTGAACCAAGCAAGTCACTAATCTCTTATTTTATCTACTCCCTTCTATGTTCACTTGGCCTGTATGTCAGCCAAACAAATCAACACTTGCTCCTGTGCAAGTGATTCAATATACAGGCAGAGCTTACCTACTGCCTTGGCTTTTTTAGCACTAGCAGCCCAATTATGCCACTGCTCCCAAATGAATACATATGTCTGTTTGGATTTCTGGCTGCTATCATTGCTAATGGCATCGGAACTAGCAGTGACTGAGCAAAAAGGATCTTGGGGTGATAAAGGACAGCACAATGAAAATGTTGGCCAGGTGCACAGAAAAGGCAAACTTCATGCTAGGCATAATTAGGAATGGAATAAAAAGTAGAACTGCCAAGATCTTACTTCCTTACACAGATTCTTTGGCATGACCACACTTAGAATATTGTATCCAGTTCTAGACACATCATCTGAATAAGGACTTTATCAAATTGAAGAAAATACTGAAAAAGGCAATGAGAATGATCAAGGGCAGGAACAGCTGCAAAAACTGGAACTGCTCAGATTAGAAAAAAGGTTAGCAAGGGGTGACATGATAAAGGTGTTTAGAATTATGCACAGAGTGGAGAAAATGGAGAGGGAGACATTTTCTGGAACACTGGAACCTGGGGTCATTCCATGAAGCTAATTGGGATAAGGATTGGGACAGACAAGAGGAGGTACTTACTCACACAGTGTATAGCTAAACTGTGGAATTTGCTGCCACCAGAGGTAGTTATGATGACCAATCTCTTCAGGGCTTAAAAGGGCTGAGTCAGGTTCATGGAAGCAGAGACTATCTGTGCTTGTTGCATTACTATGTGCTACTTTTTTATTTTAACCAGTTGCTGAGGAGCTTGGACATGTGGTATTCTTATGCCCACCCTGCTTGAGTGATCCTGTGGCCAGCCGGTTTGCTACCATGTGTACAGAATGCTGGACTAGATGGACTTTTGGTCGGATCCAGCATCACCTTTCTTATGTTCTTATCATTTGGCAGGACAGTTCTGTCAGCCATACTTGTCCCACCACCTCCTGAAATCTAGCTTGATACTCATGTGTAATGCACAGAAACCGCAAAGAAGAAATATTAGTTGATTACCTCTAACTGCAGTTCTTTGAGTCATCATCTGCATTCACACAACCCACCCATGGTCTTTGCATGGTGTTGATATCAGATTTGCTGTCACTTCCTAAAGTACATATGCTGCCGATATAGCTATTGATTTCTGTACTAAGCTAGGTATTTGAGTTGTCTCAGTGTCGTAGAGGTATACTGAAGCAGGAGCCAAGATTTTCCTCAATTCTGATACCACACTAGATGGAAACTGAGGGAATGGACAGTAACATAGCATGTTCCCACCAAAAATTCTTCTCATAATCCTGGGAAGAATCAAGTTCCATTCAGGCGGACCCCCAGCCCATGTGTGTGAATACACAGATGCCCACATAAATGTCTTTCTACTTCTTTCCAATGCTACAAGTCTTGCTGTCTTGGAACAGAAGACTTATGGAACACCCTGACATCAAGATCCTTCATCTAACAGCTTGGAGGGTTTGTCCATGAATGTTAGACTCTTACCTCTACTCTCCAGCAAATCCTTCTTGTAGCAAGGAAATCACCCGTGCGAACATCTGATACATGTAAGTTAGCTTTTTTCATCTTTTGCATCCCTTGCCAAGGTGGATCCCATTAACTGTTTTTATTTTTTTTTTCTCTTATCCTTATTGATAAGGGCCTGGAAAGTTCCTCACTCCCTGTTTAACTGGCAGCAACTTCTGCTTCCCATGTGCTGTTAGAAGGCTTTCCTGTTTTTTCCCACCCTTTGTCATCTTAGTTCTTCCAAGGAATACAAAATATCATATCACCTTTCCATTCCCCAGTACCAGCTGGGATTATGGTGCTAGCTCTACAAGCCTTAACATTACAGCCTTTTGAACTTCTCACAGCAACTGTTATTCAGCTGTTGTTCTGGAAGATTGCCTTCCTCACCCCAATTACATCTGTCCAACAATCCAGGGAATGGTGTGCCCTAACAGTAGATTCCCCTTACGTGATATTCCAGAGTCAAAGTTGGTCTATGGCCTGTTTCATCTTTCCCTACTCAAGATTGTTTCCAACTTTCCCGTGAACCAAAACATTGTTTTGCCTGCTTTCTTTGCCTTTCCTTCTCACTGTTGGAATCAGTCCTTTACCATCTTAATGTGAGATGAATGCTGACTTTTACAAATCTAGAACAGAGCCTTTCTGTAAGACTCCCCACCCATTCCTGTCTTACGAAGGCAAGAACAAAGTTTTGCCTACTTCATCACAATATCTAGCATCCAGGATTGTTGAAACATAAGATCTGCACATGACTTATTAGGGCTGGAATTCTCAGGACTTTTGTGAGCACGCTCTACACAGTCAGTAGTTATGTCTGTCACGTTTGGCAGAGATGCCCCTTTGCCAGATCACTGTCATGCAGCCACTGGATTTAAGTTCTCAAGCAGACAGCTTTTTTTGGAAATGCTGTGGTCTCTTCTTTACTTCACTGACAACAACACTGACCCACCTCCAGCAAGCAAGCCAGCTTGCTACTTGCCCGTACATGTTATGCACAGAGACCGCAAAGAAGAGACAGGTTGCTGACTTGTAACTGTAGTTCTTCAAATGCTCATCTGTGCATTTACCAAGCCCACTCACTATCCTCACTTAGGTACCAACCTTGAGTTCAAGGTGTGGCGCAGAAGTTGATTGTATGGAATTGACACTAATGTCTGTGTTCAAATGGATACCACTGTACTCTTCCAGGCTCAGGGCCAAGACTGATGGTCTCAAGGAACTGAGGGGATAAGTAGGAACCTGTTAGGGACATATGCAGTAGTACAGGGGGAAGGGTCCCCACCTAAAATTCCTCAGCTAGAGAAGTTTTCCAATTGGGGCTTCACACAGGCAAAGAATCCATATGTGTGAAGGCTCAGATTACTACTCAAGGAAGTACAGTTACAGCTAAGCAGCTTCCTTTCTCTTGGTACCTTCTGGCAGCCGTCAAGAGTAATGCAAGGGGAGGGGTACCTTTGTAGCTTCTTCTGGACAATGTCCAGGGTTGGTGCCTGCTGTGCATTGCTCCAGCCAAGGCATCAAAGCCCTGCAGGCACACAACTGTGGTGGTTTACAGTTGTGCCTAAACTGAAATAATAACTTTGGTAACTATAAGCAGCCATTTGGGCACTTTGAAGGGACTGCCCTTCAAAACAAGAATGGTAGAAGCCAGTGTGATGGATGGCTTCTCCAATCTCTGGAAAAAGAAAGGGTAAAAAGAAAAAGAGTCATGGCAAGCATGAAACACCTCGGGATCATGGTGGTGGTAGTGGTGGGGAATTATATGCTCTCTCTGCAGTATCCACTGGGATACCCACAGGAAGATGAAGCAGAGAGGACCAAGGTGGGGAGAAGATGAGGGAGGAAGCGAGGAACCCACACTGAGCCCAGTAGTTTGTTTGGTTCGCTGAGGATCATTTGTATGATAACCAATCCACTACGGATTATTGCCAGGGTGGATTAGTGTGACAGCAAATGCGCCCAATGCAGATGTTTGCTGCAAGATGTGCTTCCTTACTCCATTTTCCATCTACCATTCCAGGCAATCATCATAATGTTTCAAGCTCTTGCCCATTATGAGATTGACATGCCATCGTCTGAGAGCATGAGCCTAGAAGTTACTGTTCAGATTCCTCATACTTACCCAGTTTTTCTACGTTTTCATGATGAGAGTGCCCTGGTTACCAGGACAGTGGAGGTATGATATTTCTTCATGCAATTTTAGACAGTATTTTTATTTAGATTTCTAACCAACCTTAGTAAAAGCATTTATGCTTAATGAATCAAAGCTCAGTGAAAGTAATGATATAAAATAACAGTGAAAACCCAAATTATTGTTTTCAATGTCATTATAAAGCCTTTATTCCCACCAGCATAAGAGTTGTAGAATGAAAGCTTGCCTGTTTCTGATGGAGTTCAGTTAGGCTTTTTGAGGCCTTTCCTTAGGAAAATTAGCCATCCCTCTATACCTGCATTCTCAAATAGGGTGCTAGGATTCTGCTCACTAATGCATTCAGGAAGGATTACAGCATGCTGGGATAACTTGTTTTTGTCCCTGTGGCTGATTGTCTCCACTGTGAGCAGGGTCATGCCCTTGGCTACCATGCTGCCTGGCATACTTGCCTGCACAACCACATACAAACACAGAAGATTCAAACATCATCGTGCATGTACACAGAGTGATCCTGCCTTGGAGGGAGAGATCATTCTCCATGGCTATACACCTTCCCTTTCTTTCTTCATGAAGGAAGAGGCTGTCCTTTCCCCATGAAGAAAGATCAAGGAAGTCCCATTCTCTTCCTTCATAGCCTGATCAGAGACTACTTTTTCTAGGGATAGGGACTTGGGGACAGAGGAGAAGCAATTGAGAGACCTTGCAGTCTTGATCTCACCTGTGGCTGAAGGTTCCTTAACACTGTGTTACAGTCTCCACTGCAATATTTCCTTGTAGGTGCATCTTTAATTTAGAATTTAAAGAGTTTTGTCATACAGGCATCTCTATCAATCTATTCCACATGTTAGCTTCAGGATTATAATGCATGATTCTATAGTACTATTATGCCAGAATTTGTCGTGCTTCTTCCAATCCCTTGTGCTCCTAAAATGTTGCCTTCCATTAATATCTGAAGTCTGCTCAGTCTAATGTCTATTCAGTTAATAATAAGGTAATTTAAAGAGTTTACAAAGTTTAGATTGCAATCTGAGTGCCCCTTGCACAGCCTTGCCATGAAAAAGGATGAGGTGCCTCATCAGGCAGTAGAGTGAGAAACTGTGCACTACTTGCCAGGTTGACCTGCCACCTCTGTGGGCTGCCTCCCCTTACCAGCATTGCTGTTGGCCTCCCTTCCTCACTGCTTCTGCTGTTGTTGCCACCATCCCCTCTCTGGATACTCTTAGAGTGGGCAGTGCCTTAAGGGTCTCCCTGAAGAGCTGTGTCAGCTGGAAAAGTGGTTGGCATAAGTCTTCAGAGACTCAGCCAGGCCCACATGAGGCTCAACAGAACCGAAAAAGAAGAAGAAGAAGAAGAAGAAGAAGAAGAAGAAGGCCGAGGAGGATGCTGCCAACTTGCCAGCTGGCGAGTGCCGTGCGGTCTTGCCTTTGTTTCCTTCCCCCACAGCGCTGGGTGAGAGCCACGCCAGATTGGGGGCCATTTGGGGGCCGTGTGGGGGCTGGGCTGGCCAGGGGCTTTGTTGTCGGCCGACAGGTGGGATTGCTAAATTGGATTGGGGGGTTGTGGGGGTGTTTTTAATGTGTTTTTAGCTTATTTTAATGGAGTCATTTTCAGCTACGAATATGGGGTTGCCTGGGGAGCGTGTGGGTGCCGCCATTGGGGTGGTCATGGGCAATGGATGTTATGGTGTTGGGGGTCTAACGTGTCCGTGTAGAAGAAGGAGGGACAGATGGTTAACACCTGTTCCTCTTTCTGGTTATTCCCCCAGCCTGAGGGTTCCTGGTAGTCTTGTCAACCATCCCCTAGGCCTGTCGGTGCTGTTGCTTAATGCCAGGTTGATGCATAATAAATCATCCCTCATCCATGACTTGATTGTGGATGAGGGGGCCAACCTGGCTTGCAATACAGAGACCTGGGTGGGGGGGGGAGGGGCGGGGATGTCTCCCTCTCTCAACTGTGCCCGCCCGGGTATCTGATCCAGCACCGACCATGTCTGAACGGGAGGAGAGGGTGGGGGGGTTGCTTTGGTTTACCAAGCCTCTATTTCCCTCATGGGGCTTCTGTCCTCTAGAGGCCGGGTCTAGAGTGCCTCTACTTGGTGTTGGGCAACAAGACAGACTGGGAATTCTGTTGGTGTCCCATGCACCCTTCTGCCCAACAAACTCCCTGCCTGAGCTGACAGAGATTGTCTCGGATTTGGTGTTGAAGACTCCCAGGATGTTGGTTCTGGGGGACTTCAATCTCCACGCTGAGACGGTTCTGACCGGGGTGGCTCAGGACTTCATGGCCTCCATGATGGCCATGGGGCTGTCTCAACATGTCATTGGCCCGACCCATGAACATGGACACACTCCGGACGTGGTTTTCTCTCTCTTTTTTTTTTTTAAGAAATTTTGTTAGGATTTTGAAACTAATACTACAAACATCAGTCGTCACATACATCGGATTTACTGGGTCAGCCCCCTACTACATATCTTTTAACATTCTATGATCATACTAAAATCCATTTATAATAACTTGAAAACATCTTTAGATCAGAACCAAGTCCCGTTTCTCCGGCCAATAAAAAAAAGTAATTCCAAATTTGATAGAAGTCACTTTTCTTCATCAATGAAATCAGTCTCATCATTTCTTGCAAAATCCTGTTTCCCTTGACTAATGTCAAAGGGAAGCATCTCCAAGTTAAATAAGATTGCAATATCTTCTTTCTTCTTCAGTGATAAGTTCGATCTAAACATTTCTGGACAATTCAAGATCTTTTCAATTTTCTAATGATAAATAACTTCCTCACTACCACAGTTACAAGTAACATCAAAAATATCCATTTAACATCTCTAAAGGTATCTTAACTACTCTACTTGGTGGTAACTAATAATAATATCTTTTAAACCAATTTTCTTTAAGCTAAATTACTAATGTTTCATTTAACTTAAACACCATTTAATCAAATATGGTTAACGCCATATAAAAACCCAGCTGTTTACAGTCTTCAACATATATCACCAACAACAATAGTTTAACCTTCCCATATCACATATAGACTTGCCAACCCATTTAAATCATTGCTTTTTAAGATAATAAGTTCTCTTATTCTCAATTACAGATAAAGTCAGAGATATCCATTTAACAATAATACCTTTTAGACAGGATTTCATTAAGCTAAGTTACTAATGTTTCACCAGCAATAATAGCTTAGCCTTTCTACGTCACGTGTGAGCATACCAACCTATATGAATCACCCCTTTTTGGAATAAAAAGAAAGAAAGTTCCTTTCTCTTCCCTTTGCACCTCTGCCATATTTATTCTTTTTCTTTACCCCTCTACCAGACCTTTCTGGGGTTTTTTCATTAAAACATTGTAATATCTGTAATGGAGTCTTCGATTGCAGCCACATAAACAAAACCTCTCTTAAGTGGTTAGCTATTTTCTCCTTCTCTAACATAACATGCAAATCCCATGAAAGCTTGCTTATTAAATTCACTGATTGTATTAGTTTTTCCACTTGGCTCGCCTGTAATAAATCTTGTTTGATCCTTCCTTTTTTGTTTACATTAAGTTGTCGTGGTGTCTGCAATAGATCATGTGAGTTGTAGCCAAGCTATCTTCTCCTTCTGCAGCATAACAAGCAGATCCCATGAAGGCTTATTTATTGAGTTCACTGGTTGTGTTAATTTTCCCATTACACTTGTTGTCTTTCCAGTTTCAGATTTTCCTTCTGCTTGCTGGGTATTTTGCATATTCTGCTCAACAAATCGCTTGCCCAAAGCCTGATTAATGGAAGTGTCAAATTTATCAAAGCAACTTTTTTGTTCAGTTAAAAAAACAATCAAGTTGCTCAATTAAAACAGCCTTCTGTTGTATTATTATTGCCTGCTGGGATAGTTGCACAGCTGTTAAAGAAGTCTGTATTGCTGAGAGTATCTTCTGTATTTCTTCCATAGTAGCAGTAATTACCAAGGCTTGGCAGATGTCCAGGGGTTCCAAGAACAAAGATGGCTGTTAGCTCTTGGCAGTAGTCCAACATAGACGAATACAAGAAAAATCCTTCTATCATTCAATTCCACAATAATTATTATTTTGATTTTTCGCCCTTGGAGAGATTAAGGAAGATAAATCTTTTTCTTACTTACAAAGAGCTCTGTCTCTCTCTTCTTATGTAATTCACTGCTTTTCAACTCCATGGGGGGGGGGGAGATTCCTTTCCTCCTTCATCCGAAGGGCTTTTTCTTTTTCCTTTGTATCAATTAGCAAGGAATGCAGTTTATTCCATGGGTATCATTGCAAAAAAAAAAAAAAAAAAGAAAGAAAGAAAGAAAGAAAGAAAGAAAAGAAAAGAAAGAAAAATAATTCCCAATAAATCTGATGTGCTTGTAATAGCTAAAACTAATCTTAAAAAAAAAACCGTATGTCGAGAACTTGCAGAGAGCTTCTTCCCCCTCCTGTGCTACCCGGCTGAGAAAAACTTGATTTCCTCCCAGTGAATGTGGAATTGCCATTCCACATCATCTAGGAGATTCACCAAGCCATCTATCTTAGCCCCGACAGGGCTTAGATTGAGCCCCCGCGGCCCACCACCGGGCAGTTACCAGCGTGATAACGGAGATTCGTTAATCACATCTGTATTGTCCTGACGCCATACCGGAAGTCCTGGACGTGGTTTTCTCGACGGGGCAGGAAGAGGGTGATCTGAGGGTGAGGAACTTGTGTCTGACACCCCTGTCATGGTCAGATCACTTCCTCATGAGGTTTGAGCTTGAGAGCAGCCTTTTCCTCTGTAAGGGTGTGGACCTGATTGTGCTGGTCCACCCCCGGAGCCGGCTGGATCTGGATGGATTCCTGAAGGTGCTGGGGAATTTCCTGGTTGATAAGGCCGGTGCTCCTGTCGATGCCTTGGTTGAACTATGGAATGGGGAAATGACCAGGGCTATCAACACAATTGCTCCTAAGCATCCTCTCCCACCTGGCAGAAGTCTGAGAGAACTGGGTATGGTCAGCCTGGAGAAGAGAAGATGGAGGGGGGACATGATATCCCTCTATAAATAGCTCAAAGGCTGTCACAAAGAGGAAGGTAAAGACCTCTTCTTGCTAATGCCAGACTGTAGGACACAAAATAATCAAGTCAATCTGCAACAACCCAGATTCAGGCTAGATATCAGGAAAAGCTTTCTCACTGTCACAGCAATATGACAGTGGAACCAGCTGCCTAGAGAGGTGGTGGGCTCTCCCACACTAGAGAAATTCAAACAAACTGGACAGCCATCTGACTGGGGTGGTGTCACTTGGTGACCTGCAAGGGGTTGGACCCGATGGCTTTCATGGCACCTTCCAAGTCTACTATTCTATGATGCTATGATTCAAATGCCTGGCTTGAATGGTTCTTCAACTTGGCCTCTAAAGAGCTGTGGCAGATAATTACCCAGCACCAAAGAGATCAATGAGCTAGGCTGGAGGTAGGCAGGAAGAAGACAGACACAGTGAGCATGCTGTCAGGGAGCAGGGAGATGGATACAGGAATGGGGAGGAGATGGACATGGCACGGAGACGTGGGCAGAGGCTGTGGCACTGGTGCATACGTTTACCTGACATGGGGTGGGGGTCTGAGGGAGATCTGACTTTTCATGTGGTCTTACAGGTCCAGAAAGTTCTACTATCTTTTCCATCCCACTGTCAGTACTCTGACAACATTAATAGCAAGAAAGGGACATGCCGGGAGTGGATCTGGGAAGACCTTGTATCTGAATTCAAAGTTCTACTGTTACTCTGATATGCCCCCTAGATGTGTGTGTGTGACGGGGGCGGGGATGTACACCAACCCTTTAGCTGGCATACTTGTTTCCCTCCAGTCTTCCCTACCACCTTCGGGTAACCTTCAATATGGGTTCCTCCTACTTTGTCCCCTTCAGACTGCTCTGCTGAACTATTAAACAAACAAAAAAAAAAAAAAAAACAGATTTCCCAAATGAGCTATTTGTAAAGTTAGTTTATGTCTTTTTCTCACTTTTTTATACCCCTATTACTTTTCAGACTCATTTGAATCAAGATTTCACTGTGAAAGCAGCAGGCCAGGGACGAGCAACTGTGACCGTCACAACAGTGTATTATACAAAGCTACAGGAGGAGGCAGCTCAGTGTAGGAATTTCACTCTGCAGGTTTCTGTTGAAGAAATCCCGCTGAGTAAGTCTGTGCGGTGCCCTTACAAATACCCATCTTTGCTTAAAATTGCCCTGCCTGAGGATTTGCAGACACAAAGTTCTGAATTTGGATGTGGATGGTGTTTATACACATAGGAATGGGTGCATTCACATCAGTGTTCCTGTCACCATTTATTTTCATTTCAGAGCTATCCCTGAGCAAATACTCATGTAATCCCTACACATGCCTGCCTCAGCAAGGAATTCTGGGCTGGGACTTTAATAATCATTGATCTGTATATTTGCTCCCATGTGTCCCTGAAAAATGTATTCAGCTTGCCAGTGAAGTGAGATGTATATTGAGAGTGAATCCTGGCAGTAGCAGCTGCTGAAGGTTCTCAATACGCAAATTTACTGCTGGCCCCAGTGTGGCAATAGAGGAGGAGGGGCCTTCCCACCCTTACCTCTCCATGATGGGAACAGAGGCCCCAACCATATAAATGCATGATTGCTGAGTCACCCCTGCTGCCGTCAGCAGACGTATGTCTGCATGGTGCAGGTTTGGAAGTTGCTGCCGTCGCTGCTGCTTCCAGTTGCAAAAATGTACGGGCCTTCCCCTTTACTACTATACAAATCCATAGGGCTTTCCTCTCTTTTTCCAGCAGCAACTCCCTTTGCTCCCTTAATATTTATTCTGAAAAGGCAAGGACAAACCTTCTAGGGCAGAATTTTACTCTTGCTTTTGTGACATCCTCTACCATCTACTTGAGAATATCATAGCAGTGACCGAAGTGGATTCTCTGAAGTTAGCCCTCAAGTGTAAAATTCTTGTTTTCTTTTCAAACTGTTAACTTATTAGTGTAAACCTGCCTTACAGAAGGGTTTTGAAACTGCACCTGTGGCTCCCAGACTATCTATCTATCTATCTATCTATCTATCTATCTATCTATCTATCTATCTGGAGTTTTTGTATGCCGTCCCATTGCTTGTAGCCTTGGGATGGTTCACATAAATAAATAAACATATACAAATACAATTAAAACCCGGAAACACCCTGGTATACAAAACTTGAGACTTCCTGGTCTCAAGTTACCAGGAGGAACCTACATAGCAACATCAGCCTTCACAGAGGTTGCCTTTGTGGGTATCCCACATCTTAAAGCCTATCTTGTCTCTAACTTTGGATTTAGTATCTAGAAGAAACCAAAGGTTCTTCATTGTGGTCTCTGTGCATCACACGTATGGGTGCTGTGCCTGCACAGTGACAAATTCAGGAAAAATTCTCTAGCTTAGCCTAGAACTTTCAGTGGGAACCCTGTCCCTTTCTCCCCTATATAAAAGGTGGGCTCTCACCATTTCATCAGTTCACTTTCGACCACTGTTTTAGAAGTGCGTTGGGTTTTCTAGCATTCCTTTGTTTCACTTTCATGCCTTAGAACTTCTATTCTTAGCTTTTTCCTCACAAAATATTCCTCCTTAATATACTCAGCCCAATCTTTCATCTTCCTTTCCCTTTTCCTCTCATTCTATATCCTTTACCCCCCCTCCCCAACCTTCAATGTTCCCTCACAAATAAAAATAAAAACCCCTTCTATCGTCTCTCTTCTACATTCCTTTTCTAATCTGATGTCTCCGAGTACACCAGCATTCAGAAAGTGCATCAGATGCAGTGTTAAGATGCCAGCTTCCAATGGTCACTCCTTGTGCCTATTCTGCTTAGGCGAGGAGCACCACATAGGTAAATGCCAGCATTGTCAAGCGTCCATGATGCAGCCTCACAGAAATAGGGCTGGAAGACTCCACATGGAAATGTGGGAACACAACCTTGGAGGTATGTGTGAAGTGGCAGAGAAGAGAACAGGCCCTTATGATCCCTAAAGAGGCTTGTAAAAACATCCCACAGCCTGTACTTTGCTGAAAGCTGAGCCAACTAACCCCCTCCACCCCACCCCACCCCACCCCATTCTGAGCCTTCTGTTGAACTGGAGGTGCCCAAGAAAAAGAAGGAAAAAGGAAAATACCTCAAAACCTAGAGTGCCAGAATGGTCAAAAGGGCTAAAAAACAGAAAAGGCACTCCGAACAGGCAGACTGTTCTGTCAGTTCAGAACACCACAGACCGCTATCTAAGGAGACATCTCCCATAGGGGCCTCCAAACCAAGATAATCACCAGTCTGAGGATCTCTGACCTGATGGTCCCTGATGCCTATTCTGTTGAAACATGGGGCCCAGCCCAAGCACTCAGCTCTGACTTAATTTTCAGACAGGGAAATCAGAGATTCTCCAGGTAAATCACACCAGTTCCGATACCACGGACACCACTCCCATTCTATGGACCTTTGCCTACACAACCATTGCCCGTTTCATCTCATTGCTTCATTCCGGCCGTGGAAGCTACATCACAACCATTCAGTGGAAACCTGTATTGGTACCTACCTCCACCACACTACTACCAGGAATACCACTGGGATCGGAAAACCAATCCCCTGCAGTTTGCTTAGCCAGCCCCTCCTAGAGGTATGCCCCAGCATTGGTCACTTCCAAGTCACCTTCTCAGGAGCGAGCAAGGACCTAGCACCTCTGGAGTCCATGTTCCACAAGAAGGTATCTGACAATTGCCCTCTCCGTCTTCTGGCTTGGATTCATCAGACCCTGTGGATTATGCGGAAACGGACTCCTCAGAATCTACTGAACTGGTCTCTATATCACCGGATGAAGTCATGTTCTCCCAGGACCAGGGCCAAGGCTCTCCAGGTGAGAGTTTGGGACACTTTTCCTCCGTATGGCTAAGTCCCTTATTATTCAGGTGCAACAGTCGACTGACCAGACAGAGGACATCATGTATGACGTTATCCGTATGGAGGATGTTGTTCCAATAGCCCATCCCAGCTCTATTAAAAGCAATAAAAGTGCCCTGGGAGACCCCTCACCATCCTCACCTGACTTCTCAATGGCTAGAGAGGATGTACCTCACTCAGGAAAAGGATATTCTGTATCTCATGAACCACCCCCGTCCAATCTCTATGATTGTGGAGTCGACTCAAGGCAAACATCCGAGGACTGCAAAGCACCAACTGATGAAGAAGGGTGAAGACTTGATGTGATGGCATGCTGCATCTATGCAGCAATGGGCCTGGGTCTCCGCATATCCAATAGGGAGGTACCAGACCTTCCTGTGGCAGAAAATGGAAGCACTGGAGTCTTTTTACCAGAGGACTAGTTAGAATATTCCTTGCAGAAGGGTTGCAGTTATTGAGACAGCAGTTCTTCATCGTGCCCTCCTTGCATCATACATTATGGGTGCTGTACCTGTGCAGTGCCTGTTGCCAGGAGGATTTAATAGCTTAAACAGCTTTTGGTGGGAACTCCGTGCCCTCCCCACTGTAGTATGAATGGGCAGAGTGCCCATCCTTTCCCAAGTCTGCTTGCGACCACCGTTTGCCCTGCCTCGAGCCTTTTCACTTCACCTTTCTTGTTTTTTCTCTTTTATACTCTTTAAAAAAATTTCTCAAATTTTATCTAACTCTATAAATTTAACTCCCAATCCAAGTTTGACCCCATCCAAACCTCTCTGTTTTTCTCATTGCTCCCCCCTTTCCCTTCCCCTTCTACACACACACACACACACACACACAAACCCCAAACTCCTCTATTATCATTCTTCCATACTTTTCTCTGTTCGCTGTTTTCTCCTCTCCTTTCTTTGATGGCACAGTGGGTGGCTTTCCGCAAGTGTTCCCAGAATGGAGCCAGGATGTCTCCCACTGACCCTCATGAGCTGTGTCTTCTCTGTCTTGGAGAAGGACACAGAACTGATAAGTGCAGCTACTGCCAATCCTTCACCAGGCAGGTTCGCAAGAACCACAAGAATAAGCTGTGAAAAATGCTCTGGGACCAAGCATTGGTTGCAATGAAGCAGGTCTCAGCTGAGACCAGCTCCGCTAAACCTGCCTTCCGGCTCCTCTAAACTTGCTCCTCCTCACCCATCTGCGAAGGATACAGCTGGCAAGGATGGGAAGTGATCCTTGGATTCTCCTCCTCGTGAGCAGAAGGAGAAGAGGAACCATGTCGGGTTCTATGAATCATCTGTATCTAAGTGTTCAAAAAAGGATAAACCTGACAAAATATGATGAAGTGCCCGCTCTGAACCAGCAGCTGCATCTATTTCGACCCGATGATGGTTCCGATCTTGTCTCCATCAGAACCTCCCATCCAGCAATCTGTCACGCAAATGACTCCACCTGCATCACCAGCACAGATCCCTGCTTCAACACCGCTCAGTCCTGAGCACTCCGATCCTTTGGCGAGAGGGTCCACGTCTGATGGCGAGATCTGAGAATCTCTACCTCATTCACAGCCAGAGCAACCACCAAGATCGCCAACTCCTATGCCGGCATCTCCGGAGGGATCTCCAAAGGCACCTCAGCGTCCTTCTTCTCTCTTGCCACCGCAGCCTCTAGCTCAACCCTCAAGATACTGGGTCCTCCTATCATGTGGGGATTTCGATCCCGATTGGGCCTTTTCATGGGATTTCTACCCTCCTCGTTGCTATTTTCCATGACCACCAATGCACCCTCACCATTCTACTCCTCATTCGGCACCGAGGGATGCTCCATTGACTTTGGCAGCTCCTTCCCATCCACCACCATCTTCTGACTGGTCCTCATCCAGCCCACCTTACCAGTCTGATTCTGACTCAGAGGATTCCCACCAAGCCTCCACATCTCCCGATGCGGTGATCTCGACTCAGGATCCTGGCTTTCTGGAAGATTCACATGGCAACTTTGCAGAATTGCTCTCCAGGATGACAAGGTCCCTGGCGATTGATGTCCAACACTGCATCGATGCCAACCAGGACAATATCTATGGCATTGTGCGGAAAGAGGACTCCTCCTCTATCGCTCTGCCCTTTATCACCACTCTCAGGCAGGTGATGATAGACACTTGGCAGCTCCTGAACCATCCGCATCCTACATCTAGATGACTGGAGTAGATGTATAAGGTCCTCCCAGGGTTGGCAAAACAAACAGCACTCGAAACCTACAGATAAGGAAGGCAGGAAGATCAACATGATGTCTTGTCGAATCTATGCTGCTATGGGACTTGGTCTATGTATATCTAATTAGGAGGCTACCACAGCTCATTATCAATATTTTCTCATGCAGAAGATCAAGTCCCTCACCTCATACCTCCCTGACCAGCACAGAGAGCTGGCCCATATGTTCACTTGGGAGGCAATGCAGCTATCCATCCAGCAATTAAACATGGCAAGACATCATGTCGATTGCAAGACATCATGTCGAGACATCAGTGCCATCACCCTTCGCTGCCATGATCTGGGAACCTGCCTGAAGAAACCAAGTATTGCATCGAGAATACGCCCTTTGATGGTTCAGGCCTCTTCAGCGCGAAGACAGACAACAAGCTCAAAAACTTGTCTGACTGGTTATTGCATAGATACTCCTTCTAGTTTGGATGTAACAAACCACTCTGTGCATGCTCAAGGACTCTTTCTCTGTTGGATATTAGTTTGCTGGCTGTAAGTTGGAAATAAAGTGCTTTTTGGCAAAGAACGGTTTGTTGTTTTAAAGAAATAATGAGGGAAATAAGCTTTTGACACAGAGTAATTCAGTCAATGGATGCAGGACAAAACAACGAAGTAGTTGCTGAACTTTCAGATTTTTAATGGTTTGGAAATCCAGGACTACATCTCTTCCTTGCATTAAACAAAAAAACAACAACCCAAAGTTGATATAAGGTTTCAGGATGAGTGTGATGCAGAAATTTGTTGTTCAGTTGCAAAGCTGTGTCCAACTCTTTGCAATCTCATGGACAACATTTTTCCAGGCTCTCCTGTCCTCCACCATCCCCTGGGCTCCCCCAGCTCCACACCCACTGTCCCAGTGACCCCATGCAGCCACCTCAACCTCTGCTATCCCCTTCTCCTTTGCCTTCAATCACTCCCATCATAAGGGTTTTCTCCAGTGAGTCCTTCCTTCTCATTAGGTGGCCAAAGTATTTGAACTTCATCTTCAGTATCTGTCTTTCTAAAGAACAGTCAGGGCTGATTTCCTTTAGGATTGACTTTGCAGTCCAAGGCACTCTCAGGAGTCTTCTCCAACAACAGAATTCAGAAATGTCAGTTCTTCGGTGTTCAATCTTCCGTATGGTCCAGCTGATGCAGAAATAGTTGATATCAATTAGGGTTAGGAGAGGAATTTGATGGGCCTGATTTCTGAAGTTGGTCTCACCTTCTCTGTGCCTCATACAGCAATGTGTAGATTGGCTGGTGGTCTGCTTCAAAATTTGAATAGTAGAATAAGTTGGATATTGTAGGGAGAAAAAACATGGTTGCCATCCTAGCTCCATGGGGTCAGCCATATTCTTTTCCCTACAGTATTCCAAGGAAGGACAGCATTTATATGATGAAGTAATCCTTGTTGGATTTTGGTGCCATTCAACAATCAAGCTTGTTACTCCTTTTTCAAACAGACTCATTGCTTCATGGAATCTATGCCAAGATACTAGTTCTTTTTTCTTTTCTGAAATAATTTCTAGGTATTATGGAAGCAAGTGGGGCTATAGGAGCAATCAGGATCACAATCTGCACCAGGTAAACATGTTGGACTTTGAAGATAACTCTGAGCTGTACCTGGAGTTTCTAATGGAAGTTGCATGATTTAGAAGAACAGTCATAAGATCTTGATATCTAAGGTTAAGGTACACCATCTTTGAGTTTTCTGAGAGCTTCAGAATCTCCTTAGATATCAGGAAATAAACAGTTTCAGAAGATTCGATTCAGGTATCTCACATTCAGATTTAGCAAGTACTGCTCAAGAAAGTACTCTCAGATATTTTAAGAGTATTTTAAGAGTTACAGGCTTTAGTAGGAAGTCCCCAGCAAGGAAACTATCTAGCTTGTATACATCTCACAGAAGCATATAGCCCAGAAGCACATAGATATCTCAGATATTGCTAAGAAAAGATATTAGCAAATAATATGTAAGGTGTTTCCATTTCATAGAATCATAGAATAGCAGAGTTGGAAAGGGCCATGAAGGCCATCAGGTCCAACCCCCTGCTGTTGCAGGACACCAATTTACACCATCCCACTCAGATGGCTGTCCAGTTTCTGTTTGAATGCCTCTAGTGTGGGAGAGCCCACCAACTCTCTAGGCAACTACTTCCATTGTCATATTGCTCTGACAGTTTTGTTTTTCCCCTAAACCTGGATGTGTTGCATCTGTAGTGTCTGCACCTTCAGGAGGCTCACATTAAATTATATCTATCTCAGCATTTCATCTGGCTTTAATTTCTACAAGTATTCAGAATGCCTAGATGACCTGGCAAAGCAGCACTCATGGGTTTTCTAATATAAACCAGTAAAACATTTCTTCAGTTCTAATAAATTCCTTCAAGAAATGATGGAAACTATCTTTTAGACAGTTTTTGCTCTATCCCTGATTTTAGATATCTTGGTCAAGTTGATGCTCCAATGACAGTCATTGATGTCTCCATGCTTGCTGGTTTTGTACCTGATCCTGAAGACCTTAGGAAGGTAAGTCCTGTTCAGTGCAGGGATTGTCTAAGTTGTTCCTGTAAAATACTGGACAACTTCTTTATTTTCGACCTGGACAAGAAAATTCACTGTAGCCAGTGGAAAGTTTTTGATCAGGACAGAGATCAGGCTAATTTTGAGTGCTCCCTGTTTACTAGGTTTAGATGCAACAGAGAATAGTACACCAGTTCCTTGCAGACAGATGCCTGTATAACTGTGGCCCTTGCCAAAGCTGCCATCATGTAGCTTCCACTGTCAAAGACTACATTATCATGAGGCAAAATTATAAGTCTTCTTTGGCAACAGTCTTGGGGTGCAAATTTGGGCTACGGAGAAGGAGATAGACCCTTCTGACCCTTACTGGGACACAAACCACTGGGATATTCTTCTGTACAAGGTTACTTAGACGAAATAGGAAGTGTGTAAAAACAACTTAGGCTGGGCCCCTCCATTATAGCAGTTGAGTGGGACTTGGATGATCATGTGGCATGTAGCAAACTGTTGATTGCAAGTTTGCTGATTCTCTGAAAGGGACAAACCATTTTTGTATAAATATGAATAGTGTGGCCATAATCCTGTAACTTAAAGACATTTTCATGGACAATTAACTATATTCAATGTGGGGCTGATTCTAAGCCATGCTCTGTGACATGGGATAGTAAAAACAACAAGTGCTGTGGCACCTAAAAGACAAATATAATATGGCACAAACTTTTATAGCATATACCCCCCAAAAAAAGACCACATGTGAAGAATTGATTCTGCTTATGGATGTGCAAAGTAGATTAGGCCAGGGCAGATCTTGATTGCACTATATGGTTGTATGTAACTTCCTTGGCAATTTCTCTGTTCTTATTGACACTTTCGTTGCCTTCTCAAAATCTCTCAGATACTTTTTTTGAGCAGGCATCTCCAACTTGCTTTTGCATTTTGCTAGAGCAAAATTTTGCAAGCAGTCCTCTGGGATTGCTTGATTTGGTGTATCCTGCTGCAGCTCCGGGTGCTGCCAACAATGTTTGTCTTGCTTTCTCTCTCCATTTAGCTTTCTGAAGGAGTGGGCAGATATATCAACAGGTCTGAAATTGACAATGTGCTTTCTGAAAGAGACAACTTCCTCCTCTATTTGGATAAGGTAAAGAGGAAATAAGACTGCTGTGTACCTCAGCCAGGTCTATATGGGCTGAAGGGCATGGAATATATTTTCCTAACTTATAGGAAGTGTTTTAACTTCATGAGTAATCTCCAACTACATCAGGCCTTATATGTATACTGAAAAGCTAATGCTTTGCTGTGTTTTGCATTGCCCAATAACAGGAGTGAGCTACCTGTGACCTTTTGTGTATTGTTGGGGTTTTGACCTGTTTCTCTTTCAGTAGTGAGGTTTTCTTGGGTGGGGTTGGGTTGGGCAACATGGTGTCAGCAGACACCACATGCCTCTGAATTTTTTTCCATGATGCCCACTGAAGTACCATACCCCTCCCACATTTATTTATTTGTTTGTTTGTTTGTTTGTTTAAAGTTTTTGTATGCTGTCCCCTTGCTAAATATCCTTGAGACGGCTCACACAAATAAATAAATATAGTAAAAATACAGTTAAAATCCAGAAACACCCCGGCTGCACAATTAAAACCTATAAATATTAAACATTATTAAAATATTGTTTGAATAAAAAGGTCTTAGCCTGACGTCGAAAAACAAATGATGACGGTGCCAGGCGGACCTCTCTGGGGAGCACATTCCACAGATGGGGCGCCGCCGCAGAGAAAGCCCTCCTCCGGGTACTTTGCTTCCTGATGTCTCTCCCGGAGGGCTCCCAGAAGAGGGCCTCTGCTGCCGATCTCAGGGGCCAACTGGGCAAATATGGATGTAAGCGCTCCTTCAGGTAACCAGGACCCAAGCCATTTAGGGCTTTATAGGTGATTACCAACACCTTGAATTGAACCCGGACTTCGATGGGAAGCCAGTGAAGCTGGTAGAGGACTGGGATTATATGAGAATAAAGTCCAGTCCCCGTCAGCAACTTGGTTGCTCTGTTTTGCACCATCTGAAGTATCCGGATTATCTTCAAGGGCAGCCCCACGTAGAGCGTGTTACAGAAATCCAGCCAGGAAGTAACCAATGCATGCATCACTGTCGCTAGGCAGTCATCCTCCAGGTAGGGACGCAGCTGATGGATTAGCCGAAGCTGATGGAAAGCATTCCTCGCCACTGCTGTCACTTGAGTTTCCAAAGATAGCTCCAGGTCAAGGAGCACTCCCAAGCTGCGGACCCTGTCCTTTAGAGGGAGTGCAACCCCTTTCAGGACAAGATCCAAGTCACCTTCCCAGGGGCTTGAACCACCCACCAGCAGGACCTCCGTCTTGTCTGGATTGAGCTTCAGTTTATTGGCCCTCATCCAGCCCATTACCTCAGCCAGGCACCACTTCAGTACAGTCACTGCCTCACCTGGACTGGTGGAAAACAAGAGGTAGAGCTGGGTATCATCAGCATACTGATGATTCCGCAGCCCACACCTCCTGATAACCTCTCCCAGCAGTTTCATGTAGATGTTAAATAGCAAGGGGGAAAGAATGGACCCCTGTGGAACTCCATGGCATAACTGCTATGGCGCAGAGGTAAATTCCCCCAGCACCACCTTCTGGAATCGGCCATCGAGGTAGGAGTGGAACCACTCCCAAGCAGTGCCTCCTACTCCCAATCCTGCTAGCCTATTCAGAAGGATACCATGATCAATGGTATCGAAAGCTGCTGAGAGGTCCAGGAGAACCAACGGGGACGCACTCCCCCTGTCTCTCTCCCTGCACAGGTCATCATACAGGGTGACCAAGGCAGATTCAGTACCATACCCGGGTCTGAAGCCGGACTGAAATGGGTCCAGATAATCAGTCTCATCCAAGAGAGCTTGGAGTTGTCCCGCCACCACGCTTTCCAACACCTTGCCCAAAAATGGGATGTTGGCCACCGGTCTATAATTGGCAGCCATCTCTGGATCCAGGGATGCCTTCTTTAGGACCGGCCTGACCACCGCCTCCTTTAGAGGGGCATGCACCCGGCTGTCCCTCAGAGAGGCGTTGATGACCTCCAGGATCCAGGCACCAATCCCGTGTTTGGCTTTGGACAGTAGCCACAACGGGCAAGGGTCCAGTAAACAGGTGGTGGTACGTACTTGTCCAAGCACCTTGTCCACATCATCAGGCTGCAATAACTGAAACTCATCCAACAATATGTGACCAGACGGTAACATTGGCACCACCCCTAAGGAATCTGAGTCACTAGTGGAGTCCAGCTCGTGATGAATCTGAGCGACTTTCTCCTTAAAGTGCTGGGCAAATTCGTCACAGCAGGTTATCAAGGGTGGTACAGGATCTTTCACAGGGCCTGGATGTACCAACCCCTGTACCACCCGAAAAAGTTCTGCTGGACGGCACTGTGAGGAGGCAATGGAAGTGGAGAAGAATTTCTTCTTCGCCTCCCTCACCACCACAGCATAGGCTTGATAATGGGCTCTTAAGTGTGTTCAGTCAGATTCATCTTGAGATTTCCTCCACCTATGCTCTAGCCATCTCCCAACCCGCTTCATCGCCCGTAATTCAGGTGTATACCTAGAGGATGAACGGGCTCTGACCAGTGGGAGGGGACGCTTAGGAGCAATCGTGTCAATAGCTCTGGCCATTTCCCCATTCCACAGTTCAACCAGAGCATCAACAGGAGCGCCAGCTTTATCAGCCGGAAACTCCCTCAGATCCTTCAGGAATCCATCCGGATCCATCCGGCTCTGAGGGTGGACCAACACAATAGGGTCCGCACCCTTACAGAGGGGAAGGCCGCCATCGAGCTCAAACCTCACAAGGAAGTGGTCTGACCATGACAGGGAGTCAGACACAAATTCCTCACCCTCAGATCACCTTCTTCCTGCCCCGTCGAGAAAACCAGGTCCAGCGTGTGTCCACGTTCATGGGTCGGGCCAATGACATGTTGAGACAGCCCCATGGCCGTCATGGAGGCCATGAAGTCCTGAGCCGCCCCGGTCAGAACAGTCTCGGCATGGAGATTGAAGTCCCCTTTTCCCTTTTGTTTTGTTTGCAAGGGTTTTTTATCAGCAGCTGTGATTTTTTCTAATGAGGGCCTTCAGCTGCTGCCATGAGTACCTCTGGGCTAGATCTGAAGCATTCTTAGGAAATACAGATGGTAGGCAGCAGTCAGCTGATGCTTCCTTCTGTAGTGTGCCCAGCCACTAGGGAAAATAGGGCAGGGGAAGAAAAGGATCCTTATCACTACTGTCTCAAAAGTTCACTGCTGAAGGAAGACAAGAGGAAGCCAACAGGAAAAGAGGGAGTCAGCCTAGGAGGTCGCTTCCAGAAACAAGTCCTGTGTCACTTTTCTGCTCCCATCATTAGTTATTTGTCCCATGGGTACATTGGGTGCTAGTCAAATATTAGAAAATTTATCATTTCAGGAGTGAGGCAACAAGCAGGGCAAGCTTTCTTTCTTGCCATTTTGACTGAGAATTAGGCATATGTGAGTGCAGCCACTCAGTTTTGTGAGATCATGTAAGTGCTGTAGATGAACAGAAATCCCAGCCCTCCCACTGAAAGGGTTGAGAATAAAAATGTTTCTCAAGCGGATTTTTTTTATCTAAAGGCTTATTCTCTGTTCTGTCTCTTAGCTTTCTCACACAGAAGATGAATGTTTTCAATTTAAAGCTTACAAGTATAATGAAGTTGATCCCATTCAGCCAGGATCAGTCCAGGTCTACAACTATTATGCTCTAGGTAATGCATAAGCATAAGTTCTGCTTAATATATTGCAAAACTGATATACTGGAGACTGGGTTTCCAAAGCATTTTGCTTTGTTTCTCATTTTACAACTATAAAATGAATTTCATGATAACTGTGGTAGTGTTGAGCATCAGCAATAGTCGGTCAGAATGCTATTAAGCATTCTTAATTAAGCATTCAGTTCAGCTTTGCAAAAGCATGCAAAAGTAGATTTAATAACAATGAAACCGGAAAGGGGTTTGGTGAATGCAGTGGCAAGCCTAACCTACTAACCTGTGTAATTAAAGAGGTACATCTCATGTATGGATCTGTTTATGCTGCAAAATAATTTCCAGAACTTCAGACCTCTGTCTGGACAACAGCAGCTCATCCCCAAGAGCCTAGAAGCTGTCATTGTTGTTGCAGGGGATGCTGGAAAAATGACTATTAAAAGTTTAGCATGTTAGTTGCGAAGTCGTGTCCGACCCATCGCGACCCCATGGACAACATTCCTCCAGGCCTTCCTGTCCTCCACCAGTTTAACTTAAGCTCACAAGTTTAGCATAATGTTGGAGAAATTTGTGCACCTGACCTATCTCCCCCTTTATATTTCCAGTTAAGCTGAGAGATCACTAATACTCTCCTTGGTAGAAATGGGCCATTTGCTACTACTTTGTGCACTTCCCCAAACTTTCTTTTTGGAATTTCCTTCTAAGGAATTGAGGCTGTAATCCTATCCCATTTATCTGAAAGTAACCCTTATTCCACTGAGTAACTCTCAATAGAACCTTACTTCTGAGTAGGCGTATATAGAACTCCACTGTAAATCAGTAAACTGCACAGACTTGTAAATATGAACCATGGCTGCCTCCTCTTCCCTTTCCTTTTTTTCAGATAAACAATGCACCAAGTTCTACCATCCACACACAGCAACTGTCCTCCCTAATAATATATGTCATGGTAATGTTTGTTGGTGTAAAGTAGGTAAGAAACAGTAGGGAGAGAAGGTGCTGCTCCTGCTCACCCAAGTTCAGATGTGTTGCGTTTGGAGGTTGCAACTTGGAGTAACATGGAATTTCCTATCCCTGGTTCTGTGTGCTTAATCCAGGTTGTATCTATTACCTGTAGAGTGGTTTGGGGTATGTATTAATTAACCTTGCAAATTATGAGTATAGCCATTGACACTAACATTGACAGGCGAGTGGCCCCAGTGGAACAGTTTAAGTAAAAGGGAGCCCATCTCAAAGATGCTTTTTGGTCATTTTAGTAAATGGAATTTCTCTTGCAACAGCAGGGATGACACCCCACCCCCCATCCCCCCAAAAACAAAACAAAACGCAGTGACTGAAAATGCACATTTCCCACATAGACTAAAATGTGGAAATTCACTTGAGGGGGAAATTCACTTGATCTGTGTACTTTGGAGGGATTTTCAAGAATTTGCAAATTTGCTTAGGAACAGATTTGTAAAGAATCTAACTCGTCAATGAGGGACAACAGAATGACAACTGACAATCACAGATTCACCTGACAATCTCTGACATGGAGATAGAATGGATTTTACAATATCTGTCCATACCTACTTGGAAAAGGAGAATCACAGAATTCAAGCAAGTGCTAGTACGCCAAGGTCTCTGTGTCTGCATGGTGTGAATCAGGCCATCTGAGTCCTATGGAAGAAGTTTACAGAGCAACTCATGGTACCACAGAGATCTAAACAAAACAGTCTAATAATCACTACTGGGGACTGAAAGCCTATAAACACCAGATTCTGCCCTGCATCTGTGTACCTTCAAATTGGCTACCCAGTGATCACTTTATCACATCTGAATTAGTTAGCATAAAGTATCACAGGAATATCTTCCATTCCTAATTATTTTCCTCTCTGTCCCAAAGAAAGCTGTTGTGTACAGAAGGAGTCCATCAGTTTGCAGCAACGAGTCAAGGCAGCCTGTAAATCAGAAGTGAACTATGGTAAGTACCATTTAAACTGAGCAATTGTATAAATCTGGAAGGAGCAGTTTGTCCAGCCAAGACATTTGCACTATTCCTAGTGAACATTCATTAGTATCCAAAATTGACATATAGGATGGCCATCTCTTATTACTGTATGGCAAGCACACTTTTCTCCACATGATGCTACACAATTCGTCCTTGCTGTTTTTCAATGCAGTAACTATATTGTGAATTGTTGCCATATATTGTACTCCAGATGCAGCACAAAAAGCACATGCAATTCTAGAATTAGGTATGGATTGATGAGCAGATTCTAAATTCTTCACTGCCAAAACAAAGTAAAGTTTTAAGTCTGTGTACAGGACAGACTAAATGTGGCCACACTAACAAACCATAGTTCATTAATCATGAGCAGTCCAGAAAAAGAAACCATTGTTGGACTGTAAATTCTGGGTCATCTAAACCATGGATTGTCATTATGTGCAAACACAGAACCATGAGTGGTTTCTACAGACCACAGAGATGGCAGACAAGAGCAGTCCAGACAAGCCATACTGGTACTACAAGGACACAAAAACATTTGGAATACTGGAAGGGAGTGAACAAAGGAGGATAGAAATCAGACAGAAGCAGGGACTAAGAAACAAAGTCCAGTTAGTTCAATCATCTGCCAGACTCTTCCTGGTTAAGGCAACAAACTGTGGATTAAATAAACCATGGGTACATGTTTAATGTAAACCAGGCCAATGGTTGCATTAAAATGCATATATTTAAAACATGCACATTAATTCTGCATTATACAAAATGCAGTACCCATTTCCCTGTGGATTTAGTTTAATTACATGCTCATGCAGAAAAGCAACAGAATAAGCCTGATCACAGAACAATGCCATTCTTGGTGAAATCAAAACTGACAGATCCATCTCTGATCCCAAGTCCCATTGTTTTCAGTGGGGCTTAGTCACAGATAGGTGTGCACAGGATAGCAGTTCAAGTCTGCTTGTTAAACTGTGGAGGCCTTCATAGGTGAAAGAACGCAACCATCCTAATACTTTTTCTCTGTTTTTTAAGTGTACAAAACCAGAATGATTGAAACAGAAGAAATAAACAGCTACAAGTACTTCATCATGGAAGTTCTGGAATTTTTTAAAGCACGTAAGATTTCCCTCCTGAGAAGAAAATTAATCCTTGAATACAAATGCAAGAGGAAGTTCTCCTTTATCTTGTGCAGGGCATTCCAGCACCTTGTGTTTAGCCTCTTCTTCTAGGCCCTGCCTCCTACTTGATCATATTGATTCTTTCCAGGAAGTGGGGTTACCCTGCCCTCTCAGGTAAGGCCCTCCCTAGTCACGGGTATGACAAGGTCCCTGCTGAGTTTAGCAGGCTCAGCAACTGTTTAACTCATACACCTCAACAGAAAGAAGAAGAAAACTATTTTCTCTCATCTTGCCAACTTCCAAATACATGTGGTTATGGACAAAAATAAGATTCACAAGAGATAGAGAATCAACACCTTCTTGGAATGGCTGATTGGTAACACCCCATCCCCAACATCCATGCTGTGAGTGCTTGAGTGAGACATCCAGCCAGCAGAGCAAGCATGAGCCGATGGGACATGCAAGCTCAACCCAGATCAAGCAACCTGCAGCACCAGATTAGAAAGGTTTGAGCAAGTTCCTTTTCTTCCACTCTGCTCACCCCCCATGCCTTTTCTGACCTAGCTGCCAAAACTTTAGATGCACATTAAAAGGGGGTTTGCCAGGTCTTTAGGAATTTTTGGACTGTGACATATATAGCCTTGTGTCCCATCTAAGTGTCAAAACTCCTTTTCCCAGAAAAAAAATAGGATGCACTTTCTCAAGCAGCTAGAGTCTACAGAAACAGTGCAAAATGTACACCGCACTGAGCATTGTTGAGGGGGGAGAAGATGAGGAGCTCACTGCAGAGGAGGAATAAATCACACCTTTTTGCAAGCAAAGATCACTCATGCTTTATCATTTTGCATTTTGACTATTGCCAACAGAAAGCAAAGGGGAACAAGCTATTTGAAATCTCTTTGGGTCAATGTCCAGGGTTGGTACCTGCTGTTACTACCCACCCAAACATTGGTGCAGCAGTTTCTACCCTTGCACAACTGCAAACCTCCATACTCAGTTGGAGTGGCTAAAAGAAGGAAACAGAAAGAAAAAAAGAGCCCAGTTAGGTGCATTATGTCTGAATATTTTTTTAGCAATCCGCTAGCTACTGACAGTCCTTCCAAGGTGCTGCATGGGCACTTTGAAGGTGCTTTCAGTGGCTTTCAGTTGGCCATCAGTGGATTTTGTAATCTTCTGCCGGGGGAAAGGATAAACAAGAAACACGGGATAAACGGGAAAGTTTGGGAACACATGACAGGGCAGCAATCCACAAAGGGTTTTTGTGTGGTGTGAACCCAGTCAGGAGTACTTTTGGTTGCTGAGTGAACCACCAACCCATGAAGACTTAGCATGATGTCCAGTAAGAAGCTGCCTATGGTGTTTTCCTTCTTTTCTAGCAATCTTTAAAATCGATGCAGGAATCAAAATTGGTTTTCGACATTCATGATATAATGGTGCCTGAATATGTGTGTCAACTTTGATTCCATATTTTGCATTTTCTTCTGCTCCCCTTTGAAAATGGCTTGAAGAGAAAATATGCAAAACTGATGTGTAGAATTTGTCCTGAACGTGTTCAACAGATTTATTGCTGAACAAATAAAACACTGAATGACCCAGTTAAGTCAAAGGCACATTTTGTTTCTCCAGTGAAATAAAATACATGGACTTGTTCTTCTAGACAGCAACTTTTATATTATTAAACTAATACAATAATACTGTTAATTATCATTAGTTTTCCAATCTATGAATCAATGGATTAAAAATGGATTAATTTGCATTCTATGAAAGCCTTATATAGGTTTATGGTCTTTGGATGGTGTTTTTATGTTTTGAGATATTGAAGGAGATCTAAAACCTGTCAGTTTAATCATCCAGAGCTACTATGCACTGTTAGAAGGAAAATAGTCTTTGAAAGCTGTCTTTCAATCCTAATGTCACTGTTTAAAATAGCTGCTCCCCTTCAAGAAGCTTTTCAACACATTTACCAATTTAACTAGTTAAAGATTATTGATTCAAATACCCGTTAATGCTTTGTCCAATTCATCCAGGGGATGACATAAATCCACATGGCAACTGGATCCACAAATTTATCAGTCCCATGAAATGCAAGGAATCTTTGCATCTGGAAGAGAACAAGGACTATCTGATTTGGGGTCTTGGCAGTGATACGTGGCATACAAACAATGAGTATGTATTTACGCATAGCTAGGGTTGACCATACCATGACAAAAAGATCACTGTACACATACTTAGCAGGCTGTTGTGAACATCTACATGGTTCCCACATAGCTCCAGAAAAACACAACCAGCTGATACAGCTTTGCAGAATGTCCACATACTTGCAACATAAAGTGTGACAAAATGAGTTGCTATTTCTTAGCCAGTCTCTTTGGAAGATTGATTCTTAAGTTCACCATCCTTGAGAGAAAGTATAGATTAATCATAACTTTATTTAGGGTGACTTGAACATACAGCATGCTTAAGCGCCACATAGCAGGGAGATATCTTGGCCTCAGTGGTTGGGTGATCATAAGATGCTCTGACTAAGAACCTTTAGAGCAGGGGTATCCAGCCTTTTGGCTTCTCTGGGTCACATTGAAAGAAGAAGAATGGTCTTGGGCCACACATTAAATACACAAACGAAAACTGATGAGCAAAAAGAAAAAAAGGTCTGTGCATAACTTTTGTGATATCCACCACCACAGAGAAGCAAAAAAGTCCTCACATAATAATCCTAAGAGAGCATGCATACGCTTATTTTATATGACATTGTGGCATGACATTGTCATCTACAAAACTCAAGAACTGCACAATCAAGTTACCCCAAAATAGCAAAAAAAACCCCCAGCCTCATAATGTTTTAAGTAAGTTTATGATTTTGTGTTGGGCCGCATTCATAGCCATCCTGGGCCACATGCGAATGGACACCCCTGCTTTAGAGGGGCATTTCATTCCCTTCAGGCTGCATCTTCCTAATCTTACGTATAGGAGGCAGCATGTATTTCTGTACACACCAGGCAAAATCATGAGGCTGTTTGTCAACACCTGAGAAAATTATGCTTCCTGTGATGCTAAGTATATACATGGCCAAACCTCCCCTCTTACATTTTCAGGCTCAACTACTACATTACTAAGGACACCTGGATCGAGAAATGGCCAGACCAGAAGGAATGCCAGGAAGAGGAATATCAAGCCCTGTGCAATGACCTGGTTGAGTTCTCCAGTATAATGACCTTTTCTGGCTGTCAGGGCTAATTTTGCTAGCGAACAAAGGTGGGTTTGAGCCAATGTGCAAAAGAATGTATCTCCCACAAAGAGCTTCTAACAGCTGTTCTATTCTTATCCCAGCATAATGTTCATAAAATAAATGAAGACTCGATTTCTTTGTGACATCTTGTGTATATTATTAACTAATGGCCTCTCACCATCCCCCTGAACATCTTTAGTGTACACCGCTAAAGTTTCCTGGAGAGAGCAATGGATGATTAAGCCAGTCTTAAATCTGTGTCAAAGGGCTAGAGGACAAATGCAGTTTCAACTTTTTGCTTCATGTGTGGAAATTGTGGCAGCACATGGCTTATTTCTGTTTCATTTGTAATTTACATTTTAGTGTACTTATTTTATATTCCAATTAAATATCTCAATGTGTTAGTGTCCATAGGTGGTAAGATTCTATAACAGATCAAGGGTCCATTATCTTGTTTCCAAGGCACACAAAATCATGTGTCTCTAGCACAACAATGTACCACATTTTTTTCTTTTCAACTGTATTGGAAATTTTAGCAAAAAAAAAAAATAAGACAGGACCCAAAACTCAAAGGTTTAAAACAGGTGGAGAAGAATATAAAATAAAATGCTATGCTGATGACATAGTTTTGACCATTCTAGATCCACATCAATCCATACAGATTATAATGGAGCACGTTGAAAAATTTGGACTTTATTCAGGCCATATGATCAATAAGAAAAAAACAAAAAATATACTAAAATTTGTAACAAAGCAGGAAGAAGAAAGTATAAAAAAATTCAGGAAGTGAAATAACTTCAAACCTAGTTAAACACTGTGATGTTAGGGATAAACATCATGGGACATAATGACACACTATTTCAAAACAATTATCAAATAACGTGGATGAAGACCAAAAAGACTTACAAAAATGGACTGAACTAAAAGCATGAAAAGAATTTCATGAATGTAAAGATGAATGTACTACCTAAACTGAATGTTCTTTTTCAGAAGATACCAATTGCCATACTGGGAAAAGCTCTCCAGTATTGGCAGAGACAATTAAATATTTTTATTTGGAATGACAAGAAGCCAAGGATTAGATTTAAAATCCTTCAGGATGCAAAGGAGAGAAGAGGCCTTGCAGTACTTAATTTGAAGCTATATTATTATGCAGAAGGCCTGATTTATATCACAGATTGGATTATAAATGCTAATGACAGGGGAGTGAAGTTAGAAATAGCTGATCTTGAAGATGGAATACATAATCTTCTATGGGTTAGAGAAGCAGTTAAAAAGGCCCTGATATCAAACAATAACCATGTATTAAGAGATGGCCTAATACAAAATTTGGTCTTCCATGAGTGAAAAAAAATATCCCTCCAGCCTCTCCTCTGCTGTCCCCATTTGAAGCACATGTAATTAGATGTTTCCATTTGTGGAGAATGTATTGTATTGCACAAATGCATTTTGATTGATTGATTTATTTAAAACATTTCTATGCTGTCCTTTGCATAGCCTCAGAATGCCTCAAAACAAAATAAATAACTATATAAAATACAATTAAAATTCAATAATAAACAATTAAACATTCAATCAAACCAATTCAAAATTAAAAGAAGAAAAGAGAAAGGAGATGCAACTGATTAATATTTCTTATTAAAATTATTAATTTAATTATTTAAATGATGAGTAAATAAAAAGGTCTTTACCTGGCTTTGGAAAGAGTAGAGAGTCGGCACCAGGCAGACCTCTCCGGGGAGCATATTCCATAGTTTGGGTGCCACTGCTGTGAAGGCCCTCCTCCAAGTAGTTACCTTCTGTACCTCCTTCAAAGAGGGTTCCCGGAGCAAGGCCTCCCCTGCCAATCTTAAAGGGCGTGGGGGGATATAGGGAAAGAGACGTTCCTTCAGGTATCCTGGTCCCAAGCTGTTTAGGACTTTATAAGTTAGCACTAGCACCTTGAATTGGGCTCGGCCTTCATTTGGGAGCCAGTGAAGCTGATAGAGGACCAGCGTTATAGAAGAATAACGGCTGGCCATCAACAACCTGGCAGTTCTATTTTGTTCCAATTCAAGTATCCAGACCATTTTTATGGGCAGCCCCACATAGAGCGCATTACAGTAATCCAACCGGGAGGTTACCAGAGCATGTGTCACCATTGCTAGGCAGTGCTTGTCCAGGTAAGGGCGCAGCTGTTGGATCAACAGAAGCTGAAGGAAGGCGCTCCTCACCTAGGCCACCAGGGACAGCTCCGGGTTGAGGAGCACTCCTAGGCTGCAGACCCTGTCGTTTAGAGGGAGTGCAACCCCGCCCAGGACAGGACCAAAATCACTTACCTGAAAACCCGAACTGCCCACCAAAAGGACCTCTGTTTAATCTGGATTGAGTCTCAGTTTGTTGGCCCTCATCCAGCCCATTACCTCGGCCAGGCACTGGTTCAGGACAGCCACTGCCTCACCTGGAGTAGATGTAAATGAGAGGTAGAGCTGGGTGTCATTGGCATACTGATGACTCCTCAGCCCAAACCTCCTGATGACCTCTCCCAGTGGTTTCATGTTAAAAAGCATGGGTGACAAAATAGAGCCCTGCGGTACTCCATGACAAAGCTGCCATGATGCAGAGCTATAGTCCCCCAGCACCACCTTCTGAAATTGACTGGCCAAATAGGAGCAGAACCACTGCCATGCAGAGCCTTCTACTCTTAACTCAGCCAGCCTATCCAGAAGGATACTATGGCCGATAGTATCGAAAGCTGCTGAGAAGTCCAGGAGAACCAAGTCCAGGAACACACTTCCCCTGTCCCTCTCCCTGCACAGGTCATCATACAGGGTGACCAAGGCAGATTCAATACCATAACCGAGTCTGAAGCCAGACTGAAATGGGTCTAGATAATCCGTATCATCCAAGAGTGCCTGGAGTTGTCCTGCCACCACCAGCTCAAACACCTTGCCCAAAAACCGGATGTTGGTCACTGGTCTATAATTGGTGGCCACCTCTGGGTCCAGGGACACCTTCTTCAGGATGGGTCTGATCACCACATCCTTTAAAGGGGCAGGGACCCAGCCCTCCCTCAGTGAGGCCTTAATAACCTCCTGGACCAGGGATCGATGCCGTGACTGGCTTTTGCAAGTAGCCAAGAAGGGCAAGGGCTGAGTAAACAGGTGGTTGGGCACTCGTACCATGCCAAGCATCTTCTCCACTTCCTCAGGCCGCAATAACTGAAACTCGTCCAACAGTATGGTATAGTCTTTAATATTAACTAATGTACACATTCTTTTAAAGTGTTTTCTTGCTTCATGGCAATTAAGAAAAGGCCAACATAAATTGATTTTCTGCACCCGTTTGACAGCTGTTGTTGTTATATGTAGTCACGTCCTCTCCAACTTATGGCAACTTTATTAATGAATGCCATCCAAAATGTCCCGTCCTTGACTGTCCCACTCAGTTCTTGTAAACCCAAGGCTGTGGCTTCCTTCATGGAATCAACCTCTTACTTGGTCTTCCTCATCTTCCTCTGCCTATGACTTTCCCTAGCATTTTTGTCTTCTCATGATGTGTGCAAAGGATGGCAGCCTCAGTTTCATTATTTTTGCTTCCATGGAAAGTCCCAACTTTATTTGATCCTGGACCCACTTGTTTGTCTTTCTGTCCACCCAGGGTATTTGCAAACCTTTCCTTTAGCAACACATTTTGAACACATCTTGTTTGTCTCAGCTTTCTTCATTGTCCAGCTTCCAAATACAAATACAAGAATTCAATAGCGTGGATGATTTTGGCCCTGGCCTCCAATGAAACATCCTTTCACATGATAATATTTTCTAGTTCCTTCATGGCTCCCTTTCAAACTCTCAATCTTTTAATTTCTTGGCTGCAGTCTCCCCTTGAACTGATTATTGAGCCATGGAATGCAAAATCTTTCACAATTTCAGTTTCTTCATTGTTGACATTAAAGTTGTGTAATTCTTCTGTAGTCATGTTTTTTGTTTCCTTGATGTTCAGCTGCAGTCCTGCTTTTACAGGAAAATTTTCAATTTGTTGTTGCCGTGGTATTATCTACATATCTTACATTTTTATAGCTAAAAGCCTGATTGGAAAGATATACATTACCTCCTGTAAATACAATGAATTAATAATCTTAAAACACTTTCAGTATTTGAACAGGTAGAAGATAGAAACCACCTTCAAATATTTGGTCTACTTTGAAGTTCACTAATTAAGATTATGTGAGGACTTTTTTGCTTATCTGTGGTGGCAGATATCACAAAAATTATGCACAGACTTTTTTTTTTTTTTTTTTTGCTTATCAGCTTTTGTTAGTGTTTGTGTATTTAATGTGTGGCCCAAGACATTTTTTTTTCCCTTCCAATGCGGCCCAGAGATGCCAAAAGGTTGGACACCCCTGCCCTAGGACATGCAAATGGTAAAGTAAAGACTCTGAGAGACTTAAGAAGTCATCCTCCACCCTGCCTAAAGAAACAGAGACTGGTCCCACAGTGGCCATTGTACCTAGGCCCAAACTAGTGGCAAAAAAGTTGTTGTGTTGCTAGGTTCACCCCTGTCAGTGCCATTACACACACACACAGCTACCTTCTCTTCCAGGCAAATCCCTTTGCTTTATGTATTTGAGAAACTCCATGCCTTAAGGCTATAGAGTGCTTTTAGACACGGACGCTGATCTGGAGACATGGAGGCAGGCCACTTTGTAGTTGTGAGCCTGAGGCTGCTCTGCAGGGGTCCTCAGGCAACATGCCATGCACGACAAGTGTTGAATGGTAGTCATATATTTTAAACATGTCTGTTATGAAAGGAAGCAAGTTTGCATTATTTCATTTAATTCTTGTAATGAAGTGCACATATAAAGAAAAACAGCCATACACCAACTGAGGCTGTCATAAGAACTCACTATCTGGATCTTTGCAACCCTGCTAGGCCAGTATTGCAAAATGACTGAAGTTCATCTGGAGCACTTAAAAGTTGGCTTGTTGTTTAAAGAGAATAAATACAGTGGTACCTCAGTTCATGAACTTAATTCGTTCCACAATTCTGGTCACGAACCGAATTGGTTGCAAACTGAGTCAAATTTCCCCATAAGGTTCAGTGTAAATAAGGTTACTCCGTTCTGAACCATATGTGTATTTTTTTAACCACAAAAATATGAAACAAAGTACAGTACAGTATGAAGAGAGAGAACACTAACCTTGCTTGAGGTGACTTCTGGCATGGAGGACAGGAAGGTGGGTGGGGAGGAGGTTATTGTTTGGAGGGAGAGTCTGAGACCGTGATCTCGACTAGAGGAAGCCATGACCACGTGTCAGAGCAGGGAAGATGGCCGTGTTCGTGTTCATGGGAACACGATCGTGACCATCTTCCCCACACGAAAGCAGCCATCTTTCCCGCTCGAATGCACTCTGACACGTGGTCGCAGTGTGGGGAAGATGGCTGCGATTGTGTTCCGATGTGGAGTTTGTGAATGGAAGCAAAATTTTGCCATACTTTCTGTTCATGAACCAAATTGTTCACAAACAGAAGCGTTCATGAACAGAGGTATTACTGTACAATTTAGTCATATTTTGGTCATTCAAGGGTATATCTATAGCTGCTGTTGCTTCATTTAGTTTTGACAGCAGAGAAAGAGTGACTCTAGGTAAAAAGAAGTCTCAAATGGGACCTTGGTTGTCTTTACACATCCTCTTTACCTCTCACCCATCATTTTGTTTGATCTTACTGTGTGAATTCCTGGTGCCAAGGTTTTTATATGACTATTTGCAGAAGCTGTCCCTTTCTGTCAAAGAAAGCTCATGCAGTCCTCCTTTCATTACAATCTACCAAATTCCCAATAGGGGCATTTTCTCTGTATGGGGAAAATATTTGTATCAGCTCTTAAGGGTGTTGGGGCAGCATCTAGCAGTGTGCTAACTGGTTGCTTCACCATTTTAAATGTACCAGTTTGTTTCATTTTATACCATACCTTCTTCCAAGGAACAGCAAGCATGGCTCCTCACTCTTCATTTTCTTCTCACAACAACCCTGTGAAGTAGATTAATCTGAGAGTTACTGCCTGTCTCAAAGTCACCCAGTGAACTTCAGGAATTTGAAGCAGATGTCTTCAGTCTTAATCTGATATTCCAACACTAGACTACCCAGGCTTTCTTTTACTACCATATATTTATTTTATAGTGTACGTATATTTTAAAATCTATTTGTTCTACCTCTGCAATGGTTTTGAGTACAGGTACTTTGTTTGTTTTGCTTATCAGTCCAGTGCATGTCCAGTGGGCAGTCAAGGTAAATAATCCTGCTGGCATGAAGGGGCAAAAGATGAGTTACTGCTTCAAACATTGCAGGGTAGGAACACTATGTTTCTTTTTTGCATAAGTCAACACTTTTCTACTGGAAAAATGTGTATTATCTTCTTATTTAGGAGGAAAAAAGGGACAAATCTGATCAAATATAGGTTAGAGTCCATTTTAGCAGCTACCCTGAGGCCATGATGTTTTGCTCCTCTGCCCTCATCATATCTGCAGTGCTGTCTGGAGGATCTAATCAAATCCCAAAGAGGTCACAAATTATCTTGAAGTCCAACTTCATGTGAAAAAAGCTTGAAAAAGACACATTTAATCTGTCAGAAGACAATATGTGTATTATTCCTGTGAGTCCGAAGATATATCTATGTAAATTTGAGGACCTCATTGTGTGTACTTAAAATGTGTAGATAGACAAATGCATGTTTTAAGATCACAGTGGGTCTTCCACCAAGGTTCCCAGGTGTAGGAGGCTTGCAGCTAGCTATTCAAGCATTGGGAAAAGCGTTATTTTTTGTTATGTCCAGTTGATTTTCTGTTTATGTCATAGGATACAAGTAACATTAGATGGAGCCAAATTCTGTATAAAATGCACAGAGGTGCCAGTTAGATAGTGGTTTATAGATTAAACCAACTTTTGAAATCTAAAGAGTTAAATGGGAAACACTGGTTATCACTTGGTTTCCAGTAAGAGGCTTATTTTTTTGGCAACAGTATCTGGATAGAAATAACACCTGGAAATTTCCCAAAGACATGCAGTTGCAACATGTTATGTTTATTAAAGGTGCATTCCTATCAGCCTTGTGGTAAATTCACGTAAACTTCCAGCCTCCTTCCCCCACCCCTAATGCTCCTTTTCCCTTCACCAAGGCACATTTCTGCTCTCAAAGAAGCAGCCTGTGTGATTCTTTCCATACCTCCTATACCTATGTTTTACCCACTTCTTCTAAGTATCCCAGGATGAGTACAGCCCAAAATCAGAAAATCCACAGTATAGCAGTAGTATCTTCTCAGGTATAGCACAGGCAGAGCTTCCTGTGCTTCTCAAGGATTCATTTCCACCCCTGTGTAAAATGAAAGAGGAAATATATGTTTCTACATTCCCATTGAAATAACAGAGAATGATTTGGCACTGTATCAGTTGGCCATGACTTTATTATTATTATTATTATTATTATTATTATTATTATTATTATTATTACATTTCTATGCCGCCCCTTGCCGAAACCTCGGGGCGGCTTACAACATGATAAAATACATTGAAATACAATAGTACATAATAAATTACCATTAAATATAAAAATACAAAAAATACATTGATTTACAAATATAAAATTAAAATTATCAGTATAAAATAAAAATATAGGGGGAGAAAGAGAAGGAAGAAGAAGTTGCCCTGGCCAGATCATATGTTTTAACAATTGAAATGATGTTTAAATAAAAAGGTCTCTACCTGGCGCCGAAAAACCAGTAACGACGGTGCCAGGCGGACCTCTTTGGGGAGTGAATTCCATAGGTTGGGCGCCACTTTAAACAGAGCAATTGGTTCACATGAAAACTCATACAGGAGGTCATGAGCAATATGTCAGTTTCTTGCTGCAATGATAGGTAGGAACATAGGAAGCTGCCATATTTTGAGTCAGGCCATTGCTCCCTCTGTCTCAATATGGGAAATAGGGGTAGCAGTTATTTGTATTTAACCATGCATAGCTATCAGCTTGGACTCGCAGCAGGTCTCTAGCATTTTAGGAGCGAGTTCTTTCCAGCCCTACTGCATATACTAGAGATAGGGCTGAATCTTTCTCATGCAAAGCATGGACTCTGCCACTGAGCCCTCCAAAGCAATCCCCAGGACAATGTTCACCTGAACAACAGTGCTATTAACGTGATACTTTTTTGCAGATACATATGCATAAGATGCATCAGATACTCATACTTTTTGTCAAGATCAGGGCCTGAATAACTCTGCAAGTGCTTGCAGAACCAGGAGTGCCTTTCTGGACACTCACAAGGAGCACCTGCGGAGCAATTATGCAGTGCAGCTGGAGACCCTGAAGGCCAGCATAAAAGGCTCCCCTGCACTGCTGCTTCTTGCCGAAGCAATGCAAGTGTTCTGGTGACTTCTTGTGCTCTGGCCCCTGCTTTGCTATGCCTTGTTCCAGTTCATTCCTGTCGTGTTCAAGTCTTGCTCGTTTGTTCCTGCCTCGTTCAAGTTGTTGCTGCCTCACTCCGGCCAGTGCCCTTCCCGCTCTTGCTGTCTTTCCTCTGAGTAGATCCTGCCTCACTCCAGCCTGCTACAACCCTCGCATCAATGTCTCTCAGGCAAACTGACTTTGGAACTATGCTCTGACTCTCTTTCAGCCTGTCTGTGTGTGCCAAACTCAGACTGCTTTCATCCACACCTTTGACCCAAACCCACTGACTTGCTCCAAGCCTCTGGCCTGTAGTGGGCTCCAGACGCAGCTCGAGCTTGTGCCCTGGACCTGGTGTTCTGCCCCTCCTTGCTGCTGCCCATGGCCCGGCCCTCACACCCTTCAGCCAGTCAGTCAGTCACTGCAATAGCACATCGTGCACACTGATATTTTACATCTCTGTATTAGAGTTTCAGCTTCTTCACAATTCACACCATCTCCAAATACAGCATATTGCTGATTTGGCTTTTGCCTGAATAAATGTGTATAGGCTTGCTTGGTCAGAATCAGTCACATGGAATGAAAACTTTTTGTCTTTCAAGCTCCCCAGGGAATGGAGGGAATTCTGTAATTTTCGCTGATGAGAAGGAGCTGACTTTGGTATTTACCCAACTCACTTTAGAAGCAAGGACCAAGCTAGGGCCTCAGTACTCAGATAGGCACATAAGGAGGCAGGGAGGCCTCTAAATTTGAATCCTAGGCTAAGCTGTATTTTTTGTGAGCCACCCCGAGGCTTTGTTGCGATGGGGGCGGCATAGAAATGTTTTAAATAAATAAATATTTTAATACACTCCTGTTGCTTGCTCACCCAGCCCAAAAAATGTACAGGCAGGGGCTGATACAGAGGCTATGCTCCAGGCCAGAAAACTACTCCTTTAAGAGTGTCCATTCTTCAAGAAAGACCCAGAGTCTGGGAAAAGAAATCTGACTATATCAGGTTAAGAAGCTTGTTTCACCCTAGACTCTGTTGAAGGACCTCGTCTGCCTGGAGCTCTCTGCCTGCCATCCAGCCCTACCCTACCCATTTACTAAGCCACCCTTAGGCATCCACCAAACCCCTAGGCTCTTTGTCATGATCAGGATAGGACAATCTAGCTGGAAACCAATTGTGCTTTATAAGCATGGGGAAAGTGCATTCCCTCCTCTCTGCTATGGTCACATTTCCAAAAAAGACTGGACAAGAAATGGCTGAAGCTTCAAAGACAAGCATAACCTGTGGGATTCACTGAACTGCAATTTCAATGCTAATCACAGAAGGAAAGGTTGGCACATGCAACTGCGTGCTGCAACGGCAAGCCAAAGCAAACAAATGAATAGACTGTGAATAAGGATATGAGAAAGAGAGAGGAGGTTAGTCCCTTGAGCTGGAGGAGCTCGTGTGGACAACATACTTGGTTAGTCTGTATCTAGCATAGAATAGTTTAATGTTTTTCCCTTGAAGTAAAATGTTCATCTGTTTGTGCTCATTCTTTGAGCATCTGTAACGTAACTCCATTTTTTCTTTTTCCTGGTTTAGAGTCTGTCAGAAAATTGAAAAACTGCTAGGTATTGTCTTTCCTGGACATGAAAATCCATTATATGTACACAAATTGCTATGAGGTGTTGAAAAGTCTTGACACCATTCAAAAGTACATTTTGCTTTGAATTATATTTCTTAGGTTCTTATATAAAATTCCTAAACAGTATGACATTAGAATGATTTCTTGCATAATTCATTCAAAAACACTCTTACATTGCACACGAAAAAATGTGTACAACAGTCTGAAAAACTTGAACAATTTAGAAGTTTCAGTTAGGTGTTTTACATTGGTAAAAAGAGATTGCTTCATCCTATATGCCTCTATTTAACCACCAAAATTCCTTTCTCAGACTTATGTAAAATAAGCTAAAATTACTATATGGTATTGCCAATTTTCAACTAGAAAAATTTCCTGCAACTTTTTGGTAAGTTACCTTAGCCCAATACATTTTTCATCATTCTGTCAGAATTTTAGCAGAGCACTAAGCAACTGCTGTCAGACCTGAAGGAAGTAACTCAGTGACTGAGAAACAGAGAGGCAAACAACCAAGCCATGAAGCCTGTCTGAAGGAATGTGGAGGGGAGAAAAAAATAACTGGCTTGAAAGTTTGCTACTTCCTATCTCATCCTCCCAGTAGTTTTATGAGACAGGGGGTCATAGGGCAAGGTGAAGAGAGGACTGAACTAGTGAACTTGTAGTTATAAGCACGCAGGGATAATAGGTTGATGAAAATTAACTCGCACACCTTGAATAGACAATAGGCTAATTATAATGCACATGTGATGTATGTAGATGTATGTAGTGGAACGAGATGGGAGATATGAAGTAGGTGGATGGAAAGAGTGTAACCCTTGAGTACCTTACCCAGTGAGGGAAAAGAGGACTGTGGCAGCCAGGTTGAGGGGTAAAAGGGGCTGTTTTGTGTGTTTGTACTTTGGAGAGATTCTGACAGAGCGGGCTCTCTATTGCAATAAACGAAGGAAATGCCTCACTCTGTTGGTAGTCTTGGTTATTTAACGTGAGGAGAAGTATTTTCGCAGCTTTTTGCATAACAGACCCTTGTTCTTGTCATATTTCCACGTAATTGTATTTTGTCCCTACTGGTCTAGCTAAATGTCCTCCTCATTTACTGATTAACTACTGGGCTGTTTGCACTATGGCTTGACTGAACAGAAGAGGTGGGGGCTCACAGTACAAATATCTGAATTGCAACTTGTCCTCCAGGCCCTCCAGATCACCATGGAGGGGACGGCTCTCTATTTCATGGCTGCCCTGGTGGTCTCTTTCCCAGCTGCTTCTCACAGCCAGCTGTAAGTATAAGAAAATAACCATGCAGGGGCTTCTGAATTTGATGGATCCATCTTAGCACATAACTTAGGAGAAGAGAGATGGGGTGGGGAATGAGGCAAAAAACAGCTTTTCTGAGCAAAGGGCAGATTTTTTTTATTGTTTCTTTCCAAAATTTAACAAGTTTGAACCAGTCACAGACCCTCAGCCTGACCTACCTCACAGGGTTCTTGTTGTGAGGATAAAATGGACCTATATAAGTTGCCTTGGGCAGGATATACAATAAATACAATACAGTAATGATAATAATAGTAACTATTGAATATTCCTAGTACATATTCTCTACAGGGACTATGAACACCAGCACCAGAGTTGTGTAGAGTAGCAGTAATACCTCTCTCGATCTAGAAGCCACACTTCTGGCTATGCAACCAAGGGTGGCGTTCACCCTCTTGACCACCGCATCACACTGCTGACTCATGTTTAGCCTGCAGTCAACCAGCACCCTGAGGTCCCATTCACAAGTGCTGCTCTCCAGACATTTGTCACCTAACCTGTACTTATGACAGCTATTCCTATGCCCCAAATGCAAGACCTTGCACTTATCCACATTGAACGCCATCCTGTTGTCTCCTGCCCACTTCCATAGTCCGTCCAGATCCTTTTGGATCTGGAGTACCTGCTCCACAGTTGTGGCCACTGCTCCAGTTTTAGTGTAGTCTGAGAATTCAATCAGCAGGCTGTTCACCCCTTCTTCCATGTCATGAATGAAAAGATTAAACAGGATCGGCCCCAGGACAGAGCCCTGGGGGACCCTGATTCTCACTGGCCGCCATCCCGATGATTCCCTGCTAATGGTTACCTTCTACTTTCGGTCAGTCAACCATGCCCTAATCCACCGGACAGTGCTTTGGTGTATCCCAAAACTCCTCAGTTTCTCCACCAGGATATCATGGGGCACTTTGTCAAAGGCCTGCTGAAATCCAGGTATACCACTTCCACTACATCCCCTCCATCTAGCCATCTCAAAACCTTGTCATAGAATTCCACAAGTTTGTCTGGCAGGACCTGTTTTTGCAGAAGCCGTGTTGTGTGGCTGTCAGCCTCCCTTCCCTATCTAGCATCAGTAAAAGATAAAGTACTAAAAAGAAGGGTTGATACCCTTCTATGTTCACATTCCAGACTTGCCTTTCATCCCACCAAGTTTCTGTGATTCCCACCAGGTCATACCCTCCTATTCCCAGGAGAGCTTCAAGCTCTTCCTGCTTATTACCCATGCTCCTAGCATTGGTGTACCTGCACCTCAACTCCTTCCCACCTCTTCCTTTCCTTGGAGTTCCCAGTCTCCTCCTTCCTCCCATCCTCCCTGATACCTGGCCCCTCTCTGTAGGAGTCCTGTCAGTCCCTGCAGTACCTCTAAAACCCTGCTCCCAGAGCCCTGATCCTCTCCCCACCCTTGTCCAGTGCAGACACGTTACTGGGGGGCCTGAACCCCCCCTCCAGCTCAGTTTAAAGTCTTCCAGATGAAGCTCACTAGAGCATCTCCAAAGGACCTTTTCCCCATCCTCGTGAGGTGTAACCCGTCCCTTGCCAGAAGTCCATTGGCAAGTAAACGAGTGCCGTGGTTGAGCGTTCCTTCTGGCACCACACCCTAAGCCAGTCATTCACCACGGAGGCCCTCCTGTCCCTTCCTGGCCCAAATCCCCAGACAGGTAAGATTGACGAGAAGGCCACTTGGGCCTTTAGCTCCCTGAGTTTCTTCCCCAAGGCCTCGAAGTCCCTGGTGGTCCCAACCACACCCTGCCTGGCCACATCGTTTGTGCCCACATGGATCACCAGGAGCGGCTGGTGACCCCAGGAGCGAACAAGACGCTCCACTCTGTCCTTCACATGCCGGATGCATGAGCCCGGCAGGCAGCAAACCTCCCTTGTCTCCGGGTTGGGGCGGCACACTGCCACCTCAGTGCCCCTCAGCAGGGAGTCCCCAACAACAATCACCCACCGCCCGTACCTTCCCGGTGCTGGTGGGCAGCCGTGCCCTTGCCCTCGCCTCTCTCGCAGCGGCCCCCTTGCCGCCTGACGTCCCAGGCTGGGAGTCCTGCTGGTCCCCCGAGGCCTCATCAGCCCCAGCCTCCCCAAGTGGAGAGAACCTGTTTCCCAGCTCCAGATTGGTGCCAGGAGAAGGAGGAGGCCGTGTTGGCCTCCTCCTCCTGTGGGTGACATACCTCCATGTCTCCACTGCTGCTCCTCCTGTGGTCTTTCCTTCAACCCTCTGTCCAGAGGGGGGCTGCTCCAGGGGGGCCTGGAGAGCTCTCTCAGCCCTCAGGCACCTCTCCTCCTCTTCTAGCAGGATCCCCATCTTACACTGAGGGCAAGTGTATCCCTGTCTCTCCTGGGGGAGAAGGGCGAACATGTCACAGCTCTCGCAGCGGACAGCAACACCCGTGACTCCTGCCAAGGCCATCTCCTGGCCTGCCATCGGTATCCCTTCTGAGACCTTACCTTGGTCCCCTGCCTTGTCTGTCCTGCAGTTCCTCTCACTCGCCCAGTTCTCCCAGACGAAAACCCACTCGCACACACACACAAGGATAAAATAAACTTAAATTTAAATTGGAAGAAAAACAAAGCAAAGCACAGCACAAACAAAACAAACAATCAAACAAACCTCTGTGTCTCGGGGAAGGGAGTCTCTGGACATCCCGGGCCGCAGCCAAGGGCCACAGACAAGGGACGACGCCCTTCCTCTCTGCTGCTCCTGGCCCTCTGCTCCCCTGCCCAGCTCCTACCTTGCCTTCGCCAGTCCCCTGGCCACTCAGCACTCTCTCTTTTGTTGCTGCTTTGTTGTTAATTGCGAAGTCGTGTCTGACCCATCGCAACCCCATGGACAACATTCCTCCAGGACTTCCTGTCCTCCACCATCCCCTGGAGTCCACTCAAGCTCACACCAACTGCTTCAGTGACTCCATCCAGCCACCTCATTCTCTGTCGTCCCCTTCTTCTTTTGCCATCTATCATTCACAGCATTAGGCTCTTCTCCAGGGAGTCCTTCCTTCTCATTAGGTGGCCAAAGTATTTGAGTTTCATCTTCAGGATCTGGCCTTCTAAAGAGCAGTCAAGGTTGATCTCCTCTAGGACTGACCAGTTTGATCGCCTTGCTGTCCAAGGGACTCACAGGAGTCTCTGCCAGCACCACAATTCAAAGGCCTCAATTCTTCGGCGCCCAGCCTTCCTTATGGTCCAACTTTCACAGCCATACATTGTAACTGGGAAAACCATAGCCTTGACTATACGCACTTTTGTTGGTAGGGTGATGTCTCCTTTTTAGTATGCTATCTAGATTTGCCATAGCTTTCCTCCCCAGGAGCAAGCGTCTTTTAATTTCTTGGCTACAGTCACCATCTGCGGTGATCTTGGAGACCAGGAAAATAAAATCTGTCACTACCTCCATTTCTTCCCCATCTATTTGCCAGGAAGTGATAGGACCGGATGCCATGATCTTAGTTTTCCTAATGTTGAGTTTCAAGCCAACTTTTGTGCTCTCCTCCTTCACCCGCATCAAGAGGCTCTTTGTTGCTGCTTAGTCATTGTTAATTGGAAAAGGAAGTTAACAAAACAAAATTCCGAACTTCTATTAATCTAGTCCTCTATTGTTCATTAGTGCCCTTCCCCATGAGCAGAGTCCAACTAAGGTGTCAGTGTTGGAAAATAAGGAGAACTCAGAGCTTTTCTTGCTGTTCACATCAGGGTGGGATGGACATGTTTTGCGATGAGAGGCCAAGTGCTTAGTGAAACTGCTCTGCTCATTCTCATTCATTCTCAGCAGGGAGCTTCAGGAGAACCACACCACATGTAGTTTGCTTTGTAATAGTGATACGAGGCCTCAGAGAGGGAATTTGCAGGTTATATGGTTGCTAACCTTTTCCTCACCTACCAATTCTTGACAAATACCCCCAGACATTTTATGTTGCTACATCTATACTTTGAAATGGGGAAATGGGTTTGGAGTTGTTGGGAAAATTAAGATAAATCCTGGCAGAAAAATGTTGCTTATATGTGCCTTTGTGTTATAAAATCAAACCTGCACCCCTTTCTCACAAAGCACCAGCTTTCCAAGCCAGGTCACTGTTTAGTATTACTGTTGCCCTAAGAAGATGGCATTCTTAGCTAGATTGAGAAGCCTCAATAATACTGATAGTGTAGTATTATCAGCTGTAGGAAAACTGAAATAATATTGTTCATTTGTTTCTGAATGTGCCCTAACATCTAGTGCCACAGAGGCAAGCCTCTGCTGAGTTTGTTTGTCAAATCAGACTTCCTGAAGGATTCCTCCATCAGACACATTTGCATGTTTAAACAGACAGACTTGCTGAACTGTCAAGAATTTGCTAGACTGATCTATCAATACAGCAATTACTAATGTTTTCCATACTATTGTTACCAGTATTTCTGATCTGCTTAGAACATTATGTCATGCCTAAAGACATCAGGATGCTATTGTACTAAGATTATCTGGAAACTTGACACTCTGCATTGGTGTACGTGACTAGCAGGTTGTGAAAGTGTCTGTACATGGGCTGCGATTTTGTAGTTGGCAGTGAGAACCACCACAGGGAAGCATGCAGTCATAAGTAACTGCAGGAGTCCTGGGTGATCTTTCAATAAAACTGCTGAGGTTCAAGGCGAAAGGGGCCTTTCCTGACTGAACCTGGCTTTCTTTGTTGTGCCTGCCATTGAGGCTTTCCTGACTGAGTTCAGGTTCAGGACAGAACCAATGTGCTCAAAAAGAGTCAAACATCCCATCCCCATGCCTGTCCATTCTCTCCTACAAGCTGTCCCGAGACATTCTGTAGGGGATGGGATAGAAAAGCTATAAATAAATAAATAAATAAATAAATAAATAAATAAATAAATAAATGCCTTCTGTATTTCTGCCTTCACTTTAGTAAATACTGGTTTTGAAATACATATTTGCTAAGTAATAATGCATCCTACCTGAATCTTTGCTTGTATGTGAGTGAATTGGCCTTTGTCCCTCTAGTCTCTGCTCTATTCAGAATATGTGAAATGAGTTGTTGGCTAAGTTTATTTATTTAAAAATTTCTATGCTGCCCCATTCGCTGAAGCCTCGGGGCGGCTTCCAAAACATCAGTTAAAATATAAAACACTAAAAATATAAAACACATTAACATTATAAAATAAGTCGCCCTGGCTGAAGAATTAAGCAAATAATATTAGCAATTAAAATGACATTGGAATAAAAAGGTCTTTGCCTGGAGCCGAAAAACAAATAACGATGGTGCCAGGCGGACCTCTCTGGGGAGCGCATTCCATAGATTGGGCGCCACTGCTGAGAAAGCCCTCCTCCAAGTACCCACCCTCCTAATTTCCTTCACGGAGGGCTCCCGGAGAAGGGCCTCTCCCGCAGTTCCTACACTGTGGCTTGAGCACCTTAGAATATGCCATTTATTTATCAATTTGCATTTGTTCTGTCATGCCTCGTGACATGAGCACTCCACCCTAGAGAGTGTTTCATGACTTTTCGATAGAAAGAGACAAAAGACACATACAGTGCGGAGATGTGGACAAATAAATTCATTGCATGAAACCTTTGTCTTTCACAGCTACTCCCTCATCACACCTAATGTTCTGCGGGTAGACAGCCAAGAGAAAATTGTGGTGGCAGCTCAAGGACTCAGCTCACAAACAGATGTCTTAGTCACTGTCCAGCATTTTCCAGAAAAGAGAAATATTTTATACCGAGTGACGGCTACTCTGAGCAAAGAAAATGGCATGTTGGCAACTCCTGTCATAAAGGTGGGTCTGTGGTAATGGCCATCCAGAGCTGAGAGTGATGAAACCACTTAGGAGGTGGCTGGAGTGCAGAGGGAGAACTCCCAGTGAATAAAACAGAGACCTGGCTTGCAGTGACGGTGAAAAACAAACAATGCCTCACTGCCTCTATTCAGTCCTCTCTGTGCTGCTCAGTGAAGCTTTTCAGGGTTGCCCAGGGTTTATTACACTCTGCACCCAGAGACACCTTGGAACCCTCTTTTTCCACTGTAATCTACTCGTTGGGTAGTTCCATAAATCTCTTGCAGCTGCTGGGACTTGGATCTTCAGAGTTACAGCAGTTGAGTCAGTGGAGCTATGCAGAGCACAGTCTCGTCCAGTTTCAGCCCGTACAGCTCAAGAATGTGGACAAGGTGCTTGGAAAGTTTTGTGCAAGCACCTGTGTACTGGTCTCTCGTGGCTTATAAAAGCCAGCAAGGAAGAGATAAGTGGCTGGGCTAGAGAGGTCATTGATGCCTCTTTGTGAGATACAGTGGTCCTATACTACCTTAAAGAGGCCAAGGAGAGGCCACCCTTGAACTGGAAAATTTGAACAACTACAAGCTGGTAGCAAATATTTTTGTTGTAATTGGCCCGCCTACCGTTGAATGTTAGGGAAGGGGGAGTTTTTTGTTTTTTTAACGGCTTTTCTAATTTTATTCTGTTTTAATCTGTTTTATGGAGTCATCCCTGGCCATGTCGACGTTTATGTTTCCTGGGGAGCGCGCGGGCGCTGCCATTGGCGTGGTCATGGGCAATGGACGTAACAGCAGTGGGAGCTTAATGTGTCCACGTAGAAGAAGGAGGGACAGATGGCTGACACCTGTCCCTCCTTCTGGTTCTGCCCCCAGCCAGAGGGTGCCAGGTAGCCTTGTCAACCGCCCCTCGGGCCTGACGGTGCTGCTGCTCAATGCCAGGTCGGTCAATAATAAATCTTCCCTCATCCATGACTTGATTGTGGATGAGGAGGCCGACCTGGCTTGCATAACAGAGACCTGGGCGGGAGAGGGGGGGGGATGTGGCCCTCTCTCAACTGCGCCCGCCCGGGTATCTGGTTCAGCATTGTTCACGCCCAGAGGGGAGGGGAGGGGGAGTCGCTTTGGTTTACCGAGCCTCCATTTCTCTCACGGGACTTCCGGTCCCTTCGAGGCCAGGGCTGGAGTGCCTCTAGTTGGTGTTGGCGAACGAGACAGATTGGGGATTCTGTTGGTGTACCGTGCACCCTTCTGCCCAACAGTCTCCCTGTCTGAACTGACGGAGACCGTCTCGGAACTGGTGTTGATGACCCCCAGGATGTTGGTCCTGGGGGACTTCAATCTCCATGCCGAGTCTGGTCTGACCGGGGCGGCTCAGGACTTCATGGCCTCCATGACCGCCATGGAGCTGTCTCAACATGTCTCCGGCCCGACCCATGAACAAGGCCACACTCTGGACCTGGTTTTCTCAACGGGGCAGGAAGAGGGTGACCTGAGGGTGAGGAATTTATGTTTGACTCCCCTGTCATGGTCAGATCACTTCCTGGTGAGGTTTGTGCTCGAGAGGGGCCTCTCCCTTTGTAAGGGTGCGGATCCAATTGTGTGGGTCCACCCCCGGAGCCGGATGGATCTGGATGGATTCCTGAAAGCCCTGGGGAAGTTTCTGGCTGACAAGACTGGTGCTCCTGTCGAGGCTCTGGTCGAACTGTGGAACAGGGAGATGACCAGGGCTGCGGACACGATCACTCCTAAGCGTCCTCTCCCACCAGGCAGAGCCCACTCTTCCCCTTGGTATACACCTGAATTGCGGGCGATGAAGCAGGTTGGGAGACGGCTAGAGCGTAGGTGGAGGAAATCATGGGATGAATCTGACTGAACGCACTTGAGAGCCCACTATCGGGCCTATGCTGTGGTGGTGAGGGCGGCGAAAAAGAAGTTTTTTTCCACTTCCATTACCTCCTCACAATGCCGTCCGGCAGAGCTTTTTCAAGTGGTGCAAGGCCTGGTTCTCCCGGGTCCTAAGGAAGATCCGGTTCCACCCTCAAAGGCCCACTGTGATGACTTTGCCTGGCATTTCAGGGAGAAAATCGCTCAGATTCATCACGAGCTGGACACCACTAATGAATCAGAGGTTTCTGGGGAGACACCAATGCTGCCGTCTGGTCCAGAATTATTGGATGAATTTCAGTTACTGCGGCCCGATGATGTGGACAAGGTGCTTGGATGAGTACGTCCCAGCACTTGCCTATTGGACCCTTGCCCGTCTTGGTTAATAAATAATTCCAAGCACGGGATTGGGACCTGGATCTTGGAAGTGGTTAACGCTTCCCTGAGGGAGGTTCGGGTGCCTGCCCCTTTAAAGGAGGCGGTAGCCCGACCAGTCCTGAAGAAAGCGTCACTGGATCCAGAGATGGCCACTAACTATAGACCTGTGGCCAACATCCCGTTTCTGGGCAAGGTGTTGGAGCAAGTGGTGGCGGGACAACTCCAAGCACTCTTGGATGAAACTGATTATCTGGACCCATTTCAGTCCGGCTTCAGACCCAGGTATGGTACTGAATCTGCCTTGGTCGCCCTGTACGATGACCTGTGCAGGGAGAAGGACAGGGGGAGTGCGTCCCTGTTGGTTCTTCTGGACCTCTCAGCGGCTTTCGATACCATTGACCATGGTATCCTTCTGGATAGGCTGGCGGGATTGGGGGTCGGAGGCACTGCTTTGCAGTGGTTCTGCTCCTATCTCAATGGCCGATTCCAGAAGGTAGTGCTGGGGGACTATGTCTCTGCACCATGGCAGCTATGCCATGGAGTACCACAGGGCTCCATTTTGTCCCCTTTGCTGTTTAACATCTACATGAAACCGCTGGGAGAGGTCATCAGGAGGTGTGGGCTGCAGAATCATCAGTATGCTGATGATACCCAGCTCTACCTCTCATTTTCCACTAATCCAGGTGAGGCAGTGGCTGTGCTGAACCGGTGCTTGGCCGAGGTACTGGGCTGGATGAGGGCCAATAAACTGAAGCTCAATCCAGACAAGACGGAGGTCTTGTTGGTTGGCGGATTGGGCTTCGGAGAGGGTGGATTTGACCTGGTCCTGAATGGGGTTGCGCTCCCTCTTAGGGACAAGGTCCTCAGCTTGGGAGTGCTCCTCGACCCGGAGCTTTCATTGGAAGCTCAGGTGACAGCGGTGGCGAGGAGTGCTTTCCTTCAGCTTCGGCTGATTAATCAGCTGCGCCCCTATCTGGAGTACGACTGCCTGGCAACGGTGACACATGCGCTGGTGGCTTCCCGCCTTGACTTCTGTAACGTGCTTTACGTGGGGCTTCCCTTGAAGACGGTCCGGATACTTCAATTGGTTCAAAATAGAACTGCCAGGTTGCTGACAGGGACGGGACGTTATGTTCACATGACTCCAGTCCTCTGTCAGCTTCACTGGCTTCCCATTGAAGTCCGGGCCCAATTCAAGGTGTTGGTTATGACCTATAAAGCCCTAAACGGCTTAGGTTGTGGTTACCTGAAGGAGCGCTTGCATCCATATATGCCTGACCGCCCCTTGAGATCTGCGGGAGAGGCCCTTCTCCGGGAACCCTCCATGAAAGAAATTAGGAGGGTAGGTACTCGGAGGAGGGCTTTCTCTGCTGTGGCGCCCAATCTATGGAATGCGCTCCCCAGAGAGGTCTGCCTGGCGCCGTCGTTATTTGTTTTTCGGCGCCAGGTGAAGACCTTTTTATTTAAACGTCATTTTAATTGTTAACAATATTTGCTTATTTATCTGGCCAGGGTGACTTCTTTTATATTGTTTATTTATTTTATATTGTTAATTTTAATTTTATCTTGTTATTTTTGTATTTTATTGTATCTTATTGTGTTGTAAGCCGCCCTGAGGCTTCTGCAGGGGTGGCATAGAAATGTTTTAATAAATTAATAAATAAATTATTAAAATATTGCTTTTCTGGCCAAGGTTCTAGAGAGGGTGGTTGCCAAACAGCTCCAGGCACTCTTGGATGAGACTGATTAACTGGACCCATTTCCGCTGAGGTTCAGCCTGGTTTTGGCATAGAAACAGCCCTTGCCACCCTGTATGATGATCTATACTGGGAGCAAGACAGAGAGTATACCCCTGTTGATACTGCTGGACCTTTCTGTGGCTTTTAATACCATTGACTATGGTATCCTTCTGGAGCAGCCGGCTGAGATGGGAGTAGGTGCACTGCATTGCATTGGCTCAGCTCCTACTTGGAGAGCCACTTCCAGAAGGTTGTGCTTGGGGAATATTCTTCAACCCTGTGGATTCTATGGCACAGTGTTCCTCAGGGGTCTGCCCTGTCCCCAGTGTTATTTAATGTCTAAATGAAAGTGATGAGTGGGGTCATCTGGAGTTTTGGAGCGTGTTGCCATCAGTATGCTGATGAGATGCAGCTCTATTTCTCCTTTTCACCATCAGCAGGTGAGGCTGTGGATGTGTTCAGCTGGTACCTGGCTACAATAATAGACTGGATGAGGGCTAACCAACTGAAACTCAATTCAGACAAGACTGGGATGCTGTTGGTGGGTGATTCCTTTGACTGGATGGGGGTTCAGCCAGTACTAGATGGGGTCACACTCCCCCTGAAGGAGCAGGTTCAGGGCTTGGGGGTGTTTCATGATCCATCTTTGTCACTTGAGGCTCAGGTGACATCAGTGGCTTGGAGTGCTTTCTAACAGCTCGGGCTGGTGACGCAGCAGTGCCCCTACCTGGACAGACATAGCCTGGCTTCAGTAACCTATGTTCTGGTGATCTCTGAATTAGATTATTGCAATGTACTCTGTGTGGTTCAAAAGCAGCAGCTGCTGCAGGATGTGGCAGCCGGATTAATAACTGGCACATAGAGGGTCAAACATATAAGACCAATTCTGGCCCAGCTGCATTGGCTGCCTGAATACTTCCAGTCCCAATTTAAGGTGTTGGTCTTAACCTATAAAGCCCAACATATCTTGGGACCACAATACTTGTTGGAGCACCTCTCCCAACCC